GATTTCTGCGATGTCGAACAAAAGAAGTTTGACCCCTCTCGTGTAAGTACTTTGTCATGTGCACTCACCTGGTGACTGATCCATGTTGATCTTGCAGGTCTCTGAGCTTTATGACACCATCAAGTATTGCGCACTGCACCACCGAACGTTCCTGTTCTCCATCTTCGATCAAAACGCTGGCCACGGCCAGGATCCGAGCCAGACCCAAGACCGCAAGTTGCATGAACTCTACGGGCGTGCTAAAGCCCTGTTTGATCTAGTGGCGCCTCAGGAATACGGCATTGAGGCTGATGAAAAGTGTGACTTGACAAACCATGACTCGTTTGTATGAAGTTGAACTTTGTACAGGGAGCAGATTGGCGTTCTAACTTCATTACCACTACTTCGGAAAGTCGTAGAAGACCTCGAGGCTGCGCGAAACAATGGCGCCAGTTCCTTGACCCTTTATTTCACCAAAGAAAGCCATATTCATACGCTTGTCAATCTCGTGCTGCATTCCGGCCTACCAATTGCGAATAGGCGGATACCCGAGTTAGACTATTGTGTAAGTTCGGTTCATATCTGAGCATGGAAGTATGCTGATAAAGGACTCTTTGTAGTCCCATATCACGTAGGTCAATTCTTTGTATCCATTTGTCGACTAACTTCCCTGACCGCCGTTTGCCGACTTACTTCCCCCTAGATTTGAACTCTACGAACGCAATTTTGGACGCGGGAATTCTGATAAGGAATATTCGATTAGACTCTCCCTTAGTGAAGGTGCTCACTCGTCGAACGTCCTGGACTCCACCTTGGATGCACGTCATTCTTTAAATGTACAGCCTCGAAGGTGGCAAATTTCAGATCATTAAATTTGCCCCATGGAGCTAATGACTCTTTGTAGAAAATTGACTCAACACCTGCCATATAGTCTCGTGATCGAGAAACTTTCTAAGCATTTCGGTAAAATGACCGAGGTACGTTTCAATTAGTGTACTGGAACGCATCTCACATGCAAGTGACACTAGCAGGACGATGACACGGGAACCGATACTCCATTTGAGGCAAATAAATTCCGGGGACATTTCCCTAGTATCAACGATACTAATAGCAGCAGCGACGATAGATGAATACCCCGTTGTCACTTCGAGTTATAGACTCCGGGGTGGCGTCCGAATCATGATAAATACAACTATCCCGAATAATCGCGCCTTAATGCGACTATATTATTAGATCCCCGTAGTAACTTTGCGTATGATAGGTGTGTAGATGAGTATACCATACTTCAAATAGTAGTTCGTGATGTACCATGAATGCTCATTTTGAATCTTCTGTATGAACGGAAAGGGCTCCGAGCACTTGGTCAACTTCGTTTGATTTCAAAGGGATGAACCGTAACGAGTGGTTCTTCTTTGAACCTGAAGTGTCATAGAGAGCACTGGGAGATTGAGAGAGCTCTGCGGATTGCTTTGCTAATGTCGCGAAAGACGTTCGATTGTCGCGATAGCTGCCTGCAACGTGAATACTATTGTCTAGAGTGGCGAGGCTTGTTGTCACTTACAGCCTACAAAGCTATCAGCGGAAACATTCATTTTCAGGACGTTTGTAACTCACTTGAAAGCTTCTTTGTTTAAGACATCTTCCTCGTGAAGCTTGTCTAGAGTGGGCTCCTTGAACGTGCTCTTCATAAAATGCAGAATATGATGTATCTGATGTTCTTTGGGTCTGAACACGCGCATTAGCTCCTAGTCGACCTATGGCAGAAGGTCACGAACCTCCATGGTCGGAACCGAGGTGCAAGACTGTAACCTCCAGTCCGGGGGTCGACGAGGGGATGGAAAATGTCCGTCAAGAACCGTACTGTCGGTGGTCGTTCAGGATAGTCGTTGGGAAATGTTACGGTGAACTTCAGCACAGAATCCTGGTAGTATCCTGACAATAATATGAAACCGGACGGCGCACCAGTAAGTATTGAGAATGCTGACCTTTGTGCACAAAGAGAACGGCATCCCACACTAGGGTGCTCTCCACAGAAGGAGTAATGTACATGCCAGTTGGACAGTGATTGATGTTTCTCAGCGATGCATACTGGAAGTTGAGAGTGGCGCGAGTCGCTGGACTTGTGATGGATCCTTCGGGGTGTACTAAGTCTGCAGTTTGGACGATCTTTGTTGAAGTACTCCTGCCTTTGGCAAGACCAAGGTCAATTGTGGTGGAAGAAACGAGACTAGCGCTCGGCATGTTCATGTGTCGACGGGTCAAGAAAGGCGATCTGCTTTCACTGTACGGTCTGAGTTAGAGATAACTTGAACGTTCTTAATTCTAATCAACAACAAAGCTCATGCAGCGAGAGCAGGTCGGAGCACAGTGAGCACCAGTGCAATACTGGGTATATCAACGACGCTCAATTGAGAGACAACCTGATGACGGTAACTTTAAGCTAAGTACTACCACTGGGCTCTGCTCACGGTTGTTCACTAGGGTCGCTGTCCCACATATGCGAGACGGAGACCCTAGTATACAATCCGACGCCTGAGCCGAGGCAAGCTCGACTTCAGGATTGAAATCATCTATGGTAACCACCTTTGTACCTTGGTCCACTGCTCCCCCGTCCATGTCCCCGGTCTCGGTCTCTGTCTCTGTCTCTGTCTCTGTCCCTATCCCACTCTCGCGAATCTCGTCGCTGCCGCTCTCGGTCACGGCCTGGGTCTCTACGAGAATACTCACCATCCAGGTCTCTAGTATTATGTGACGCTCCACGTATGCGGTAGGACTCTGGTTCCTTTGATGGACCGTGGTGGTCACCGTTCCCCCGTCGAGAACCGCGGTGAGGGTTATCTCCTAACCGGTCAAGAAGACTTTTGCGAGGTGAATCTGATGGAGGTGGCATGAACTGGCGCCCGACGTCCTTCATCGAATTGCCAAATTTTAGGGCTTTTCTACCATTTGACGCAGGTTTGTCATTCCCGCGGTTCTTCATGTTACGGGGATTATTGAACCAGTCCCCTGTGTCATCATCTTCTTGATCTCTGAACCTCTTTGCCATCTTCTCCTTGTCTTTGTTTTTCCCTTGTTTTCCAACATTTGCAGGTGCATCCATACCCCAGTCATCGGGCAAGGTAGGTCTGTCTTCTTCATTCTGCAACTCTCGCGGTCCACGGGGAATGCGAACAGGCTCTGATGTCGGGTCATAGAATGGTCCAGACATAATATTGTGCAAGCTGAAAGCTGATGGTTCCGCGGGTATGTCAAAGACAAAAGCGACTTCATCGCAATCCTATGAGACTCTGTCAGAAGACGAGTCGGGACTGGCAAGAATACATACGTCTCCCAGGTGTCCTGGATTTCCACAATTATAACAATACAGCTCCGATGCAATGTATCCCTCGCTTCCTTTTCCAAATCCAAGTTGCTTTTTTTCCTCCCTGGTCTGCATGATTTTCACGCGATCCTCATCTGCAACGTACTGGTATATTCTCCACAGCGTAGGACATTCCTTGTCGGAAGTTGGGAAATGAACGACAAAACATTGAAAATTGAATTACTATCTTACATTCATCTTGTGAGCTTTCGATGAGCATCGGTCGCAACAATCAACCATATCTGCTGCGAGCCTTGAATGCGAGAAACGATTTGGGCAGGTCTGAAATCCATAAGACTGGATGTAAGACAGATTACAAAAAATTTCACCTTATTGATATGACCTTTCATCCCACAAGTGTAGCAAGTCTTGCTAATAGGACAGCTCCGCGTTGAATGTTCGTCACGAGCACCACAAGTCAAACACTTCATAGCAAAATTAGCAACATCAGACTGAGGCATCCAAAAAAAACTGACCACTTGAATCGGACATTCATACGTCTTATGCTCGCCTTCTGCACCGCAATTCTTGCATACAAAACGTGATGGTTTGGCGTGAGCAGCTTCCTCAACTTCCGTATCGAAGTATCGAACGAGCCCGGGTGCCTACGGAAGACATGAGCGACTTATCGTGATCATAATCACTGCTGACTGCACCTTCCTATCTTCATAGTCGAGATATTCGATGTAATCTTCCTCCTCAGAATCGACAGGTAGTTGGGGAACGATTTCAACTGGCACTGCACCATCCTCGCCAGTGCTCAAGATAGATACATGAGAGGGTAGTAGAAGTCGGTCTGCCGCGCTTTTGGAGCTCTCTGGTTGGGAATTCGAACTTTGGGTAGGCTCTGTAACCACGGGAGCAGGGGTGGCGTCAAAGAAGAACAGTTCCTGGTCAGAAAATGTTGGAACTGGCGAGCTTGCAGATGCTGATCGCCTTCGAGAAATAGTTTCAGCATGAGAATCTGCAGTACTTCGACGCTCGAGAGACCGATTTCTCGAGCTGGTAACACCATCGCATGTAGGGCCTTTGGACTTTGTCCGGTTTCGTGGCTTTCGCTTTGACTTTTGCGAGGGAGGATCTTTCTGGTTGAGAGAGGCCGTAGGTATTTCTCCGTCGGATAATATCTCGATAGGATCTGATGGTGGGGAAAAAACCGTTAGGTCTATGATTTCAGGCATTATAATGGCGGATAACCACAGTGGCAAGGCCTTGCATAAAAAGGTGTAAAAGATGTGTTGCACCTTCCCGTTAAACTAACTTAAAGGCTGGCGGGCCGCAATTGCACCCGCCTAAAAGGCAAGCCACTTCAAACCTTGCTGCTGCAGCAGTTCAACGTTCAACTCCGAACGTAGCAAAGCCTCCTCTGCATTCTGGGACTACACTACATAACTTTCACTTGATAAGGACGGAGAATACGATTGCAGCTGTTCTGCCAATCGCGTCTACAGTGTTGTACGGTATACTTACCGGGACTTGCAGTCTTGTTTCCTTACACATCCAGATAGAAATCGTTGTATTTAAGGCGGTGCATGTTGAATACAGGTATGGCTTGTAGTGCTATTGCTACAGGTTGTTGAAACTGAAGGGATAATGATAGTGTTGCGAGATTGTGCAAATGATGCGTCCACGATAAAACTAAAGGCAGCATGGTGGTGTCTTAATGACTATAATCATATCTTTGAATGACCGTCAATATTATAGTCAGGGATTAATTGCAACAGACCACACCCACTTCTTGTAGAACGTCTCAGAGTCTGAAGGGACGGTCTGAAGTTTTATATATCAATCAAGTTGTTGCTCAATGAGTGGAATTAAAACAAACCTCATTTCTCGCACCACGACCTTTCCGCCCCTGTTTCTCAAGTCCTCGGCGGTATTCACGGTCCTCTCTAAGCCACTGCAGAGCAGTGTTGTATAATGTGGGGGTCTGACTCAGAGGACCGTTGGTAAAGCCTGATGGCCATGCAGTGGGTTCTGTGGCGAAGGAACCGAAGCGCATGTGGGCGACGTGAGTAGGGAATGAATTGAGTCCGTCAAAAATATGCGTTGCGTCTGTGTGAATATTTGATTAATGCTGAAGAAGTAAAGAACTTCCGACTCACAAATAATGGTAGCTCCACGGGCGATACTGTCGTTTCGGAGGAACGTAAGTAATTCATCACGAACCATGACATCAAGGTCAACAGTCACCTGCACGCGCGTCGCTCAGACAACGTCATGGATATGGCATGAAAGAACGTACTTCATCTAAGAGAAGAACATCCCATGGTGCCATGAGGCCCATGCAAAGTTGGACGCGGCGACGTTCTCCATCGGAAATTGTATGCATATGCCAGTCTAAGTCCACATCTAGAATGTCTAGAAGTTTGTTTCTCCTTTCCTTGTATCTATATCCTCCCACGGAGTCCAAGAAGGTGGATACCACGATATCACTCCGGACTACTGGATTCATTGCCCTGGAGAACAATACAATTGGACCTTGGATGATGAATTACGGTTGTAATGAGTAGAAAAGTACCGACCACTCCGTGCCGAGGAAGGTCACGCCGGCCGGGGAATCTCTGAAGACATCTAGGCCTTTGATACGTATCTCAGCATCATTTACCAGTCTTTTACCCGCCAAAATCTGCAATAGGGTAGATTTTCCGGCTGGGTAAGAGATCAGTAAGGCGGCAAGGGCCGCAAGCTACCACTTACCTCCATTGGCGCCAACCAAGATTGTTCTGGACCCAGGCCGAAGATGAAAAGTGATGTTATCCAAGGAAGGGGGCTCATTAGGAACATGACGGTAAGTCAGACGCTCGACTGTGATAGCGCACTCAGCGAGACTAGACATTATGATTCCTAATCTGAGTGGGAGGGAGTGATAAGCAACAAAACGGAAACAATTACTAAATAGTAGAGTTAGATAATTAAATAATTAAATAAAGTAAATAATTTTTTGGTACTTCGAGGAGCATGAACGTTGAACTCTACCTGTACAACACAGTTCGTAGCAGCACTCACAGGTAAATATTATGAGCTGCAATGCTCGTTACAACGGCCTGAGCGTTGTTGGTTACCCATAAAAGTAAGCTTGTGCTAATAAAAGATTACGGTAATGATCACTTGTAATAGGCAAGTCATGAGTACACTCATCTGTGTTCCTGGTCGCTGTCAAGCACCAAATCGTGGGAAGACGCCTGTCACTAGGCTCGCCTTTGGAGTTTCAACTTGGCTAGCGCAGGCCATCCTTCTCCATCCTTCCACCATCGTTGCTTGTAGCGAGCAGCTGTGGCAGGAATTTAATAGACCCAATTATCAAAACAAAACTCGGTTTAAAATTTCATCGAATCACACTCATTTAAATTTACTGTTTTTCTTTTCTGCAGTCTGCAGATCATGTTCTTAGATACCAGACAATGTGTCACTTGCCCTACAGCTCCCCCATCTTGCACTTGCTCGGCCGATCAGAGCTGCATCCAGATAACTAGGTCTGTTCATTTCAATCAGTAAATATGTTTATATTTGACGTCATTCCAGAACTTGCAATGCCTGCCCAACATCTACTTGTCAGGCAAAGACCACTGCTACTTCTAGTAACAATGGGGGTGTCAGCTCAGGTGCACTTGCAGGTGCAGTCATTGCCATCGTTCTGGTCCTTGTAGGAGCTTTGGTACTCTATTTCTGGTACCGTCGTCGTGCTAGTTCCCGTAAGGCCCTAGAGCAGGCACAGGAAACCAAAGACGAAGCCCCCGCCCCTGCAGAAGCAGTTCTCAATCGCCCAGATCCCACTGAAAAGCCGCAGCCACCGATGCCTTCCGACCCCAATACTGTTAGAGTGTTCGTTTCATCATCAGACAGCGTCATCGACCTCGATCCGCAGTCCCGGGGTCCATCCGCGACCGGCACTGCCTCTCTCAACGTTCCTACTACTCAACCTAATCCCTTTGACGATGGTAACTCTATACAGACCACGTCAACGGGTACAAATGGCACAAACGTCATCCCTATTGCCCTGGTATCCCCCGGCTCTGCGTCAGCTGATTCTGTGACACCTTCATGGCCTTCAGGATCTGCCGCAACCTCATCTCCTGTCCGGCCCGCTCGGGCACCCGACCTGTCCTTGAATGACAATGCTTCTGCAGTGTCTGACCAATCTTTGCGTACTCCAAATCCGTGTTACGCACAGAGTCAGCGCTCAGGATCGTCGAGGATGTCATACATGTCAAACGCAAGTTATTCTAGCGACTTCCTCAATGAAGCACCGATGATTATCACGCAAGGCCAAGGTGTTCGGCAGGTTGTGGGAGTCGTTAAAGCAGAAGTCATTCAGACCTCTGGTCCATCCACACCAGTATCATCACATTTATCCGTGAACAGTATTCCGTCTGTTGTTTCTCGCCCTTCGATTCGTTCACCCCTTGCAGCCAGCTCTTTTGGCCCTGCTGATGCCTTGGATGAGACAGAGGAAGAACATAATACATCGCAGCGCACCGACCCGTTCGGGGATCATCACGAATTCGAAGTCCATGGTGACATCTCAAATCAACCGCGCCCAGTGTCGGAAGTTTCTCTCCAATTACCCCGTCTCCCATGGTCCACTAATAATGGAGAGAGTCGTCCATCCAGCATCAGCACTCAGGCCGGGTCTATCATAGATATTAGCAGTGCTACGCGTGTCAATGTTGGACTACTGTGCCCAAAGAACCCCGACAAGTCGCCCAGGACAACCATGGGTAGACTGGTATCACCGGCCTCGGCGCAGACTTCCAGCCAGCCAGCATCCCTTGAGGAACAGCAGCAATTAGCTTTGGCACATGCACACGCACAAGCCCGCGCCCAGGGCTTGGATCGCAAGCGAATCTCAGGCTGCTCGGTTGTTTCTGCCACCTCAACGCGGGCAGATTCTATTCTCGAGTCATTCCCTTTCGTCCCTCCTTCGCCCATTTCATCACTTCCTGTCCGTTCTCCGCCGCGTTCTCCTCTGCACCAACGGTTCTCTGCTACACAGTCACAGCCCCCAGTCTTTGAGGCAGCACCTCTTTCACCATCCCCTGCACAGGTGCAGGATACCACTCCTTCAGACATACCAGAATCCGCAGAGACCCAACTGCCCCCGTTAGACCCCCCTCCCAGCCGCCGGACCTTGGGACTGTCCACAGTTTCTCAGGTTTCCACGGCATCATCTGGTCTCGGACCATTCCCATTCCAGATTGATTCTGGAAGTCATGACGGTAGCACACCACCATCTGCTTTTCAAGGACGTCAAAGAGCCAGCTTGGACACGCTTGCATTGATGAGCGATTTGTCTTCATATCCTCTTAGCTACGACCGGGATGAACGAGAAAGCTTTTCTCGACAAATTACTAAGGGTTGAAGAGCCAAGATCTGTGTGCTCTCAATGTGGACGCCATGCTTCTGGACCGCTTCGACCAGCTGGCCTGACGGGGTTGTGTTAGGGTTGTGTACATGAACTGTTGTATTCTGGGCTTCTTCCTCCTATACTTGGTATGGGCTTTACTGCTCTCGGTTTTTTGGAAGGTTTTATCTAGGTAGTGCTCACAATTTTACTTGCTAAGTTCTGCTTCTTCGCTGAATGATTTTCTTTTTACGAAGGAGTTTTATTCTTCGGTCTGCGTTGGTCATTTATTTATACATTTTTATGTTTTAGCTGCAATATTGGCTAATCCCGTCTTGTGACAAAAATGTCACATTGCAATATCATCACACCTTTGAACTCGATACAATAAAGCAGCGCTGAACAGTAAAGGTGTATCTATCACCGTGACCGTAACGGTATACATAACAGTCTCCTGTAGCCGCCATGGATAGAGAGGTCCGACAACTGGTGGAGATGGTAAGACCTGACTCCGCGATTCCAGCCCAGTGGCATATTAACCGGCTGGTAGGGAGCGTCAGAGGCACAAGCTCAGGCTGCTCTTCGTCGGTACAAAGATGTAATGCAAGCAGCCGAGCGGATCTTCGAAGGCGAATTTGCCGACGTAGAAGAGACGGATGAAGATGTTAGTATGGAGTCTGCTGCCCTAGTAGCGCCCATCACTCCATCACGAACGCCCCGTAGTGCTGTATGTAACTCATTGCTATTCGGGAAAACGGTCTTCATCAGTTTCGATTAGACACCGGACGAGGATGGAGAAGGGGAAGACGACAATGACGTAGACATGGACGATGACGATGACGGGGGTGAGTAGTTTCCTGGATAGTTCCCTCTGATACATCAATCGCCTTCTAGCGGACGACTATGTCGACTATGACTCTGATTACGATGAGAAGGCCAAACCTGTGGTCGAAGCCGATCCATACGCTGGCGAGTACATTTTTGTGTTTTGTTCTTCTGGTGTTTTTGATGGTTTTGAAGGTGTCTTCTTCTCGAAGGATCGTCGCGAAGAAGTTATCGAAGTTGAAGAGGAACCTGAGACAGCCTTCATACCAGACACCAACGAGCAGGTGAAGATTATGACTCAGGGTCAGTGGATGAAGGGTTGTCCAGAGGGCGGCGAACAGGGTTTCTTGTTCGGTCTCTACAACGAACTAAGCGGCGGTGACTGCATTTGCCCCCAATCATGTGGATATAGGATCCAGAGATCCAAGAGTAACTTCTTCGCTATTTTTGTGTGTAAAGCTGTTTCCCCTAGAAAGCTGAGAGCTGATTTGCATGCAGCCAGATTTCTTGCTGTATACCCGACATCTTCGCCGTGTCGTAAAGCGCACTTGTTCTTCATGCAAAGCGGATTTTTGTTTCGCGTGTGGAGAACCTATCAACACTGGAAGCAATCGTGACACTTCCTCTTCGGGTGATGATAATCTATTCCATTGTTCCAATCTGCAAGGCGTTATATTGGGCATCGGGCTCGCTATGTTGGAATCCACATTCTCTGAGCAGCGTCAACAAACCTCCGAAGAGAGTTCTCAGAAATCAAAAACGAACAAGAGACGGAAGACGGATTTGCACTCTTCTTCGTCTACTCCGAAAGGGGACGATGACGAAGATGATAGCTATTATATGTCTTTGCCAGTGGGGAAGAAGTCGAAAGGAGGCGTTGGTTATGCTGGAGATGTGAAGGAAGATGTGAGTTTTCATGTGAACATCATCAGTAATCATTTTCTGAGAAGACGCAAGACTTCTGGCCAATTAGAAGCTCAGGCCACCCAGCGTCTCAAAGATGAGAAGATCGGTACGATACTTTCCCAAATCCGCGAATATCTTCCGTCTCTGCGCCGAGAAGGAGGTGCACGAACCAGCGACTACATGGTTCACCCTACGGCTCTTGCGCATCTCCGCAGGCGCTTTAACTATCTCTGCACCACTCTACTCAGGAATGATTCCCTCTCAGACATGTCAGATCGTTCTGTGCTGTACTTTGAGTTATTTGAATGGCTCGAGGTAGCGCATCATCACATCATACATTCAACCGCACTGATTGATACCTCACTACAGACTATATCCAACCATGAAGCATTGGCAAGTATGATGGCGATGCCGATCATGGTGGTTTCCTCTGTCAAATCTGTCGCACCCAAGAAAGTAGCCAAGGGTAAGGCACCCATACGTGAACGAACCATCATCTATGAAGGTAGTGCTGGCCCCCGAGAACTCTTGGAAGCAATTGTCATCCAAGCGCAAGCTGCTATCAAAGGATTGGAAGGCATTAAAACACCTGACCCAGAGGTGCTTGAGATGACGGAGGAGCAGAAACGCATGACATCGTCCGCAAAGGGCAAAGAGAGGGAATTGACCCCTTCTTTGTCTGATGAAAACCAGAGGCTACTCTTGTTTTGTCAACGGATCTTGGCGACAGCAAGTGCCATCGATCGCTCACTGCGCGAGACCAAGGGCGACGCATTTGTTGACCGATTACACGCTGCACTGCCAAAGATCTCATCGGAACCATTCGACCATTCATCAATTACTCTCGCTACGACAGATGAGGCACGGAAAAAGGCTTACGTCGACTGGGCTACTCAAGTTCGATTCGAATATTGTGACCTTACTGTTCCAAAAGAAGAAGACAAGAAAGGGGCGGTAGAAGAGAGCTTGCCCCATTACAAGTTCTATTATAATAGCGAGGCCCGAATGCTTGCCACCTCGGACATCCCTAAGCGTTCTCTAGCTATCGCAAAAGAGGTTTTGTGGGGTTTCTTTTGCCAAGGTTTCTTTTGACTTAGTCGATCACGCAGCTCGCCGTTTTGACGACGAATCTACCTGTTGCATGGGATTCCTCGGTCTTCTTGAGAGTTGACGAGAATCGGGTAGACATCATCAAGGCGCTCATCATAGGTCCAGAAGGAACTCCGTCAGTACCTGTTTTCCGCTCTCTTGAGCTTCTCTTACTTTTCTTTCCTAGGTATCAAGATGGCTGGTGGGTCATTCACAAAATAAATTTCTCCTGCTCAGAGTTTCTGCAGTTTCTTGTTTGATATTTTCCTTGGGCCGAATTATAACCAAGCTCCTCCGAGCGTCAAATACATGACGGTGAGTGACTGCTTTGGTTCGAGTATTTATGTATCTGAGCTTCCTTGGTAGACCAACGGCGGAAAGTATCGGTTCAACCCTAATCTCTACGCAGTGAGTGCAAAGACACAGGAAGTGATTCGTTCTCATCATATTTCAGGATGGCAAAGTCTGCCTATCTCTTCTCGGCACATGGTCTGGACCAGGGTGGGTCTCTGGAAAGTCAACATTGCTACAAGTTTGCGCTCCCCTACTGTCTCCCATTATTCGTGCTTACACCCTACAGGTCCTTATATCAATTCAGTCCATGATCCTTTGTGAGGAACCCTATCTCAACGAGCCTGGATGGGCAAACGACGGTGGTACTCCGCAGTCGAGGCAATGTGAGTGGCCAAACTCGATGATAAGTGTTTTCCCTGACATTGTCGTCAGACTCTTCCAACGTGCGGAGGATGGTCGTTAAGACTGCGGTAAGAGCTGTGTATGATCGTCCGTTGTCGTTTCTTATCTTTGATATTGCAGATGCTCGGCAACCTTAAGAACCCTCCAGAGCCCTTCGGCGACGTGATCCGTACGCACTACCGCCTCAAATCGCAGGCCATCATCACGCAGTTGGACAAATGGCTCATACTGGATGACGGTAAAGCAACTATTGGCGACTCATTTTCCACAAGGCAGGATTCTGGCGGCAGCTCTAATGGCTTTAAGAAGGATGTCGAGGAGATGCAGCAGTTGCTTAGACAGTTGCAGGATGACATGTTCAAAGTCGACAAGTGAGGACCGATGCGAAGCATACCCAGCATGGCAGGACCAGAAGTGAACCCCATACGTGTATTTAGGTGACTAATCGCTATATGCCATTCGTCGACTTGTGTCAATTCATCAAGCTCAATTGAAATGTTGTATTTTATTCCATTAGGCTGTCAATTGTGGACGGATTTGGATCGTCATGGTCACCACATCCCATGACTCGGACTCAAACTGAACAGTTTGACGTAGCTAGCCCTCCACCAGTGAACATAATAGCTCTGACGAAGTTCGGCTAACCCGACCTGGCACCAAGACAACTTGGACTTGATTGAGTGCCCATTGCACAACTAGGCTATATGAATATGAATAAATATTTTATTTGAAAGAAAGAAAAACATGCACAATTAATTAAATAAACAATCACATGATAATATTGGTGTCGCCGTCACGCCTGATTCACCCTCAAGTTCGACCGTGCCTCTGAAGTAAGTTCGTGTTCCAATTTGCAAAGCCGAGTGAAATAATGATAATATAGGCGCCAAGTTCCTTTCATTGATCACCACCAGTTCCAGAATACGAAAAACTGCTCGCTTCTAATCTTTCTTTGCACGACACACGTAGCATAGTAGTCCTGCGTCATTCGCATCATGGTAAGTGACTCTGCCATTCATTCACTCGCAGGCGCTGCCGGTGGCATCGTCTCCATGTCAGCAACATAGTACGTAGCATCTTATTACGTGTGTGAGTACAAATTCAAGTAGTGCTTTGTGCTCGCAGCCCACTCATAGTCTTATCGACGCGTGCTGCAGTCAACGTGAAGAATGACTCCAAGGTGACTACAAATCGAGTTGTAACATTTGCCTGCGCCTTGTTCTCACGCGTGTTAACAGAACGTAGTTCAACATTTCCGCGAGATTGTCAAGCACGAGGGTGTTGTGGGCCTTTATAGCGGTCTGAGCCCAAGTTTGCTCGGGATAGCTGTCACAAACGGGTAAAGCTTCCCGAACGCCCCGCGTTGTGTTTTGCTCACATCATAACGTCGACAGGGCGTATTATTATTTCTATGAATGTTCACGAGGGATCATTCTGAATTCGAGGCAAGGGAGCAAGGCGCTTAATATGTTGGAGTCGATGTTAGCAGGCGTTGTTGCCGGTACGCCAGCTTCGGTCACCCGCATGGGTAGTGTCATAACTTATCGTTGAACGTCCCACATTTTAGGATCAGCAACCACCATCATCAGCAATCCTATCTGGGTTATACAGATGTCCCAAGCCGTTCGAGCAGAACCCTCCCCTTCCGAATTATCCAAGTCACATGCAGTGCCCAAACGGCCAAGTATCTTGCGAACAATTCAAGCCATCATCGCTAAAGACGGGCTGAACGGACTCTTTCGTGGGCTCGGCCCTGCTTTAGTGCTTGTGATCAACCCTGTACTGCAATATACGGTGTTCGAGCAGTTGAAGAATTTTTTGATCAAGAAAAGGACTTTGAAGCTAAGAGCGAGGGGCTCTGGAAGTGTGGTTGCAGTCTTATCCGACTGGGATTTCTTTGTATTGGGCGCATTTTCAAAACTTGGTGCGCTTTCTGAATTACGGGTGTAGTTGGAAGTATGTTGACAATGTGATATGCAGTCGCAACGGGCTCAACGTATCCTTACATGTGAGCCTTAGTGCTTGATCGAGCTTTTCAGGCCGAGATCTGACTTGTACTCAGTGTCCTAAAGAGCAGGCTCCAGGCTGGGCAGGCGCGCGCAGAGCAATACAAATCTTCTCTCCATGGTCTCGCTACCATCTTGAAAGAGGAAGGCATACAAGGACTGTACAAAGGCGTCGGCAGTAAACTCCTCCAGAGTGTCCTCGCTGCTGCAATATTGTTTGCCGTACAGAGAAGAATATATGAGTTGACGAAGAAGGTACGTGTTCGGGTATCTCGGGCAGTACTGAATGTTTTGCTGAAAGGCGCACTAGGCCATCACGTCGCTGTCATGATTGTCCGCGGGGCATCAGTGCTATCATGAGTGTGTCGCGTATGGCAGGTAAGGTAAGGTTTAACCATACCATGTCGTGGACAGCCGATACAATTTCAAAGGTTACAAGCATGATTCCATTCTAACGAGAAGATGGGTGATGATTGTAAGAGATAAATTAGGGCTAAAGCCACCAAGTCATACAGAAGTCTTCGGAATGTCGAATTTATGGTTCGCAGTATCTTTGACCATGTTTACGACTCCGAGGTCACTGCCAGCGGTAAAAGTTGATAACATTCTTATCCGCCAGGGGTTTGGTGGGGGTGTGGTTTTCTATGTCAGAAAGATATTAATGTTTGCTGCAGAAACATTCGGAGGACCGTAGTCATTGATGACCCACGAGTCCGCCCGTGATAAGGACACCGGCCGAGCAAGATGAATCAATCGTCTACGTAACGGTGCTCGGCCGCGCCAGTTCCCGACGCCTGCTTCTGACGATCAATTTATTAGTTTGATAACCATGCACATTGCAATCTCTACTAGTACAGGTAAAAATGGAACGGACATAACATCATGTTCACTATATTCAGCATCTTAGCACGCGCATGGTGAGCATTATGGGCTCAACCTCGTTCCTCACCCAGCCGAGATGCTCACCATGATATTCACAAGTCATTACTAGCCCCTGAGATGGGGTTGTACAGTTAGGTGGGCCTCGATCAGAAGTATAGCGTCTGGACGCGCTGGAAAACTAGGTTGAGGAAGACTACGCCCAATGCGCCACCTCTCATCAAGCCCCGCAACATCCATATACGTCTTGCAGGGGTTGACGACATCGTCACAACATCAGGAACGATGACTCTGCAACAAATTCTACGCTCAAATCCCGTGTAATGTGCAGACGTTTTCCGAAACATCCTGACGCAGATACAAGCAATGAACTGGTTCTCGCCTGATCCGTCTCCTTCATGCACCTGAACATCATCAGGAAAATAACTCAAAGAACGTCTCAAATGCCCGTCCTTGGCTGATTAGTGCATAGTAGATATGTTAATGCACTCTCAGGGCGGGCATGACCATGCACATACAATCACACCCAGCTGCACAAAGAAGGCCTAGTTGTGAGTTGCTACGCACGCGAGACGTAAGTCAGAAGAGCAAACAGAGATGAGAATCCGGCTATGAATACAAAAAGGCTTCTTGCCGCTTATTGACAATGGCCCAATACAGCACTATGTGACCCTCGATGTTGGGAGATTGCAGGAGATCAGAGAACTTTGCAACTGAAAGAGAATCAGCGCAGACATCGACGATTAGGGCAGCATCGGAAGGGGTGATATCGGGAGCGGAGACCATATTACGGATGCGCGATAAGTCAGTAGTATGTTTCTGGTATCAGACGGAATCTGCTGATGATACAGATGCAGAAATGGTTTTCGAGAGAGGTGCATGAGTGAGGGACCTGCTGATCTTCCGCTTGATGTTTAGAAAGGAAAACACGGAGCCTCGGATGGTCTGTGCCCGACAGATGATGCAGATGATGCAGACGTAGGAATTAAGTCGTATGGCGGAGGTGCCTTAGGCCTTAGCGCTTAGCAACGAACTTGCTATCGTCGAGTACGTCAGTCTTGCTAGTCATTATTGTGGAGAGGCAAGTGACACGAACTTGGAAGGTAGTAGTTAAATGCTGTAAGACTCTAGAGAGTCACTAGACACACCGCTTTATGATAGATAGCTTGCTTTTGCTGTAATAAGTACACCCTGCCATGGTTTCTGCTTTGACTTATAGCTAGTCTCCTAGGCAGTCTTAAGAGAGGAAAACACAGTTAATATTTCAGGCATTGTAACAGTCACGGTCACACATAGGTCACAATGTTCCTTCTTTCGAGGTCTACTATGAGCCAGCCTTGGACCATTGTGCAAGTTTTTCCATTCAAGTTGATACGCCAGGAAAATAGTATTATAAGATGGCACCTCCGCTGCGCCCGAATGCAGTCGCATTCATATCACCCCAAAACCACCCGATCCTCATCCGTACATTCGAAAAAGGGGATGAGCTGAAGTACCACTATGTAGCCCATACAAGCCTCGATGTCATTGAGGAACGAAGTCAGTGCCCCCCACTGTCTATTTTCATTTCCCCACTGACAAGAACACCTCATTCGATATTTGGCATTAGTAAATGGTCCAACAAAATCTAACGATTGTTACCTCGGCCTTCTCTACGCCATGGATGACATAGCTGCTTACGGGTACATAACACCTCTAAAAATGAAGATTGTTCTCGCTCTCCCACTCACAGACTCTATCGTACGTGATGCGGAAGTGATCATGGTGTGTCCTTATAACTGTCGCCGTTTCTCCTCGTCCGCCTGATCCATTCTTTGACACGGATGTATCTTTAGACCTTTAAAGCCCTCCACCTAGCCTACTACCATGCTTCGTCGAACCCTTTCATACGACTTCATGATACGCCTACGGGCGTGGGGAGTGCCAAGTGGAAGCGCTTCAGACAGAAAATAGACGAGATAAGTAGGGCTGCCAGCGGTGGGAGTGTGCCTTCTTGAACTAGTCACTGCACCAAGGTAATGGATGTAAGAAGAATCGAACTGAACTGCCGATAATGGCGCATGTCTGATTGTCAATTTGTGTGGCCCAGGTTCACAGCTGACTCGCCGCGCTTTGCAGGCTCCGGCCATCCTTATGACAAGCGCGGGTCATGCTACTCGTTTGTTACGTGTGGACCGAAATGGATCAAACCCTTCTATTGACTCAGATGTCTAGCGAGCACCGCGTCTGAGACAGATACGGGGTTGATATATTTCATTTCATCATCTATTTTCTCTCACTAGCTCCTCTTGTGTATTATTTGGAGACGTGTCTTGTGGCAATGGTAGTCAATGATGGTTTGGTCCCTGCGCGCCATTCACATTTCGAACAATGGTTTTGTTGTCCAGTTCAACGCATCAATAGCATTCAAACTTCATCATTATTATTCCTGGAACCCATTTCAATTCACATGCGACCCACTCGCTCATGTTCAACCAACCGTCATGTCGTAGGATTCACAGCATGTTTCCTGAGTTATTATATGATCTCCCAAAACTTTTCTGGTGCACTGGATCCATCGGCCGGCCTCCTGGATCTCAGTAGGAGCTTCATTCGTAGCTTGATCGAGCGCTTCGTGTTCTAGACCTAACTTCGGGGATCATGAACCCATCAAAATTGAACCGAACACCGCGTTAGTTCAACTATTCGAACTAATGGTATTCCAGCTTTTGGGACAATCTATGTTTATTGATTCTGCTTGCTGAGACGGTCTGGCCAGCTACATCTTTGTTCGACGACGTTGGAAGAACCAGCTCAAGTCCTGGGACGTATTTCATGAATTTAAACTTCTTTCCCAACTAAATCACTCACTACCAATTACATCATTCTTCAGCTTTAGATGTTTTGTTGTCATTCGTCCAGGCATTCACAGCCCAACCAAAGCCTTCTCCAGGCCCTTTAACCCCTCCCCAACCTCTCTTGCCATGACTCTCACGATCGTGTCCTCATCCACAGTTGCGATATACTCCAACACCGTGCATGCGCGTCTCATGAATTCTTGGGATAGCGGTCCCCCTTCATATGACGTATACGCGCCTGTTTGCCCATCATATATGCCCCTGATTTGGACGCCGCTCCAGGAGCTGCCACCGCGTTCATATGCCTCCTGTATAAGCACCCGCACAAGAAGCCCGAGAAAGTGTAGCGCCGCGCGTCGGAGTGCTGGAATTTTTGAGGATACGCTCAGGGGGGATATGTCTAGCGGGTCTGGAGGGCGTTCGGGTTGGGACCGGGGTGTTGGAGAAGATTCAGATTCAGATTCTGCTTGTTCTGTGCTTACTCCTACATCTGTCTTCATTCTCTTCTCGTTCACCTTAGCTGTCGGATGTGGAATGGGAGTAGCCACAGTCATCTCGACCAACACCAAGTCCAGCATTCCCTCTGCTGTTTCCTTAGTGTATCGTTCCACCACCCGTGCACAGGTATTGATACATTCGGAGAGCAGGGAAATCGCTGACGTGCGCAAGATGACTGGTGCGCGAGGCTCACGGAGGAGGGAAAGGAGAGGTGGAAGGAGCGTGTCCGCTTTTTCAACGCAGCGAGTGATGACAAGATGAATGAGAATAGGATAAAGAGGTGGGATGAAACTCACCATATAGCCCCAGAGCGTCTCCACAGCGCCTCACAACAACTGCGAGAGCTTCACCGATGCGGAGACGTGTGTTAACTTCACTTATTTGTTTGCCCTTTGCCCTGCCCGTCTCACCACCCTTAGGCTTTGTGTCCGATTCTGCCTTGTCATCAGCAAGATCCTCCGCCCCCCTCGCATACGCATCCAGAAGCGCTTTCAACACTTCGTTCCCCGCGCCAGACCTGGAATTGGGACCAGGGGCATGCACCAAAGCAGCGAGTCCTTGCACCGCATTCAAAAATACATACGAGTCGTCCTCCTGAATGGCTTGCAAGAATATGGAGAGGATAGCAGGGTGTAGGGCACGTATTGTCGCTACCTTCTCAAGTCTCTCTCGCTCAGTCTTACTCACACGAGCCGGGGAAGATACCAACTCGCGTAGTAAGAGCAACCCGTGCGCTCGTACAGGTAGGAGCGGGTCTTGAAGGAGCTTAAGTGCTTTTTGGTATGTTTCTCGCGGATCTGCGTCAGCATCCTCGCTTCGACCGTTGGATCTGCCCTGATTTTTTGGAGCAGACCCCGATGCGGCTAACGCCCCCTCTGCCATCCTCGCTGTCAACACTAACTGTGCCTCACGTGCGCTTGGCCGGGTCGGCGTGTGCGCCTTGAGAAGGTCGAGGATTTGTGTAAGGGAGGGTGTATTGTTCGGGGTGAGCGAGGGGTTGGCTGTGTTTTGGAGTGGAGTGTTTGTGGAGGAGTAGGAGACACGACAGAATATACATGACATTCACAGTGAGGAATATGATACAGAGACACGGAAAAAGAGAAGTTAGTTCTTATTCTTCGGAATGAGAGACAAGGACGAACCTTCCAGTATAGCCAACAACAATCCAACAGCAGTTTCTACCATATCTTCTCCCTCAACCTCTCCATCGTCCTCGTCGTCGCTATCTGGCCCGAATTCCTGCTCCTCTGGTACGATTCTTAGATCCTCCCTCAAAAGACCTTTGGTGTATTCGTTGTTTAGGCCTCGATCTGATGTGCCAGATACGGATGCGGAGGAGGGTGTATCAGATACCTCTAACGCGTGCCTCACAAATTCCAACACATCCCTCGGGCGACTCAGGATAGCGGTGTTGTCCAGCTCAGATTGAAAGGCCATGATGAGTTGGAGGAGAAGCATCACTCTGTTAACGTCATCTGCATCAGCAGACATGGCTGGGCTGGCATGTTAAGCTTACCGGAGTGGATCAGGTTCCTTCGGATCCATCAATATACTCTGTGTTTCTCCTCTGGTACCACTGTCTTGCGTATTATCAGCAGAACTAGATCCCTTTGCAGTGCGATATGCCTCCAGCAATCTCACGAACATGCCTCCTGCGATATCTGCACGATCGAGGTTCTTGATATAGGAGACAAAGTGCGCAGGAGGTGGGTAGAGTCCCAAGTCTAATGACTCTATATCTGTGTCCTCGGTGACGGAGGCATGCCGCAGGTCTTCCGGCGTAAGAAGAGCGAGTTTCTCTTCTCTGTTGACCCTGTATCAAACTTGGACTCAGACTTACATGAAGATGAAGTAGCACCAGTGGAACGAACCTCCTTACACGTTTTATATCTTCTGCACTTCCTCCTTCCCATCCTCCTGAAGAGCTTTCATTCTCATCCACTAATGACCACAACACTCGAATTCCCTCGCCCTCCTCTACAACCCGTCCCCATGTCCTCATCAATGACCAAACATCCTCTTTTAGTATTGGATCTGCTACGCCCATTTTACTGAGATGTGCATGAAGGGAATACAGAGAGGGGAGGATGGGTGAAAGGAGGGAGGCGAATAGAGAGGGCGATGGATCGATTGATAGCAGGATGGTGTGAAGGGTTTGGAGGGATGATGATGGGGTAGGCAGAAGGTAGCTTTGATCTGGTTCCCTCTGATCGCGTGAGGTCTCGTCGGAGACTTTGGAGAGGGAATTGTGTAAAATGGGCAAGACTATGCTCGCTACGAGCGCGTGGTGTGCAGAACTGGAGTCCAGCATGCGTGCGAGAGTAAATGCTGCAGCGCGTTTGAATGCAGGGTGTGTTATTGGTGTTGAAGCAGAAGGGGGAGACGGAGAAATGAGAGCAAGGATGCGCGGTGTTATTGTTTGGAAGTAATGCTGGAACAGTATTGGATCAGAAATGCATTGAAATTGATTTAACCCAACCTCCACACCTTGGGTTGCATCCCTCGAGGTACTGTTCCTAGCACGCGTGCAACATGCTCCAGCTTATCGAGTTCCGGTTCGTCTTCCGCATCGAGCTCACCAAATATAGCAACACAGAGAGCACCCACACCGCCTGGGTGGAGAAGGTGTTGAGTGAGGAGGGAGGAACAGAGTTTACGGACGTGGGGTGGTGTCGGAGAATTAGGGGTGGAGAGGACCGTAGCAAGGGATGACATGAGTTGGGGGAGGGGGATGCTGAGAACAGACATTTTGTGGGGAAATGAATGAGATTACGAGATACGACTGCTGCAAAGTACACGCACAAGGCGAGGAGACGGAGCACGAGCGGGCGGAGAGACTCGACGGGTTCACTAGGTAGCCATCCTAGGGCCATACTCGGGCGTAACAAATCAACTGCATGTCTTGACAGCAGTGTACTGCTAATGAGCGTCTGAGGTGGCGTACTCTTTGGGCCATTTGGGAACAAGAGACCCATGAGGCGCAAAAGCAGGTCAGAGAGTGTGGCGTGATCGGCGGGCGTGTTCGTCAGGTCTATAATTTTTGGGGTGCCGGGAATTAGTTTAGACGTTAACGAAGGGGTGAGACGCGTGTAAAGTATTTCGGTTCCCCAGCGAAAAATAAGAGACATAAGAGTGCGGAGTGTGCTGAGGTCGCGTGTCCCTATTGCAGGTGCGCTTTTCAGATCACCTTCTTGTCGGAGATCTGGCAGGTGAAAAAGAGATTGAACGCGCTCAACAACGTGCAAAGCACATTGAGCTGTTTCAAGTTGGGCATCCTCCACTGTATCAAGAGAAGGAGCGGAGGATCCGACTGCTTGATGGTATTGCGCTAGCCTGCGCACAAGTACATTTTTAAGATCGTGTTGGGTGGTGCCAGACGTGTCGAGAAGAAATGAGCCAGAACGCAAGACGTTTGCGAGCTCCTCTTGTGCTTCGGTCATCATCGTTAAAAACAGTATACCACATAGTACCAGTGCGACGGTGCCGAGATCCGAGTCTATAGGTCACATGACTCTGACTGATAAAATTCAATGATCTATACGGCTCTACTTAAATTCTTAACCACAACATCGCCGCTGATCTAGTTCAACGATGAGCAAGCTCAACGCAGGCGCATTCGAGTTCGTTCCAGGTCGCGCATTTGTGCTACCTCAGAAAAGTCAAACGCCTCCTTCAAAACCTCCCCTCGAGCGCCCTCTCCAAACTGAAGCTCCACCTCCAGCTCCTACCATCACCCTTAACATCGGCGGATCGAACACTCCCGTTGCTCCTGTTCCCGCTCCCGCACCTGCTTTACAGTCAAGATCTGCTCCTGCTCTTACTCCACAATCAAAACCTACTCTGCCACCGTCTGTATCTGCGAGCACCACACCATTACAATCTTCTTCTCCTACACCACCTACTAACAAAGTATTTTCCACTGAACGAGCCAAGACAGACACCACATCCATTGCAAAGGAAGTCCAGGCTATTGCAGACCAGGAAGTACTTAAGGATCTTTTTGGTGATGGTACGCATCTTACCTCACCGTCCCTCTCATGCAATTGTACTCACATATTTATAGTCAAAGAACATCTTAACATCGTCTTCATCGGTCATGTAGATGCTGGAAAATCAACTCTTGGCGGGAACCTCCTATATATCTCTGGTGGTGTTGATAAGCGCACCATGGAGAAATACGAGAAGGAGGCAAAAGAAGCTGGCCGTGAAACGTGGTACCTTTCCTGGGCGCTCGATAGCACCCCTCAGGAGCGCTCAAAGGGGAAAACCGTCGAAGTCGGTAGAGCCTACTTCGAGACATCGTTTCGAAGATATACCATTCTAGATGCTCCAGGCCACAAGACTTATGTTCCGAGCATGATTAGCGGTGCTGCCCAAGCAGATGTCGCAATACTCGTCATCTCCGCACGAAAAGGTGAATTTGAAACTGGTTTCGAAAGAGGTGGCCAGACCCGCGAACACGTCATGCTCGTGAAAACCGCCGGCGTCAGCAAAATCGTCATCGTCATCAACAAGATGGATGATCCGACTGTCAACTGGGACAAAGGCAGATACACTGAGATCAAGGATAAGTTGACCCCATTTGTGAAATCTGCTGGTTTCAATCCCAAAACGGATGTCACCTTTATACCTGTATCTGGATATACAGGTCAGAATCTAAAGGATCGCGTAGCAAAGTCTATCTGCTCATGGAATGAGTGTGTGGTGTTTTCTTTCTTCCACGTATATACATGCTCATGCCCATATTGCAGTGGCCCCTCTTTCCTTGAACATATGGACAACATGCCCATGGTAGACCGCAAGGTCAATGCTCCCCTCATGATGCCAGTCTCCGAAAAGTATAAAGACATGGGTGCCATCATCGTCGGCAAGATCGAATCCGGACACATTCGCAAAGGAGACTCTCTAACCCTCATGCCGAACAAATCTGCTGTTGAAGTCGCCGCCATCTACAATGAGATGGAAGAAGAGGTGCCCAGTGCGATCTGCGGTGACAACGTGCGCGTGAGACTGAGGGGCGTGGAGGACGAAGATATCAGCCCTGGATTTGTACTCACAAGTCCGAAGTCTCCTGTGAGAGCGGTGAGGCAATTCGAGGCGCAGCTTGCAATTTTGGAACATAAGAATATCATTTGTGCGGGATACTCGGCTGTCATGCACGTGCACACACTTTCCGAAGAGGTTACATTGCCTGTGAGTGCGGCGTGTTTTACTGGTTTACACAGTCCTGATATTCATAGGCTCTACTACACTACTTTGACAAAGCTACCGGTCGCAAGTCGAAGAAACCGCCTCAATTCGCAAAGAAGGGTGGGTGTACTGTGCACAGTGTAATCAATTCTCACTGATGTTTCTTCCTCGACCATTTCGCTGCGGCACAAAAAAAATTCCGTAACAATCACCTCTACCCCTCCTGCACATCATATTCGCCCACCACTTCGTTCCGATTTCCAGGCCAAAAAGTCGTGGCGCTCATAGAAACGACTCTTCCCATCTGCGTCGAGCGCTTCGTTGATTACCCCCAACTCGGTCGCTTCACGCTGCGTGACGAGGGCAGAACAATTGCTATTGGAAAGGTGCGTTTTTTTATATCGATTGGTTGCTGCATGTAAACTTTTACTCGCTTTGGCTTTCACTTGACCACTTCTCGGTCTTCCCTCGGACTTGTTAACTAAATCTTTTCTTCTTCGCAGATCACAAAACTTCATGACGATCGCGTCGATGAGGTCACAGAGGGCATGGCACATGTGTCGGTTGCGGCGTAAGGTGCTTGCGTGTGCTTGCATAATACTTCCACGTATGTATTCTATGTGATATTATTATTGAGCCATAGCTCACGTTCCTTCATTCTTCCCACAATACGTGTCGCATTTTTTTTGGCTGTGGTACCTACACCTTTTATTCCAATTTGTCCATACCGTGTTCCGATAGATTGAGGGTACGATACCAAGAAATCAGAAGCCCAGACTCCCTAACGATTGCAGTAGTTGTAATAATAGAACTACGCTGTGGACCTATTTGTTATGCTTTGAGTGCTTTCATTTATTATGTACGATCATGTAGTTGTGTGCAAGTTTATTGTTCTGTTACGACCACAGATTGAAATATTGACCACCGGTCCACAATAAATCTGAAACGCGCTAATCACGTGACCAAAGGTCACTTGCCTTCCTTTCTGGTGCACTGGCAGCCTCATAGCTTCAGCCATGACGCTCAAACTCAAGCGGACGAGCCATTCCCCCTCTCCATTTTCATGGGATGCTCTCAGCCCACCACGCGCGGAGTCTCCAAATACGCCCGAAGTTACCGGTCTACCTCCTCCGCCAACATCATGGCTCTCTGCCCGCGACATGAAAATATTTGGTGCCCAACCACTACGTGCTGACATCGGTGTTGTGCGTTGTGCAGACTGTGACAAGCCTATCTTGCGTAGCGCCATTTCAGAACACATCAGTATGTCATGGCTTTCTACACTACCAGATATTTAGCTCATGCACAGTTAGGCAACTGTAACGACATCCGTTCAGGGAAGAAATGGGTGAAGGGCAAAACGGCAGATAGCGAAGGTACTGTCTCCTGATATATTTTCCTTTCATCATATATAATCAGCCCCATCAAGTTGAGCCGAAGAAAGGCAAGAAGCGGGCTGCAGACGGCGAGGACGGGGATGAAGCCGGCGAGCCGTCTAAAAAGAAGACCAAGATAACAAAGGGGCGTACTAAAGGCCCCGTGGACTATGACAAGCAATGTGGAGTGATCAATGATAAAGGCCTCCCTTGCTCGCGCTCCCTCACGTGCAAAGCTCATTCCATGGGTGCGAAGCGCGCTGTTCAGGGTCGCTCGAAGGCGTATGACGAGCTTTTGCTCGAGTGGAACCGTGCGAATAATCCTAATTGGGTAGAGCCGGTAAAAAAAGAGACGAAAGCAGAGAAGAAGGAGAAGCGCGAGAAGGAGAAGGCGGAGAAGAAGCGCCTCGCGCAGGAGGCTGCATTAGCAGCTGGACTGGAAGGGAAGGGCATGCCGAAGAAGCCTGGTAGGAAGGCGAATACATTAGGCACTGCTGCCACACAACTGGATGTCGATGAAGCTGCTGAAAACTTGGATGATCTTGACTCAGAAGCAGAGGTCGACTCACTGGTGAAGGCCGTGCAGAGTGCACAGGCGCGTGGGATCATAGGAGTGCCATTGGCTGTCCCATCATCGGAGAGTTCGTGGTTTGTATTGCGGAGAGAACGCCTGCGAAATTGCCGAGAGCTGCTTGCGAGTGCGCTCATTCCGCCCAGCGGACGTAGTAGCATCGCGGCAACTGTGTCTAGCATGGCGCTTGGATAGATGCATCACCCTGCCGTTGTCGCCATTTATATCATCTACAACATATTATTCACGGATTACTGGGACATTTCATTGTGCCAATTATTGGTTTATTTCTCGAGCTATCATTATTGTCGTTCTTAGCATATATGTACGTGTACTATGTAGCTGTAGCAGTAGATCTTCACGAAGTTCACCACCCGGGACGTCACGTGAAGCAATTATCTCACCTTTGCCATCTCCGTCACTCCACCCACTGCCTCGTTTTCCAAGTTTCCAACGCCCGCTGCCGTTTCTGCCTAATAACTGATCATAACTAACATACTATATAGGTCTTTCTCTCACTGCAGAGTAATATCAACAGAGTGTTCCTAAAGTAGCAGCATACGCAGCTCCGCAGACGCTGTGACACTTTCCCGATTCCCAACATTTAAGTTTGAACCTCGTACCGTTCACCGCTGATGTCAGAACACGAGGAATATCTCGCAGTCCTCAAGGCATCTTATGACTACCAGCCCCAGTCAGAAGAGGAGCTTGCGATCACTGAGAACCAAATTGTCTTTCTCCTTGAACGTACTGATGATGAGTAAGTAGTTATGGCTTGCTCTTGGTCTAACGCTCATGCTATACAAAGTTGGTGGAAAGTCAAGATAAAAGGTGAATCACAGGAGGAAGATAGTCCATCTGGCCTCGTCCCTGCTGCCTATGTTGAGCAGGTCCGTTTCATATCCTTACTTTATTCACAGCCTGTCTGATAGATGGATGCGGGACTAGGCTGAACACACGTCTCTTGTCAAAGCTATCTATGACTATAATTCGGCTGCACCCGGAGAACTGTCTATCAAGGAGGACGAGGTTCTAATGGTCTTTGACCGTGAAGAAGATTGGATACTCGTTCAAAGCAAGCAGGGCGGCAAAGCTGGCTTTGTACCAGGAAACTATGTTGAAGAGGTATGCATCTGCATCGAACACGTTGCCTCATATTTATCTCGCACGAAGACTACTGGTGCGGAAAGCACACCAGCACCGGCTTCTGCAGCACCTCAAATTATCATTCCGCCATCGGTGCGTCGATAATTCAAGAAGTTAGCAAAGTCCATCACTGACATATTCTCTGCAACATACCTAGCCTGAACCCCCAGCTCGTCCCTTGAGCGTGTATGTGGACCCTGCTGACAGAGTTGCCCAGTCCAAAGCCCAAGCTCGTGTGAGCGACGAGATCAAGACCTGGTCTGTGTCTGAAGTGGACAGGAAAGGCAAGAAGAAGAAGGGTACTCTCGGCATTGGCAATGGCTCCCTCTTCTTCGCAAGCGAATCAGACAAGGTATGCCCCAAATCCTCTATTATTCGTATAATCATCTCCCGAATTGAGTAATCGAACTCACTTGCATCGCGTAGACTCCAGTGCAGAAATGGCAAATATCTGACGTTGGAGACATATCCGTGGAGAAGTACAAGCACGTGTATATTGACATGGGCGGGCCCAGTGCGACAAAGTTGCATTTCCATGTTGGAAGTAGAGATACGGCTGATGCTGTTGTCGAGAAGCTGGAGACTTCTCTTACACTTGCGTCCGCCGATCAACGTGCTGTCATCTCTCCGTCGCCGCACTCGGAAGTGAGCAGTCCGGTGAAGAGGAACGGCGCTTCTGTGCGCTTCGCGGAGGAATCTCCTGCAATTATACCGCCACGCGAATCCTCCGAGGAGGAAGAGGAAGAGGCGGAGGAAGATGGGCAAGGTATTGATGATGGCGAACCTGCCGTCGCATTATATGACTTCGAGGGCACGGGCTCAGATGAATTGAGCGTGCAGGAGGGTGAGCGGCTCTGGATCATCGAGAAAGAGGGCGAAGAGTGGTGGAAGTGCAGAAACGAACATGGAATTGAGGGAGTTGTACCTGCATCGTATCTCGAGGTCAGTCCTAAGTCAGCATGAGAGTCAATTACTGATATCATACACAGAGCACTGGTGGGGCATCCGTCACTACTGAGCCAGAAGATGATGGTGCTGCCGAGCGCGAAGAGCAAGAGCGTCTCGAGGCCGAGAGGAAAGAGGAAGAGCGAAGGGAACGCGAACGTACGGAAAAGGAGCGAAAGAAGAAGGAGCAGGAACAACGCGCGAAGGCTGCTGCTGCAGCGGCAGAGGTTGATAGGAAACGACGCGAAAAGGAGGAAACTGCGGCCGCCGCCGAAGCAGAGCGTAGGAAGCGTCAGGAGGCTGCAAAGCGTGCTCAACAGAGGGCAGAAAGGGGGCAGAGTTCGTCGCCGTAGGTGTCGCCCTCAGCCTATGCTCAAAACCTTTTTTTTTGATATATTGATCTCTCAGTCGTCCTCCGACCTCGCAAGCAAAACCCAGAGAGTCGACGTCTAGCGCAGGACGTAGCTCAAGCGATGCTCACAAGAGTGAGTGTTTCACGATGACATTCAATCTCTTCTAACCTGTCAATCGACTTCAGGTATACCTTCCGCGGAGTCTACACGTATATGGCACGACCGCAGTGGCCAGTTCCGTGTCGAAGCTGCTTTTCTTGGGTACTCTAACGGCAAGCTACGTCTACACAAAGTCAACGGTGTTGTCATCGAGGTCCCCTCGGAGAAAATGTCCCTCGAGGACATACGTTATGTTGAGCGACTTAATGCCAAGGATGATAACCCTCCTGCAGCGCCACGCCGTCACTCCGATGATGACGACCAGCCACTTGCGCTCAAGCAAAAGGAAGTTGTACGGCGGGCTACCATGTCAACGCAGCCCAAGAAGCCGCAGACGGACTGGTTCGAGTTCTTCCTGAATGCGGGCTGCGACATTGACGATTGCACGCGATATGCGGCCTCCTTCGAACGTGACAAGATTGATGAGGCAATCCTCCCAGACACTACCGAGTCCACAATGCGTTCGCTGGGCTTGCGCGAGGGCGACATTATTCGCGTTACAAAGCATATCCAGTTGAAGTTTGCAAAACCTAAGAAGGACACGTCACAAGAGCAGCTTATTCGCGACGAAGAACTGGCACGGCAGCTACAAGAAGAGGAGAATGGCACGAGGAGTAAAGGTTCATCAAGTCCTGCGCCCAACCTCTTTGCTGGTCCAGGAGGCGTTCTCAAGAATAATACCCAACGCCGCGGGAGACCGCAACCTAGCAAGTCTCTGCCACCGCCGTCCGTCGACCTCAACGCCATTAGCTCTGCTTCTGACCAGATTAAACGGACTGGCTCACCTCTCGCCATGAGTCCTGCCACTATCACGCCTGTGCAGCCACCTCAGAGGTCAAGCTCAACGGTGCCCGTTACTAGTGGCTTTGAAGACGATGCTTGGACGAACAGACCGGGGTCTAAGCCTTTGGCTGCTAATTATCGTGCACCATCGGCACCACCGGTTGCACCTGTCTCGGCTGTGCCCGCTGCACCGACGCCACCCCTTCCACCACCAGTGGCGCCAGTACAGGTTGCAACAACTGGCAATGGCCTTGCAAAGACTGATGCTGACATCTTCGACCAGCTTGCGCGCCTGAGTCAGTTGAAAACAAGCCGTCCTTCTCCATCCCCAGCACCTGCCCCGCCTCCTGTTGCGTCAAGTCCACCAGTAGTGTCTCCACAGCCACCTGTCTCATACAATACCGGCCTCGGAATGGGTTCTTCTCCTACACCCATCGGGCAACATCTGCAGATCCAGCAAACAGGTGCACAAGGCCCTCGTGGGCCATTCGCTCCTGTTCCGGCCAATCAAAGTTTGTTGCAGCCCCTTATACCCACTACCACAGGGTTCAACAACTTTGTACCAACACGCCCATTCAGCGCGTCGCCTTTCCAGGGTCAAGCACCAACTCCATTCCTGTCAGCGCAACCGACAGGCTTTCCCGGTACATCACAACCACTCTTATCACAGCCCACAGGATTACCGACATCGGGACCACTGCTCTCGCAACCAACCGGTATGTTCGGGGGGCCGTTTGGCACATATGGCGCTCGCCCGTCATTCCAGAATACCACGATGCAACAGGTGCAACCGAGTAAGTCCTACTGTGCGATTTTCTTGAAAATTAATGAATCTCGATTAGACCCAACAGGAGTGTTTGCCCAGTCTCCATTCAACAATGTGGTTTCTTCCCCACCACCCATTCCTTCTTCGTACTCTCAGTCAAACACTGGTTCTAACACAACACCAGCAAACATATTTGCTCAGATGAAATCGGGAACGTTTGCCAGTGGAAATGAGTATTCCGGACCCCAGCAGGCAGGTGGGTGCCACCATGCTGTGACTATGTATTCGTGATATCTGATTGATAATCTCAGAGATATATGATGCTCTGCGCGTAAATCGTGAGTTTTTGTCCAGGCTGATGTAATGAGGACTGACTAACATCACCAGCTATCGCGCCTCAACCCACAGGATTTGTCCCACAAACAACTGGGTGGGGATTTCAACCTAACAACGGATTTCAACCGAATGGATATACGGGATACTAGACTTAGTGTTAATTGTTGCTTTCTTTGACCAGATTACAATGCTTTGGATGTGAAAATATATAATTGAACCTGGACTTAAATGTTGTATGAGTAATCAAATCTAGGAAAACTAAACAATGTGCTACGATGCCTCTACTACCACTATGCCTTGGGTCCGTCCAACTCTCTCGAAGTACATCTTCAGTCCCAGTCTGATTTCCGGTGCAACATCACGAGCAAGCAGCCCGGTTGTCAACGGATAAATCGCTGGAAGATATCTTACAAACTGCATATCTCGGTCAGCAGAGAAAATATGAATTCCAAGGCATCACATACAGCCTTATTGTCAAAACGACAGAACCCATCTAATATCTCTGCAACGACAGGTGTCCAAGCGGTTATGTTCTTGGCCTGTGTATCAGCGCGCAGCTTAATGTAGTCCTGTAGCACGCTCAAACCAAGACTACCATCTGGGTCAAATAAGGAATACAGAGTTGATGTCGTACTTACGGCAAAAGGCGTTCAGCAATCTGAGGGCGTGCGTTCTGGTGCTCTGGGCGCTCATCAAAGTACATTCTAAGTAAGATGTGCACCAAAGTTGCTGCACTGCTGGACTCTTGTTTAAGGAGATTAGGCAGGTGCTTCATGAATCCTTATGACGGTAATCAGGAGAGATCTACTAGCACCACCAGAAACACACTCACCGACTTTCCAGAGTCCAGTACGCAACTCTTTATCATCATTAAACATTCTAGCGAACTGATAGCTATGATCCAGGACCCCCATAAGACGTAGAAGCTGCTCTGGAGGGATAGTAGTGTAGACAGCATCGTTCCGGAGCAAATCATTGGTAGTTTCAATCAGTAGTAGCTGAAGAACACATTTGACAATTATCTGTTTGAAAATGCGACGTCGGTCACCAAGTGTGTGCTTGACTTGTTGAGGCTGAGGCTGGTCACCGGTAGGAGACAATGGGGCTGGGATGATTGCTTGGTCATTAGAATCTTTGGAAGTGAATTAGCTTGTGCAGATTGTCCATACACGGAACATACCGTTGGTATCTGGAAGATCTGATACAGTACCTCCATCCATCTCCTCACGTAGACTGTCGTCGAAAAGTTGGTGGGGGGTAGTTGTTCTATAAAGCTTTACAAAAGTAGCTGCCACTCGTTCCCACTGAGCGGCGCTGAGCTTCTGCACATTATTTTCCAGAAATTGTTGCAGACACGATGTCCCAATACGAGCTAAGGTGTCGTTTTCTGCGTTGAATATATGAGTAAGCGCTCGGCAGCACCGCATCAGCCTACCTTGGCAGATACAAACACACAGAAGCTCCAGTAATCCGTCGAGGAAGCGCTCCAGGGTATCATAGAAAAACGTGTAGAGGTCGATGAGGTCACGTAATGCCTGAATCATCGTAGTTGACAACCACACGCTCATATCCTCCTGAGTATTGAATCTAGACATGTCTTGACTCGACTTCAAAACGGCGAAAATCGGGAAAAGTATTTCTTTGCAAACTGTGTCCCAAAATTCCACAGTGAAAGATGATCCATAAGTTTTCAGCGTCGAAAACAGAGAATCCAGTGCGCTGTACGTCAGGTGAGCTTGGTAAAAAGTTCAGACCAGGTAAGGACTCACAGACGTCGTACTTCAAGGTCCTCTCCGTTCATTATGATGTCATAGAACCCGAATAATACAGGGAACCAGAACCTAATCATGATGTCGTCGCCTTGAGGTCCAACCCCCGGACTCAGAGCACACTCAGGGCAGGTGAGCATGACCGGAATAACACCACGCAACATGCCAATCGCTAATAAACTTATCTTCTGATACTTGCTGACCTTGCAAAACTCGGTGATGCAAACAGTCAGATCTGCGAAAGCACCATGACGGACAATGGCAGTAAAATGTTCCTTGTTCAATCTCGTCACGATTTCGAATGCGGAATTCGCAATACGTTCTGAGGTAAGGGGAGGATGATCAGAATTTTACACCAAGCAGGGGCGTTGAGCATTCGTCCTCACCAGTTAGCACTTTTGAAGCAGCAGAGAAGACACCAAAGAGTGTACGCCATCCTGAACGCATATTTTGTACTCTGGCTTGTATCATTTGTTGGAGACATTGCAAAACCTGTCGAGAATGTCAGTATCATAAGAATTGGCTGATACACTGCGTACCATATCGCGAATATCAGGATTGGCATTGTGAACCATCGTGTATTCGAAGGGCTTGAGGAAGTCCTTTTGGAACTTGAAATGGGGCAGCTCTTCCTTTTCCAAAAATCGCATTGATAACTGACGGAGAGAATCCAGGGCAAAAGAACCAACGTGGGGATTGCTGTGACAGCAAACCTGCAAAGTGTGAGTATATGTTTATGTCGGACTGTTCAACATGTTACCTGGTTGAAATGTTCTCCTAAGATATCCCAGAGATTGGACCACTCGAGACGGATACGGTTCATGTTGTAGTATGATATCTCTACAAGCTTTTGCAGACTGAACAAACGAGGATGTTGTGATATTCCAGACGATTGAATCTCCTCCCATGAAACATCACAAAGAGCCCTCGCGAAATCCACAATAGCAGTCTATAAATCAATAAGTCAACATTACGAGGTAAGCGAATTGGATTAGGAAGAACTCACGCCAGACAGGTAGTGGCTGAGTGAAAAGACCATATCTGCTGCCACGGTGATGTGAGTCGACCTGCTTTCGTTGGCAAGTTCTTCTGCTGGAAGCTTCTTAGATCGACTAAGGAATAATCAGTCAACAGTGGTGTATATGTACAAATCACCCACCCTTTCTTTCCGCTGTCCGGGACTTCCACACCGCCGCTGATAAGTTGCATATGTTCCAGCTGTGACACACACGACAGCACGTCGCGCCACGACCCTTTCAAATTGTTGCCTTCGTTGACCGCGATATCTAGCAACGTCTTGATAGCATCCATATTCTTGGTTTTCATTTCTCCAAAGTTGTTGAGGAACGTGAACTTCGCAAGGGTACTAACAAACGCATTGCGTTCGAGGTCCAAATCGAAGAAGCAAACTATGTGGATGGCATTCTTGAATCCATCTAAGCAGAGATCGACTATCTCAAGGTCATCCGTATTTTGAAGCGGGCCGGACAATCCAGCTAAGAAGGGTATCCATGCCACCTCAAACATCGGCCGAACATGAATGAAGTGTGACGCGCTGAAGTATTGGTCTCCAGCACGAGATCCTCTTCGTTGAGAGCGCATAAGCGTTCTGAAGAGTGCCTACAGGAGATTAATCCGCGTTCAATCAGAAGACTGGCAACTTACTTCAGTCTTGTTAGCCATGCCATTGGACTGCATTACATATGCTTCCTTTTGAAGGTCCCTCCCCACGTTCGCTAACACATTGGCAAGACCAGGACCCGTGGAGGGCAAGTTGATTGTGGCGTCAACTTCGTCTTTCATCCTAATCTCGTTACCCTGGATGTCGTGAAAAATGGCGCTCAAAAATTCCTCCGGAAGACTCTCTCCGTCGTTGATACCACGGTTGTTCTTGATAAAGTCAGCTTTAGTCATGCGATTTTTAATTTGAGGACTGTGAGCATCGGTATTGAGCAAGATGATAGAATACGCTAGAATATAGGCGGCATCTATTCGATGGCAGGTAAGTGATCCGAACAAATTAGCCAGATGTCCACAAACCTGCATTCTTGAAGGGTGTCTGAGCGTTGCCGGCGATGTAGCGTTCCGCGAACTTGAGCATGAAACGATCGATCTTCTGAGCTTCTCCAGGAAGGCGGAATGCCTGCAAAAACACACGAACAGCGTCTACGAAGCCTAAATTCCTGAAATCCAGAAAGTCGACAAAAGCATGCATGATAGCAACGTTGTATTCATCTCTGCAGTACAGTGAGAATCATTATGGATGATGATGTATTGAAGATACTTACCCTTCACCAAGGTACTCGCCAATCATACTTTTGCTGAGGCCATCAGTGGTTAATAAAAACCCTGCAATATCACGAGGCGACGAGCTTGGAATGAGTTCCGTCTCGATCAAGAATTGAATGCCCTAAGAGGAAATTAACGTTGCTAGTTTGTAAATAGTGAGAGGACGAACGCGTTTGGGCTTGAAGTTGAACTTCTTGATACCCTCGAGCAGAGTGGTCTTTTTTTGCTTGGCACTCTCAAACCTGGAGGGATCATCTGCAATGTCCGGAGTTGATTGCCGAAAGGCTTCTGTGCTTCCAGCGGAAGCAATCAACCCATCTAATGAAGGATCAGGTGTCATAGCGTCAGCTGCAACCTCTTCCCCGATCTGACTTCTTGAGGCAGTATCCGCAGTTGCGGATTCCGCAGGGGTTTTCCCAGCGGCTGTTCCCCAAGTCACAAGAGATCTAAGAACAGCCACCAAGCATTCGAGACCCTGCCTTCTAAGTTGCCCCTCGGAAAGGCCCATAGTGGACGTGTCCATGGTGCCGGATACAGCTAGTGCGCCTGACACGTGCGCCATCGACGCTGAGCTTTTGGTCTGTGGTGGGAGCGCCGGGCTTGCAGGGTCGTTCGTCTTTTGTTGCGAGGAAGTATACGGTAATGTAGCAATCTTGGATATAATGTTCATGAGGCTGGCCATCATGTTAGCCTGCAGCTTGGATCTTTCATCCTCTGACACTTACTGCTCGTATATATTATCTATAGCTCCGCTGTCGCAGTCATAGTTGAGATATATCTCTACCAAAGCCTGCGGGTCCTGGCAAAGCCTGGAGAGCATTCCAATGATTACAGCCTTCTGCTTGAGAGTTGAACTCTTCATTTCCAGAATAGGAACGAATATCTCGTGCAGTAGGACTTCGATCTCTTTCTGTGCATGAGAAAATTAGTCATGTACAGTTCATGGATAATGGTAGTACCTTGAGCTTCGTTCGCATTCCTGATAACACTCGCCAGAAGATCTCCACGCTGACTTCGAACACTTGGGGCACGGGGCTAACTGCGTTGCGGCTCAAGCTGAGGCAAAGGTATTGATTGACAGCCTGAACAAAAGTAGTTGCCTCGTTCGTGGAAGAAGAGTAGATTATGGCTTTCGAATCAATGAATAGTGCCATATGTGAGTTAAGGATGGTGAGCACGAGGTGCAGGGACAAGAGTTTAGACCTCATTGCATGAGATTTGAGATCACGCTCGCTACGCCAGATATTAGCACCATCACCCTAAATAATAATAATAAAAGCATACCTCTCTGTGTTCAAGGGCTTCATTGTCAATTTGCACAAGGCTCGGAAAACCAAGAACGCGTCCTTTATGAACATATCATGCGTGCTCAACTCCCTTGCAGTGTGTTCATTTTCTGCGGCTTCATGTGTTGCTGGGCTGAAGACATGTTTGAATAAGTATCAATGAGTGTTACGGAACATAAGCTTACAGCGCGTGACTGATTGTTTCTTGCGGAACGTCAGGATCATGAACAGATGAAAGGGGGATAGAAACGCCAGGATGTAAGGTCATGTCAACGGCAGATCCTAATGGCGACGCCTCTGCTGTCAAATTCTCCACTACATTATTTTGGATGTCAGTCCTGGGCGATCCTGATGCCGAAATTGATGTCAACGTGTCGGAGGAGACATGTGAGCGTAGGGTTATTCCGTCGAGACTTCTGCACCGCGCAAATATGTGATGCACCATTTGAGTCAGTCCTCCTTGAGCGACCATTTGATTGACTAGATCCGTGCTGAGAAGAAATACGTTATAAACCGTGCGGACTGCCTTTAATAGTGACGAATGGTGTACGTAGATAGTAGGCGAAAGTACTATGGAGAGAAGCGCTTTGACAACCTGAAGAGAGACCGTTTCAGGGGAGGTATCATTATGGCATGTTGTGACGGTATGGACGACAAGGTCAACCAGGGAAGGCTGTGGAAGGCTAGACTGGGAAGCACCAGCTATCGAGTGTCTTCCTTGCAGTGCCGGTGACGGAGGCGGGGAAGGAAGCGTCTGCGCAGATGATGGCTCCGCAAAGAACGAGTAAGAGATGAGCTTGGATATACAGTCCAGACTCGCTATCATGAGCTTCTCACTGCGTGTCTCGCATGCCAGCCGTAGAGGCTCAAAAATTTCACGTGGACGATCACCACCTTGACCGACACGTATCATCTCCAAGGCATTGTGTGCGCTCTCGCGAAGAGCAGTGGATCGTTTGGCCTCCTTCGAAGCCAGAATAATCTCTAAGGCGGAAGAAATGAGAACCACAGAAACGGTGTAACCTTTGGAAATCGTGATGGAACGTTTGTGAGACGCAGCGGATGATGAACTGTAGGCACTAGATGGCGTTTGAGGTCGGGGCTCGTCGCGGCCATTTGTTTTTTCAGGCGTGCTTGGCGTCGTGGGATTAACGTCTGTGGAGCCTCTGGGCAGCTGCAACCGGGGACTCTTTTCTGGCGGTGTTGGCGGTGCTTGTTTCGAAGAGAGAGGAACTTCCACGAATGTGTCTATGTTTTGAACTTCTGGCTGAGAAACGTGAGACACATCAGGAGTGGTTTCGACATGTTCCCCCGCTACTTCGAAAAGCGGAGAAGAAGACGCAGGTCTAGCTTCATCTGTATCATCTACACGTAGGGCTGCGACAACCGCAGAGGGAGGTGCATCCTCAACCTCATGAATAGCGTCGGCATCCACAACGATGGGTTTCTCCTTGCAAACACCGACAACTTCCTCATCGACCATCGAGTTTGTTGGTGGTCCTTCGGATTCAATGACGGTGTCGTCCACCATATTCAACGCGGGTTGTGACTGCTTCGCAGAGAGGTTGCAGTTACTGAATATAGCGATTCCGAATCCCAAACGCCGACGAGTGTTGTCACGTATTGTCGGAGTTTGCCGTGAAGTCAGTTTTTCGTCTCCCCTGACTCGGAGTCCCCTCAACCAAATTGTACAGTATGTCTACCGCAGTGCCTGCAGAAGCATCTGCAGCAGTGCTACAACCTTCTGAGCCCATCTCAGACTCTGCGATCTCTGTACAAGGGCCCGATCTCGAGAAAAAACTGTCTCTTCAGGAACTTCTTAAAAGTTACGAACGTATCGGATTTCAGGCAAGCAGTCTCGGAAGGGCAATTGACATCGTTAACAGAATGGTGAGTACTTTTATTTTGCAGAGCCTATGTGACGTGCTGAGTATTCAACTCCGTTTAGCGGAAATGGCGTCTATCTGACCAGCCCATCTCGGTTGATGAGTCTGAAGATTACCTTTCTCCAGAGATCAGAGCTCAGACACGATGTGACATCTTTCTGGGGTACACATCCAATCTGATTTCATCGGGTTTGCGCGAGGTCATTCTGTACCTCGTCAAGCACAAGCACGTTGCTGCGATTGTTACAACTGCAGGTGGGATCGAGGAGGATTTCATCAAATGTCTCGGCAAGACTTACTTGGCCGATTTCAATATGGACGGCGCCGACCTACGGAGCCGAGGAATGAATAGGATAGGGAATCTTGTTGTTCCTAACGATAATTATTGCAAGTTCGAAGACTGGCTGCTGCCCATCCTGGATACCATGTTGGCTGAACAGCAGGCAACCGGTGAGGTATGGTCCCCAAGCTCATTCATTCGACGACTGGGAAAGGAAATTAATAACGAAGAATCTGTTTACTATTGGGCTTATAAAGTGAATGCAAGCATGATTTCCTTCCACTCGCACCAGCTGAGCCTAAATTCAGAACGATATACCCGTGTTCTGCCCCGCCCTCACTGACGGCTCGCTGGGGGATATGATATATTTTCATTCCTTCCGGAATCCCGGGTTTATATTGGATATCGTTCGCGACATCCGGGCATTGAACGAACTCTCCAGAAAATCAAAGAAAGCTGGGATGATCATCCTTGGTGGAGGAGTTTGCAAACATCAAATCGCCAATGCAATGCTAATAGTAAGTTATATCGTCCGCAGCATCGATCGAAGTCTTACCCGCCTAGCGAAATGGTGCCGATTATTCTGTATACATTGTTAGTACTCAAACACAAGCACTCGACCACACTTGATGATATACTTCGCTCATAGAACACAGGTCAAGAATTTGATGGCTCAGACTCTGGTGCCCGGCCAGATGAGGCGGTCTCCTGGGGTAAAATCCGTGCCGATGCGGAGTCTGTCAAGGTGCCTTCGTCTGATGTTTTGTCTTGTAACAAGATCTCACGTGGACCCCCAGGTATTCGCTGACGCGACGCTGGTATTTCCGCTTCTTGTGGCTGCAACATTTGCTCAAGATTAGCCCTTATCATGCACTGTACGATATATATCGGAACGCATTCCTTTAATCGCAAGACAAGTGATGAGATATAAATAGGGTTCCATGACGGGCGACTAGACTAGACACTATAGAAAAGGAAAAGAACAGTTCCAGCGTAGGGTCACTTGCTAACACCATCTATGTGTTTTAAATCAGTGACCGAACATTATATCAAGAGACAGCCTTACCTCTTTGCATCTCACTGGACCATATTACAAGATCGTCTCTCAGGAGCTGAAGGATCATCATCGAATCACGCATGACTTGCATCGATGACGAATCATCTAGGCATGCGACCGCTTCGTCGAATGCATGTTTGCCGAGGTGACATGCTCTCTCTGGACTCTTCCGGACGTCGTGGTAGTAAACGGCAAAATTCAGAGCCAATCCCAATCTTGTTGGATGTGTCGGCTCCAACATGGCAAGTGCATGTTTGTACGCGAATTTGTATGCAGCAAGTGACAAATCCGAGTACCGACTGCGTTCTTGTTGCTGCACGAATTCGGCGAGGTATCGATAGTAATCACCCTTCCTGGACGCAACGATGGGATGGTCATCAGCATAGATCAGAGAAGGGACTCACAGCTTATAATAGAACACAGTCTCTTCCCCAGCTTTGGCTGTGGCCAAAAGACTATCGTTCAGCAATTTTACGATGTCTTTGCAGGCATCTGTAAGTTCCTTCTCAATGCGAACCCGCTGGCGACGGATCAAGGAGACCTGGTGCTTTGACTGTGCAGAGGGTCTAGATGACTCGAGCTTTTCCATGGAATCGACCACTCTCCAACTGCTACGAAGTGAATTTGTGATGTTTTTGTACGCGACGGAGAGGAGGTTCCTCTCCTCGATGGTCAATGCTCCGTACGTCTGCGTCAAGCCTTTGATCTGCGCTACGAGGTCTTATGGAAACAGCTGGGTGAGAACAACATGTAGGGATGATGCACGGACAAACCTTCATAACGCTCTGCCTCCTCTGCGACCTTGGCGAGTAGCAGGTACTCTTCCCTAGATATTATGCGTGCCTTGAAGAATGTTTAGATATGCTGCTGTGGCACCCCAGAATGAAACACTCACAGGCATCTGTATTAATTGAACAGGACGAGGACAGACAGCAGACGTTGCTGCGCATCCCGCTGCCTTTTTATGGGGTTATGGGCAACGAGGGCACTGGTTTGCGCCCAAAAGTCTCTGAATTCACTGCAGCCTCAAGGGACCGATGAGACACATCCTGATTCCTTGTGAAGGTCCCAAAAAAAATTACGGCACCATCATCATACCCTGGGCATAGGGCAAGTCTCGATCGTGGCAGTGAAAATGGTGGGTTCAGGGTTCATCACAGTCTAGAAGGGACGCCTCGTGTCTGATACATATGAACCGCTGGCTATTTGGTGTTTTCATCGTGGCAACAGCTGCGCCCCGACTTCGAGGCATGTGAACAAACAAAGTGGTGCACTTAAAAAAATCGATAGAGAGCCTAGGTGATTTCAGGACTCTGGTTTAAGGAATCAGTGCTTGACGTTACTGCAACTCGCCGGCGATGCGGACTCATTCAATCCTGTATGAATCCTGTATGTCACTTACGATAGGCGGCGAAATTGGAGACTGCCGCAGCAGATCGGTGCAACATTTTGAAGGGAGAAGGAGTAGCAACTTTGAAATGCAAATGCCATCAATGAACGGTCAGATTGAGACAACCCTCGTTGAGTTCAACAATAGGTGGGAATCCATGGACAAGTCATGGTCCATGACGACGGCTACTCTCGGACTAACGTGATGCGGACTTTGGAAGCGATCGGTTCATCATTGCATATTGCATGATCACGGATGCGGCTGTACTTCTAATTTGCAGAGAGTAAGGGCATTCAAGTCAGGGTCTCTTGGTCCACTGTGACATTTCGGTCCACACAGTGGTGGTCGTTGCAGCTGACCTGTATCCAAAACAAGTCCTTCTCTTGAAAGAACTGAAAGATAGTGACCGATTTTTTGAGGTCGGCGAACCAGGTCGCTCTCAGATGCATTGAGATTAAAATTCGTACATCAATATTGATGAAACAGACACAGAAGTGGCCGAAATCAGTGCTATGGGAGTTTTTGATCATCGCGTTGGCCGTGCGCGTGAACATCAAACCTGGCTTAAACAACACTCCGTTCTCTGGTAACTTTATCCATAACTTTGTGTCCAAGGTATCTTCATCTCCTGGTGCGAATGAGGGATCAAGTTGATTGAGATGAAATTTCATTTGATATAAGCTTAGAATGGAAGAGCAAACGGGTTGAGCACCGCCTACCCATAATTACATTCCCGCACCTGGGGGAATGAAGCTAAACATTATGGTGGACGATAGGTTACGGTTCGATTTGCCGATTTGCCGCAACTTATTTTGAAGTCCGATCAATGTTTGTTCTAGTCTTTTGAACTATTTGTCAGTACACCTTTGGTACACCTCAAATATTCCCGTCACAAGAGGTCACAAACGGCCGTGTAATTACATGGACATAGTTTGACTGCTCTAAGATTTGATTACGGACCGACCCTGGCCTGACTCAGTCTTAGAGACGATAGACGAATTCATGCCTTTACAATATATTGTTCAAATGGCACCCTTGGCAGCACTTTCTAGTGCTTCCCATGGTCTGTCAGACCTGGTTTCCTTGTAGGACACAACATGTCTCTGAGACATCCCTCTCCCTGGAGGGTCTCCCTCAGTTCCTTAAGAGTAACAAGTGTACCCTCATGGGCCTCGTTGGAGGGTTGGCTCTGATTATTGCAGATCATGGTGCTGAACCTCCAACACGTCATCGAGGGTCTCGGCCACTTGTCAACATAATTTGGAGCCTCTTGTGCTCCTCCGACGATACATCATACCTTATGCTGTCCCCTCGCCTTTATGTTAAGTTATATTTCCTATGTTTGTCACTCATACTTATGTTATGTTTTTATCACGTCATTGAGGATCTCGCTGCTTATCAACATAATTTGGAGCCTCTTGTGCTCCTCCGACGATACATCATACCTTATGCTGTCCCCTTGCCTTTATGTGATATTTCCTATGTTTGTCACTCATACTTATGTTATGTTTTCATCACGTCATCGAGAGTCTCGCCGCTCATCAACATAATTTGGAGCCTCTTGTGCTTCTCGCACATACAACAATACATTATGTTTTTTTCTTCCTTTTTTCGTTGTATTTATGTTGTGAATGTCACATTTTATGTAATAAAACATATCACATTGCAGTGTCGTTATCTTTAAGTTTCATGGCGGTTTCGAACATGTTCTGAAGCAAACAAGGCAGACATTGGAGCTGCTATACTGACATTGTCGAAACAAGAGGAAATCGTAAAAACTAACGGATAGCTACATAAGTAGGGTACGAAAGGGACAGGACAAGTGTAGGATGAGAAAACCACCATAGTAAGTTATCACCGTAAAAAGACAAAGTAAGCATGAGAAGATGAACCAAAATAGCAACCCGACAAACGACAAAAGCACAGGCATATCAAAAGTCGATTAAGATGAAGGAGGATGCGGAGGGTTAGTGGGATCTCGATTAAATGCTCGTGGGACAGCATCACAATGAACATAGTCCAAAGATGAAGATGCAACATTACGGACATTGTCCATCCATCTGGAATCCTGGTTATGAGCTCTACCTTGAGGGTACCCACTGTCACGGTATGCTCCTCCACCAAATGTCCGGCGCTTGTCAAGGCCATTGCGTTGAGCATATCGACTTTCATGAGCATAGTCAGGACTGAGCACTGGGCTGTATCGGCTTGGGTATGCACGTTCATGCTCACCGTGAGTATAATGGGACTCTAAGGCCAGGGAAGTATCCCGCATGGTGAACTCGCTGTCAGTGCGAGGCTCATTGGGTCCATAATAGTCGCGAGGTTGCAAACTGGCATAGTGTCACAACCCAATAACGAATTAACGCTGGGCAGAGACTAGGACTCAAACAACAAGATAATCACAAAGAGGATAAGGCAGCAGGTACGTCTTGGATTGCTCACTTGGAGATACAAGAGGTTTGAACTAAAGAACTACTGACTACAAGACACTACCTATATACACATATTTGTAACTGAGATTGAAACTGAGTCTGAACTAACTACCAATCAAATAATAGGATGATATCGTACGATTCTATATATAACTATGATGTCATGACATGTGCCGCAGCAACCGTAAGGTTCTGGAACATTCTGTCAGGGTCGTTTGGAATAAAGTTTAATCCGGCATATTCCGATAAGTCACATGACTCGTTCATGGGTTCTTTGGGTATCTCTACAATAGACGCCGTTGTTGGAACATCTTCAACTATAAATACTTTCTTAGTAACAGGCGCTGTGACTGGGCGCTTAAAGGACTTCGAGTTTAGGAACGTATAATGGTTTGTATTTGGAACTCGTGACACATAGCGGTGATTGTGAGAGTCGCGGTGGTAGAAGACATCACGGGAGTGGAGAGTATCATGCTCAATCATAGGACTTTCTTCACGACGGTGCATGGCGTTATGCATGTACCATGGCTCACGAGAATGACCGCGAAGAGGTTGATGAGTGTCATGTAAGGCATCGTGAGGGTCATGACGAGGCTCGTGGGAGTTGTGAAGAGGGCCACCCTCATGAGGGTCATCGCGAGGGTTAGGAGTGACCTCCCGATGAGGTTCCTGTGGGTGGCGTGGAGGAGGGCCACCCTCACAAGGGTTGTCGTGAGGGTTAGGAGTGACCTCCCGATAGGACAAGCCCAACAGTTGCTAAATACTACTGGTGCGAGGTCCTTTCTTCATGCGACAATCTGCAAAACGATATACCTGGCACGAAAACCATAACTCTTCATGCTACTTGTGAATTGCTGCTGTTAATATTCAGTTGCATAATGAGAGAATGCGAAACTCACATTTGAGAACCTATTTGCTTGGTAAAACACAGGACCCTTGACTTCTATGTGTCGCAAGCTTGCCTGAACGGACCAAGATGTTGATCATATGCTTCACACAAAGTCTTGCGGCTACTTCACATCATATCCATCATCAAAGTATTTTGGCAATGATGGTATACCGGTACAGATTAGAACAGTGCACTCAACTTATGGTATCGGAAGCTTCAAATAATTTTGCTTTTGACGTTCCAATCTTCACAATCAAGGGGTTACGTGAAAATTCGTAAGCCGCTGGTCTAGCCGCTGTATCAGATTAGATATTGCTAAACTGCCATATTGAACAAAATATTGTGATGGTAGGAACGTGACTAGACAGAGTCTCAGCGAGTGTGATAAACAACACTGATATTATATCTACCTAGACAGAGTCTAGATTACATGTTAGCAAGACTAGATACAAAGGGAGAGAGTTTGTGTACCTCAGCGAGTGTGATAAACAACGCTGAGGTGGAGCTACGCATTGTTACGGACTAGGATAGTTCGAGCTCTCCCTAGGCGGATTGCCTAATCTGATAGCGGGCTCGCTATTGGAGAGACGGGGATCTTCTCTCGAATGAGAGGTTCGGGGGTTCCACTTAAGGTAGCGTCGGCTTTCCTTAAGGTGCGGCTTAGACTGAAGGACTGGGACTGTCTTTCAGAGGAAGTTCTGGATAAAACCTAGTAGAATCAAGTAGGGAATATACATGATTCTGTCTGCTCTATATACTGTCGTCCGTGTGCACAGACCAATACTACGTTCGGTAGGTAGGTATGAGTGTGTCTATACAAGGGCATCTTATCTGATGCCATGTGGTCGATTATCTATACATGAGGCTTACCATGCCTCTCTTATCTGTCCTCAAGGCGTAGCATGCCTTTGAGTCTAACTGCGCATGCTTCGGCATGCGGTTTCTCTTCTGACCATGAAGCAGAGCTTCTCCATGATCCGGGTCGAGGACCATCTAGGTCCGTCCAGATGTAGCCTAGGCTGGTCTAGGTCATCTAACGGCATCCAGGCCGTTCTAGGCGTCTCTACGAGTCTCCGTTGAGTCGGTAAGTCTTCCAAGACGGTGCATATGGTGGGATAGGGGCTAAGGTCATGATGACCTCCGTAGGAGGGGTTCTCGGTTACATGTTATTGTAACACGCATGAGCAAGACTTTAAGTAGCAAAACGTCGAGAAGACTGCGAGACGGAAGGAAGCTGCTGAAGAAGCTACCGGTAAGAGTGATACGGAGCTAGTAACGTATGGTGTCGAAGGTGGCAAGAAGTGATAAGAGAAGCAAATAAGGAAAGAGAAGTCCCGGAGGTTAATCCTCTGGGACAAGAAGCATGTGTATCGTATCGTGCATATCGTATCGTTCAACAACCCTTGCTGTAGACACTAATGCAAGGTCGATGATTGGCACAGCAGGAAGTTTCAAAACCTGTCATCCTGCCATGGTCTCTGTCCTAGGCGCTTCCAGCTCGTCTCCACTCTCTATCCTGTCAGCCACGCAGCTCATTGCCAAAAGAGTCTTCTTCCAGGATAACCAAGTGAAAGGGCACCGCCGGTTTGGAAGAGAGGACGAGCTTAGTAAGACGCTTGATGAAGTAAACTGCTTGTACTGGGGTGGATCCTTGGTTGGGATGGCATATATGTTTGTTGATGAGATGCTGAAAACTGGTAAAGTGAGCCAGGATGTTGCGGATCTTATACCACGTCTTCGTGTTGTTTGTGCTGTGCTGGCTATCCCCGATGGTCTTGATGGCAGCCTCGATGCTATCTATCTTGTAGAGGAGAAGATCCACGGCAGATTCATCAAGTATATCAATAACAATTCCACTGTTGCTGCTGACAGCCTTCACGGCCGAGAAGTAGTCATTGGACTATTCCTATGCTTCGTACAGCATGTCCAATATCAGCTTACCAATTCAATGGTCGTGCCGAGTCGCTGACAGCATGCTTTCAACAGCACAGCATCACAAGAGCAAATGGTGGGTCATTCGATTTCGATGACGTTGACGAAGTGTAGATACCGTAACCAAACCTGACATGTGTCAAGATACCATGATTGATTAGTTAAAGGATGACATACTGGCCCTGGCCAGTCTTCTGGCCAAAGATATTCAGGTTGGAAGACATTTTGAGAACGTAGCATGTCTGTAGAGTGCACGCTGAAGCGCTGATGTGTGATTGTGACAGGACCGTAACATGGTGAAAGTAAATTATAGGTATACATTAATAAATTTCACAGTACTGAAACAAACATCGATCGGAATTCAAAAATAAGTCGCGGCAAATCGGCAAATCGAACCGTAACCTATCGTCCACCATAAAACATAGTATGATTCCGGGCTGAGTATTTCTCGATACCGGCGGTGCTCTTCTTGACTTTGGATGATGCCTGGTACACGGTGCGGCCTTCCCAGACGCCTGCAACTGCGGGAACTGCATGCAAATGGGCCTCCTCCGCGAGGCAATCAATAAAGAAATCGTGACGTTGCTGATACTCTATTCGCACCCCTGACTCGGAGCCAGAGGATGCAACCGCCATAGGTCCAATGCGTCAATATAACGACCTGTAAGATGAATGTCAAATACAATTACTGAACGAAGTGTCGCCACACATACCCGGGCCATACAAAGCCACACAGGGCCTGAGCTGATGTCTCTCCTTGTCCGACTCTCTAACCTCTCGGCCCTGCAAAGACTGCACGTGCACCATCCTAGTCAACTACCAGGAGCAATGGTCTGCCAAATGAACGCTCAACCATATTTGCATAAATGTCAGAGACGGGGAAATGCGCAGGACTAGTCATGCCTGTCAAGTCAAATAGATATATTCAAATGAAGAGACGAGAAGTGCAAACCTCGTGCGAGGGACACAGTTCAAGTTCCTGGCTGTGTGAAGTACAAGTTTATGAGCCCCTTCAATAGAGGTTATCCTAGCCTTTGATAGCTCGGAAAGGCGGTCAGAGAGATCAATAGACTGTGTGCGCTTCTAATAACAGTCAGTGCGAGGCTGGTCAGACTTGAAAGTAATCACTTGCACTGGGGTTGGGAATATCATGATGCACGTGTATTACTACATATAAACTTTCAAACTTTGAGCTCGTTCGGTTACTGTCATGTAAGCCAAATCAAATGCCTGATGTTCAGAGAGTTGAAAAGTAAACTACACTCATGCATTGGTGCATTTGACACAGTGCACAGATGGGTCATACTGCCTTCACCTCCATCATGATTTTCCACTGAATTGTGTACATAGTCTTCCTATCAGCTCTGAGTCTACAGTCACACTTTATCACGCAACGTTTACAGAAAGTGCATAAAGTCTGGAACTCATAAGACAAATAACTCACCACTGCTAAAACAGCGACTACAAATCCTCTTGGAAGAACTCTCGAATAACTCGTCCAAAGATAGTGACCGCTTTCTTGAGGTCGGCGAACTTCAGGAACCAGGTCGTTATCAAAGTGCTCAGTTGCATTAGATTCGAAACTTACCTCGACATTGCTGAAACTGATGCGGAAATGGCCGGAGTCGTTGTCGTCAGGATTCTCGGCCATCGCATTGGCTGCGAACATCCATCCAGGCCCAAATAAGACACCATTCTCTCCTAACTTCGTCCATAACTTTGTTTCCAAGGTATCTCTATCTCCTGGTGCGAATGAGGGATGTTGGTCGAGATGAAGTCTCATCTGATATAAGCTTAGAATGGACGCAACATGTAAGCAAACAGGTTGAGCGCCAACCTACCCATACGAACATTCCCGCAACTGGGGGAACGAAGCTAAACATCGTGCGATTCCGGGCCGAGTATTTCTCGGTCATACCAGTGCTCTTCTTGACTTTGGATGATGCCTGGTACATGATGCAGCCTTCCCAGACGCCTGCAACTGCAGGAACCGCATGCAAATGGAACTCCTCCGCGAGGCAATCAATGAAGAAATCGCGGCGTTGCTGATATTCTGTTCGCAAACCTGATGGGAATTGTGACATTCAGGTGATTCGAATAGGCGAACGCAGTCACGTACCCCTGAGCCAGCGGATGTAACCATCATAGGTCCAATGCGTCAAGATCTTCGTGATAACGGACTGTAAAATCAATGTTAACTACAATCACTTGACGAGGCACCATCATGAATACCTGTCCAAAGCCACATGGGGACTGAGCTGATGTCTCTCCTTGTCTCTCTAACCTTTCTGCAAAGACAGGATTGCACGTGAACCATCCCAGTCGACTACCAGGAGCAATGGTCTGCCAAAAGGACGTTCAACCTGATGGGAGTAGAAATGTAGATTCCATGCCTTACCTTTGAGAAGGTATCGAGACGGATCACGCGTCCCTGGTAGTCAAAACTAAACCGAACTGTCAGACAGAATACCATAAATAATGAAGGGCTTGTACTTTAAAAAGCTAGGGGTCAGAGTGGAGACATATCGCTCAGATTCGTCGGCTGACGGTTTTCCAGAAGGCGTCGCACTAGGGGACCTGTCGTCTTTAAATGTGTACGTGCCCAGTTGAAGAAAATAATATGGATCGTCTTCGACGATTATCACGTCTAATCGCCCAGTTCGTTTAGCTAGCGGATTTAGCTGATTTTTTCTTTAAAGGTATGCTGACCGTATTTGACACAGATGTCATAAATCTGCTTCTTGCGAGCAACGCTCATCGTCTGCATGCATCAGTCTTGAGAATTCATTCCTGGGATGAGCTGCAAAAGTATGCTTACCGAACCACTTGGGTTCTGTCCGACAGGCACAATATACATAACATGAGGCCTAAGGGAGGATCAAATACGGGTGGAATTCTGCATTTATAAAGCACCTTACCTTGGCATTTGACGTGAAACTGGATCCCATCGCGACAGCAAGTTCTCGAGGTCATCGCTCTTCATGCCTAATCCGTCCATGGCCACAGGTACAGGCTGGATATTGAAAGGGATCATTGATGCCATGGCAGAGGGATAAGTCCACTCTTCACAAAGTACGCCCTCGCCGGGGTTGCATAGCGTCATAACGGCTCTTGACCACCTATATGACCATTGTCGTAACAAATATTGTAACATAACTGAATTGGCGCACCCATCTGTATTACCAGTGTCGATAAGGACGGTCCAGTCTTCAAAAGCTGGACGATAGACCTCAGAAATGAAGTGTTTCAAGAACTCTTGTAACTGTGCCTGTGCGACCGCTGGGCCATATTGAAGAGAGTCGGCTAGGCTGATATCCCCTTTGACGGCAGGGTACTTAGGAATGGTGACAGCCTGAGTCCTCTCCTTGGTTGCATTGTGGCTACCAAATAATTTCCATAGCCATGACAAAGAGGTGGACGACTCGGTCGGAGTGAGAGCAAATGATTCTGGTACCAAAACATTTGCAGAAATGTCAGAAACGGGGAAATATGCAGGACTAGGCAGGCCTGCCAAGTCAAATTAGATGTATTCAAATTAACAGACGAGAAGTGCAAACCTCCTGCGAGGGACAGAATTCCTGGCTGTTCGAAGTACTTCATGAGCCCCTTCAATGGAGAGGTTAGCCTAGCTTTTGATAACTCGGAAAGGTGGTGAGAGAGATCAATAGACTGTGTGCGCTTCTCGACACTCATGATGGCAGGATGACAGTCAGTGCAGGGCTGGTGTGGTCTAAAGTGAGGACGAGTCTCCTTCGACTGTCAGGGTTGCGATAAGCCTAGCATTGGGACGATAGCCATCTATAGTACTTAAGTGAGAGTTGTAGTAGTAGTAGTAAGCAATACTCCCACATGTGCATGAGGCACTTTACCTCGACTTGCCTATTACAATATCTTCCGGTGTCACGGAGTCCCGATTAGAAATGTCTGGCAAAGCGATGTCCACCGTACAGCTCGATAAAGTGCGGGCAAGTTTCACAGTGGATATGCCCTAGGCTGGGATTAATCATGTTGCTACCTATAACTGGTTTCGTCTGTTCGTTTCGTTCTGTTCGTTTCGTCTTGTTCGTTTCGTCCACTGGATGTCAGACAAGAAATAAAAATAGGCACAGTCACGGGAGGACGGGTTGGAGTTTGGAATAACTCTCAAACTCTCAGAGAGTGCCACGGTGTACAGCGCCGAAAAGCCGACCGGACACGCTTGTCGCGACGTCGCTGCCGCAAACATGGACCAGGAAGATTCGCGCCTATGGTTCATCTATGGACAGTGAGGACAGGTCAGAACATATCGGCTGGCAGTCAAATGCAGCGGTAGGCCCTCCTGTGTGTCTGCGGCAGTGGCCACAGTTTAGTAGTGTCCCCCTAGTAGCTATGAGTAGACCAATAGGACAGCCTAAGGAAAACAGTTGATCGAGGGTCGCCGCGAGGCCAGCGACCGCTGGTCACAATGTCAGACAAATTACCAGTGATTGCTACACAACGTTTCTTATATACGTCAGCTTGGCAAGTGCAGTTGCGCAACTTGAGCGTCTTTAAGCGTGCTCAGTCTCACGTTCACGTGTGCTTTTACAAATTTACGTCAAAGGTACCAAAACACAAGATACGTAGGCTTTGTACCAGTGGCCCAGTGCGTGTGTAAAGTTGAACGTGGTCAACCTGACTGTAAAATGTAGGCAGCTAATTATGTACGTGTCCGTATGAATCAAGGCATAGGCATAAAGCATAAAGCATAGACTTGGCATTTCTGGTGTATGAAAACGGGATTGCGGCATGAAACCTGGGAACGTCATCATCGATCCCCCTCCCATACGCTGAACCGTGCTTAGGTCGCTCGATACGCCGTTTCTTGTGGGGGCGGGGAGGGGTGTCAGAAAAGAAGGAAGATTCTGCGCGGATTGTTAGTCTAGAAACACAAAACACCGTTAAGCTAAGCGAAAGTCTACCTGAACGGATATCCCTCAGCGCCCATACAAGAAGCGCGATGCGCGAGCGCGCGAAGGTCGGCTACCCGCTGGAAGGTCAGGACTACATATAGTACAAGGTGGAGTTATCAATATGATAAGATCGCAGAGTGTACGGCATTACCGACCTTAATGTTGATTATCCGTCAGGTGAGAACTGTGGGTCCTAAGGAGAAAACAGCCTTGCGCACCCATGCTTTTATAAGAGCCGGTTGCACATGTAACCCTAGATCTCGAGAGACAGGGCAACGACATGAGGGAGGCATTTGTTGCTATCGATAAGATGGGCGTGAATGTTTCAAAACATGTGTGCCCGCCAAGATAGGCCAGATCGCATATTTGGGAGTTTACTCAATAAATGGCCAGAATTCTGGTTGATTTGGGGTACTGTCCCGCAAGGATGAGCACCCCGGATCGATCCAATCAGTTTGACCTACTGACAAGAACGGGACAATCAACCTCAACGGTTCATTTTAAGAGGCGATCGTGCCGTACTGAACGTGTCGCCATCTGATGATGGCCCATTAGGAAGCAGGTGACTCGGAGACGAGAGAAGCCATTCGCAATTACAGGGCCTCGAAGAGTCTGAAATTTAGCGGATTAAGTATTCGAGGTTAGGTTGCGCCACAGGGTCCAATGGGGTTACCAACTGCTTCAGGGCAGGTTGTAAATTTAAGTTACGAAATTGACGTCTAACGCTATTGAACCAGTTCCTCATCGTCACCCCTCGTCCTCGTCAAAGTAAGGTGGGAAGAGAAGTCTAGTGGTTCGCTGGAAGAGGGAAGTGTTGAGGTGCGAATACATTTGCCATCTTCAATAATCTAATCTTATTCTACGATTCTGTTCAGAAGGATCTGAGACTGTAGATATGGCGTATCAGTTTTCCAGGAAGGGATGTTTCAAGTGTGGAAACTGCAAGTTCTTCCTGCGTCATCGTCCATCTTTCGTACAATCTAATGTTATTCCAGTAGGTCACATTGCTGAAAATTGCTCTTCTGAGCAGCGCCTCTGTTACAATTGTCGTCAACCTGGTCATGAGTCGTCAGCTTGTCCGTCGCCTCGCACTGTCGCTGCAAAGCAGTGTTACTCCTGTGGTGGTGTTGGTCATATTCAGGCAGAATGTCCCAATCTCAGAGTTCAAAGTGGTAATCAAAAGTGCTACGTACGTTTACAGCTTGTCTGTTGCCTGACGCCCTGTTAAACCTACCACATATCAGAACTGCGGTCGGTTTGGACACATTGCTCGCGTTTGTCCGAGTGGGGCTACTGGAGTGTCAGGGGCCGGGGCCGGGGTCGGGTTCGCTTCTCGTGCACCTCCCCCGGGACGTGCTCTGAACACATCTACACTTCCTCCGGTGAAATGCTACCGATGTGGAGGACCCAATCATATGGCGAGGTGAAGAGTCTCACATTTATCGCGAATCGACACTAAAAATGCTTAGGGACTGTCTCGCTACTCCGGGCTCGACTTTGGCCGATGGAACATCTGGGGTGACTAAAAGCAAGACTTGTTACAAGTGCTCACAAGAGGGACATGTGCGTCTTATCTGTCTTTTTTCTTGCTTTTTTCAGTACTTGATATGTTCCCCTGAAGATCGCAAGAGACTGCCCAGAGAATGCCGAGTTGTTTGCAACATGAGTTGTCTCGTTGTGCAATTCTTGAAGGTATTAAGAGATCGTCTACTCCCTCTTCCGTATATGTGTGCGATGTTTATTTTGCAGTTAACTTATCTCGACATTTTTTGATCTCCGCAATCTTCAGGATATGACTTCTTGATCTGCATGAGCACAAGTTAAGATCAGCGCCAAAGTTCTTGAATAGCTAGTTTCTTTCCAATGCGACGGCTACCAGTTGTCAGTTTCGCAGCACCGACCGACTCGGACCCCGGCGTTGACTAGGGGAGCAAGGTATGCATAATCTATCCTGTTGACGATCCCGCTTGTCAGATGTTACCTCTATCTAACTCTAAAGATAATCAGTTGAACCTTTCTAGACAATGGAAGTGTGACGCTCTGTTATCAGTTCAGAAGCACTGATCCACGTTCTGATCGCTGTTGCACAGGAATACGGGGTTACCGATATCCCGGGGTTTGACCTTGCTGATCTGAACTTTGAATTCTCGTTCACTTACGCGCAGCCCGAGGATCTGTGGGAGCAGCTCGCTCGGTACGGCATGTCATACTCCGAAGGCAGTGTTACGAAGAACACGCGTGCATCATTTTTGTATTACAACGAACTCAACGTATGACAACTCGTTGTGGTTCACAGGTGATCAGCAATTACCTTTCGGGATTTGGTGTTGGCCTATGCCATTCCTTTTGCACCTTTTTTCTATTCTGATACATCGACCCGCGGTGCTCCGAAGGGTGACGGTTCATCTGGGGCATCCCGCCCCCGTTCTCGATCACCATCATTCTTGTGCCGCATGACTGGTGTACCCGCTGCCCAAGTGCTCGTCAGTTGCTCGGAAGATCTGAGAAACCATCATGAGGCAGGTGTGGCACCCAATGTTACGGCACCAAACTTCTATCTCAGAGAGGCTGTTTACATCGATCATCGATCCTAGTGAAAATCGTCAATAAAATAGATAGGTAGCAATAGACGTCTAAGTACAAATTGGGTTTTATGCACAATACAAAGAACTTCGCAAAGTTCAAAAAATGCGCGACGTACTCTGATCGCAACAATTGTTTGACAAACTTTACATGTGTATGCATGCGTTGTACCCCGCGCTCAATGCACTGCTAGCGCTGAGCGCTCCGCTGAACCAAGCATATCTTTTGTCAGCCTACCATGCGCCGCAACCCCGGCTCGATACAATCTGATCGAAAACAAGACTCACAGACCGGTAAATATCACTTCACCTCAAGACCTTCTGTTTCTTTTCCCGATCATGCATATTTCTCTTCGATTTCTCGCCTAATCTCTCCGGCCCTCTCTTGCTCTTACTCTGGCACCAATTTGCTGCATCACAGCCTCGCCATTTCGCCTTCTCGGATACCTTCGTAGCGATTCAGAGTTTCGAACCGTTGATCTTGGTGAAGTCGATGGTATTCTAAACACGTAGACTGTAGATGCCCGAAACTTTGTGATGAAGGAACTCACTTCTATCTACTTTTCAATGCCCGCGTGAAGTCACGCTTTCGCAACAGGTATAGTCCTTGTTCTTGCTGTGAAGATTGCTCTAACATTCTCGAAAGAAGGAGCAACCTATTTGTAATATCCGGTTGTTACCTTTCAAGTTCTCGTCGTGCGATCGTCCGCGGTTAGCACCGACCAATCTCTTGCGTGGTGGTCTACCTATCACTCCCGATATCATGTTCACTGCCTCATATTCACCAGCGCAAGCCAACAAGTGTATTTACCCTCTATTGGAACAACATGTCAGCTAGCATCAAGAAGGCCAGCACTTTGCGTTCAGACATGACTGAAACAGTACACTAGGAATATAGGAAAAAGGCCGCGGCGCAGGCGAGTATGATTATACTCGTTCTATGGGCGCTACTTACTAGGGTCTTTTAGCTAGGTTCTTCTTCTAAGAGCGGGACCCCGGCGCAGTCCTAGGGGTGGAAACGGGAGGAAGATGCGAGAGGTGGTACGGCAGGCAGGACGAGGACCCCCCGGATGGCCTACTATATTCTCATCATGATGTCAACAATTCACAGCGATACCCATCAATAACTCATTCGATACTACATAGGGTCTGTATCGATACCGTTTTCTGGGCCAGATGGAGTGATTTCTGAGCAGCTAAACAGAACGAAAACTTATCAAACACCAAAAATTCTTCTCGACCTCTATGTTTATCCGTCTCGAAAAGTGCCCTTTTTTCTCAAAGACGTCGAAAGTCTTACGTTTTTCGATCTATATCTACATGTACCGACCTCTTTTTTGTCAATTCTCCAAGTCACTGGGGATCATCGATCATTGAACGATGAATGATGTTAAATTCAAGTTGGCTGACTACACCACTGATCACAGAACGTTCAACTTCACTTACATAACAATAAACAACTTTGATGCTGCGACTCTTGCGACAGCAATGTTTATGCGTTACTGCTCGCAGGGCCTCTCATCAGAGAGGCTTCTTCACCCTCCCGAACTTCTCGTCTTTCTCGCCCTCATCGACATCACCTGACCCTGATGAACAGCCAGCAACACAGACTTACCACGAACGCAAGATTTTTCCGTATGTTATACCCGACGATCATATCCACATTCGTTGGAACTGATTGGTGCCCCAAGTTACGGACGCATGGATCTGTACAACTTAGTTGCAGATGTTGGCTCATATTCCAGTTTTTTGCCATATTGCACTGGCTCAAGAATCTTGGAACGACGTGTGGGCCAGGATGGTGTGGTCACGATGGACGCAGAGTTAATGGTCGGTTTCTTGGCATTTAAGGAGAGTTATATTAGCAGGGTGACGTGTCGGCCTTATGAATCCGTCCAGGTCAGTTTGTCTCGTCATTCTGGTGGAGTGCACAGTCACCATTTCTTGAAATTATAGGCCGAAGCATCGAGTTCAACCCCTCTCTTCAAGACCCTCCAAACAACGTGGCGCTTCCAACCAGCTTCATCAACATCCCCTCACCTTTCAAGTGGTCTACTGCTCCATGGTGATGCCAGGAACTCCGTACCCGTGGATAGCCCTTCTCCTGACGCCGGACCCACTCTTGTCACACTGGATATCGCTTTCGCATTTGAAAATCCGCTGCACTCTGCTCTCTCTGCCAAGTTTTTTGGAAATGTGTCTATGCTGATGGTGCAAGCCTTTGAAGAACGCTGTCTAGCTGTGTACGGATCAGGGACTAAGTAATGTACAGACGTGCAATGAAAACAGATGTTCGAAATACAAGGGAATTAATATTTGCCACGGCGATTTTGGTACATGTGGGCGGAAGTGAGAACTATGCGATCAGATCTTCCCCGTGATAGAGGCTGCTGAAACCCTACATACACGATGGGTCAAGGGACCCAAGGCCATATGAAGCCTTGCGACGCTCAGGCGTATGGCAGGCCTGGACTATGGCGCACACGTCAGTTCGGTTTGCATCGGCAATTAGGCGCGACGCACGACGAGGCTCGAAGTGGTTCGTGCTGGGCAAAAATTGCTACTAGAGGCCAAATGCAGGAAACTCGGGAGCCTTGACTCTTTTTGCTATATCATTATCAGCTTCGTATTTTTTTGGTCTGTTGTAGAATCACAGAATCTACGTTCTCGCGAGCCCCCTTCTAGCTTCTTTCTCACCCGATTTCCAAAGGATTTTTTTCTTTTGGAGGTTTGGAGTAGTTATATATCTTGGTCTCGTAGTCCGGTGTCAACCTCCAGTGCCAGACATTGGACATGGACATATTTGAGTCACTCGTAATTTCTGTCTTGCCATATGCCTTAGACACGATAGATAGATCGCGAGTGCCATCTTCATGAAGTTGTCCTCGTTTTATGTGTACCTCCTCGATTTCCCGTGCCGCTGCCATTTCCTCCAAGACTGTCTTCTTCAGGTATCTGTGTTCTTGTTCAACTTTTCGTTAAGATGCAAAGGACATACTCACTTTACTGAACGAATTGCATGATCTAGTTTAGGTGGGAGAGGCACAGTTTCAGTGGGTTTAATCCTGCCTCCGTGGTTGCGAAAGCCAGTAGCGATCGGTTTCCCTGGTGGTATGTCTGTAGTTACATCTGGGAACTCCGCGTGTACTCTTTCGTAGATCTCGTGCATTTTGAGCTCACGATGAGAAGATGAGGTAAGTACTTTGCGTACGATGTTTCAAGCTTCTGGCGTGCTAAAGTTAACCCAGGTCTGGTTAATCATGTCCTCGAACTACGAATTTCAGCGGGTAAAAGACATCAAGATTGGAATTAATAAATGGGTTAGGTGCGGCTGTAGCACTGCAGACTGTGACCAAGTTTCCGAACGGCTAGGGGGATGATCGAAGTATGGACTGCCGGAGAGGTACTTGAAAGTTACAACTTCAGAGATTCACACGGGTTTGATAATTCTCCGATGAGTCGGACCCCTGTCACGGGGGTTGGCTCGCATTGACCATGTCTCGTCGCCAAAAGCAATATAAAGTCATATATCACGACGTCAAAGCCCTGCAGCCAACGTAACGCACCCTAAAGGACTCGTCGGTTTGATAGGATACAGGGAGGTCCCATATATTTTTCTCTCAAGGGCGTATCACACCCAGGCGGTTCACTGCTATGCGGCTAGTACCAGGCTGTTGGTTCGGGTCCAGTACGGGACTTTGTGAATTGAACGGCTATTATTGTCACGGGTGTGACAACATTTTTGAATGCGCAGCTGTTGCAACAGTGACCGGGCATCAGCTGTAGTGTTGCAACCCTGAAAGTTTTCACGAAGTGGATAAATATTCAAAGGTATCGGCCAAATTTTCTGCAGGTGGATAGCATCAAAACTGGGATTAGGAGTCCTGGCTGTGCCATAGTGGCAAGATTGACCCTAGTGTGGGCAGTATAGTATGCTCAGCAGCTGAGCTATGCCCGCTGAGCGCTGGGCCTGCGCCCGCGTGTGTGGGAAGGACCCTGGACACCTCGCTGATGCTCAGCGCTCAGCTCTCAGCAACTATCATCAAGTATAAAAATAAACCAATAAATTTTGGCAAGTGTTTGGAATTATCTGACTCTTAAGCTCTTGTAGCTAGCGGGATTTATTCTGGTCGGTAGGTGGGTGTAGGCATTGTGGAGTTGAAGTACTGGAGTGCCTGAGGCTGACGGAGATCAAGTTGGAGGGGGTGTTTGGGGTCCAAAGAAGCTGTGTATATCATCGCCTGCATTTCCCTTTTTGACCTGTACAAAACCGTTGCTGCCTTGTGTTCGTTCACAACCCTTGTCTCTCTCCATTCTGCCCCTTCAACTATCTGGGCATCGTCCAAGGCATCCTCTAGCTCTTGTTGACAGCAAACTTCACCTGGTGTGATACAGTATGACGTCCCCGAGGCCCCGTAATGAACAATTGTCTGCCGACCCATTTGCAGATCGACCACGCCAGACCCACTTCCAGGAGCCTGCGCCTCGTGTCTATGATAGCGCGTCTGGCTCGCCCTTCGAGAGTACCACGACATTACCCCGCGAGTTTGGCGCCAATTATGTAGACGAAGACTATGCTGAAAAGCTTCCGCTCACGGGAGGCGATAGCTATAATCCTGGCGGCTTTTATCCACCAGGGTAAGTTGAATTAATATCTCGATTATTTCGGCGCTTCTTTGGACTTCTTTTCTTCATGAATCATTAAAATTTTACTCACAAATTACTTTATCTACATAGGCCAGTCGACCCTTCAGCCTATGGGGACCCGTATGCGCGCCCTTTGTCTACTACGTCATCCTCGACAAATGGTGTAGACACTGCTTGGAGGCGCCGTCAGACCATTAAACGTGGTGTGACCCGCAAAGTCAAGCTCACAAAGGGTAACTTCATTGCGGAGTACCCGGTTCCAACGCCAGTGCATAGTGCCATCGAGGCAAAATATGCCGCCACGAATACCACTGAATTCTCGTAAGTTACTTTGCAAGTCAATATGAAACTGAATCGAACTCACGCGGACGTCTCCCAGCCACATGCGGTACAGCGCAGCAACGTGTGACCCCGACGATTTCTCAGAGGCCAATGGCTGGTCTTTGAGAACCAAGATCTATGGTCGGCAAACCGACCTTCTCATCGCTGTTACATCCTATAACGAAGACAAAACATTGTATGCGAGAACACTCCATGGTGTCATGGTGAACATTCGCGACATTTGCAAGACAAAACAGTCGAAGTACTGGCGGCGAGCGGCTGAAGAAGGCATGCCTGGTTGGCAAAGAATCACAGTTGCCCTTATTGTCGATGGACTCGAGCCCATGGACAAGAGCGTGTTGGATATCCTGGCCACCGTCGGTGTCTACCAAGATGGTATCATGAAGAAACAAGTCGACGGTAAAGACACTGTCGCACATATTTTTGAGGTTTGCATCAGTCATTCAATTGTCATTAGCTATATCGCTTATATCTTGCCTCCAGTACACCACTCAATTGTCGGTTGATGCCAAGCCCCAGCTTGTGCTTCCTCATGAGAACGATCCCAACAATTTAGTACCCGTACAGATCATTTTCGTCCTCAAAGCTAAGAATCAGAAGAAGATCAATTCACATCGGTGGTTGTTCAATGCCATCGGTAAAATTTTGGAGGTGAGGCGAATTGCAAGCACACGTTCGTTTAATTGGAACTTTTTTAGCCTCAAATTTGCGTGCTCATCGACGCTGGTACCAAACCTGGACACAAATCCATCTATTATCTTTGGGAAGCATTCTACAATGATGCCCATCTTGGTGGGTGTTGTGGTGAAATTCACGCCATGATTGAGGGTGGCAGGAAGCTCCTCAACCCTCTGGTCGCTGCCCAAAACTTTGAGTACAAAATGTCCAACATTCTTGGTATGTCGTGGGTCCAGATCCTGCATACTGTTATCTTATTGCATGACAGACAAGCCACTTGAAAGTAGTTTCGGCTATGTATCAGTGCTTCCTGGTGCTTTCTCTGCGTACCGTTTCCGTGCGATCTTGGGTCGGCCACTAGAGCAATATTTCCACGGTGACCATTCGTTGGCTGACCGTCTTGGTCCCAAGGGTATCTACGGCATGAACATCTTCACAAAGAATATGTTCTTGGCTGAGGATCGTATCTTGTGTTTCGAGCTCGTTGCCAAGGCTGGTGATAGGTGGACGTTGACGTATGTTAAGCCTTCAAAAGCCGAGACAGATGTGCCAGAATCTGCCGTCGAGTTGATTGGCCAACGTCGTCGGTGGTTGAATGGTTCATTCGCTGCTTCAGTTGTGAGTATCGACTACGATGTTGAATACAAATTTGTCTGATTATTTTTTGCTAGTACGCTCTGGTCAATTTCTTCCAACTATACCGCTCTGGTCATGGTATCATTCGCATGTTCTTCTTCCACGTTCAAGCTCTTGTACGTCTTGTCATTTCTGGTTTGTATTCTGTGACTCACTGAGGTGACAGTACAACATCTTCTCATTGGTGTTTTCGTGGTTTGCGTTGGCGAACATTTGGTTAACGTTTAGTATCATCATCGACTTACTTCCCACGCAAGGCATCATTATTTTCGGCACTGCAGACGTCGTGTGTACACAATCGTTGCTCTTGAAAGATTGACACTAAGCTTGGGCTCGCAGACACACTGGGTAAACTTGTGTTTCAAATGGATTTACCTTGCCTTCCTCGCGCTGCAGTTTGTGCTAGCTCTTGGTAACAGACCAAAGGGTGAACGGACGGCATATGCAATCACACTATGGTTTGTTTCAAGTCAGAGTCTTTGTTCTATTCAAGCTGACTTGTGTGCAGGGTCTACGCCTTCTTGGCTGTTTACCTTCTCGTGTGTTCATTCTGGCTAACCGGCAAGGCATTCTCTGTGAGTTTCACTGTTCTCGGGTGCTTGCGTAGAGTATCCTGACGATGCACTTTTCTGGTAGACCATTCCCAGCCAACTGAAGAACAAGACGGTGGCTGAAGTCATTATTACCTTCTTCACGCCCCCTGTTGGTCCTTTGATTGTCGCGATGGTCTCCACTTTCGGTATGTTGTGCCTCATGCTTTGTATTGATTCATTAGCTCATTCACGAGATAGGTATCTACCTCATTGCATCGATACTCTATGTGAGTTGTATCTGTTCGAAATGGCACTGTCTGATCCCGTATTTCAGCGGGATCCTTGGCACATCTTCTCCAGTTTCTTCCAATACCTGTGCTTGGCTCCAAGTTTCACGAATGTACTTAACGTTTATGCATTCTGTAACTTGCACGATGTGCGTCACGCTTTATTTTTTAGAACCCGGCTTTGACTGACAACAATGGTTTCAGGTCTCCTGGGGTACAAAGGGCAGTGACAAGGCAGAAGCTCTACCATCAGTCTCGTCGTCTAAGACCAAAGACGCGGACGCTCCTGTTGTCGAGGATACGCAACGCATCCAAGAAGATGTGGATGCTGCATTCAAAGAGACCGTTACTCGCGCAGTGACCAAGATCGATGTCAAGGAAGCCGTTGAGAAGCCGACGATGGATGATCAAAACAAGACGTTCCGTACGCGTCTTGTTGCCTTCTGGATGCTCACGAACGCTGGACTGGCGGTTGCCATTGAGAACATCAACGGTCTCGCGACTGCTCAAGATGCAGTACAGGACGCGGCGGAGCTTCAGACAAAGCAAAACACTTATTTTGCTGTCATCCTGTACTCTACATTTGTTCTTGCTGCTGTGCGGTTTACTGGGGTGAGCTATTCTAGCTGTATTTTTGTCGCAAAGTCACTCACGCATTGTTTCAGTGCTTGCTCTACTGGTTCAGACGCAATCTTTTCAGATGCTGCAGGAGGAATTGAACTGTGTATCAGGTTCTCTCTTTTTCGTGTTGGGTAAACAGAATTTAGTTTGTGCATGGACTTGATGAAAACAGCTATCTACTTTCCTTTCGTATCCGTCTCCGTATTATGCAGCTGGACAATCTGAACTTCATGAGTATCATCTTACACTACTCGGGCTGATGCCTCACTCGTTTTTATTAAATTAGCCTGTCTGCCAAAAGAGTAGTAGATGGATGGTTATTCAATATTCAATAATGAAGGACTCGGTCTTAATTTGAGCAGGACATGTATGTAATATCAAGCTATGAGTACATCCCAGAAAATTCGTCTCGGCTTTCTCGTTGCTGGACAAATGGATGTCTACCTATCGCCGTCGAGGGTACGACCAGAATGGGCAGTAAGCCTGCGCCGTCAGACTCTCCGGCAACCATTGAGCTCTCGGTAAAATCTTCTAGCAGAGAAGACTGATCCGTCTCACGCTGGTCACTATTAGCCGTGTTCGCGAAAAAAGCCCTGCGACAAGTGGGGCAAGACTCGCGCTGGGAGGTGGCGTAAATGGAAGCATGTCATGTAATACAAGCTTTTAACTCACACCGTCTTGTATCCATTTCATGATACTAATCTCGCTTGTCAGTAACGTCATTCGAATGGAGAATGTCCACTCAACTCTCTTCGACAGAATATATGCCCGCATGTGTCGTGGAGCCTGGTCACTCCCAGTTCCTCTATCGGGTGCGCAGGGGAGTCCATTACGAGCGCCATTTCCTCTTCAGCCAGGACGGCCAAGAACGTATTAAAGCATATGGGGCAAACAGACTCTGTTAATACCTGTCTAGTTTGAGAACGATGTCAGACGCATGAAAGAACTTGCCAGAATGCCCCAGGTCTTTAAGCTCGGTTTCTGATATCTTAGGGAGACTTGTAATGAGTTCTTGTATCCGTTTGTGAGAGGGAAGGTGAGATCTGCCTTCAAGCATTGCACGCAAACCCGCAACCGTGATATCCATAGAAGACTGAGGACGCTCCATGATGATCTGGTTCACAACTAGAAGGGAGATGGGAAACGAATGCAATCAATGTATCCGTATAATAAGGCATACATACTAGCCGCGACGCGTAACACTACAGCAAAGCGTGGGAACATCTTACAACCTCCTACAACACCACTAGACTCTACACAGGCAAGCAAGATTTAGCGACACAAACAAGAGCGTAATACAACAAACGACGTGAGGATATCATGGAGATGCCCGACTGGGCCAACTGCGTTCTGTCTTAAAAGGGATTCTCGTCTTCCATCAGTACTTCTGAAGATGTGTCTTTTGTAGGTTCTGTGTCGCTTTGACTGTGATCTTCTTGCTCTGGTATATGTGACTCTTTAGGTGGGAAGAGAGGAGCCATGGGTTTCGTGCCCCTGCATCACAGATTGCGTCAGGACGGAGTACCAAGGTCCACGGGGATAGGCAATACGTACTTAGTGAAGTGTTTCTGCTTCGCAGCATTCAGCTTCTGTGTGACGGGTGTCATCAGGTTGTCGGTCGGTGAGACAAACTTGGGATTGCTGGAAAGAACGCGTGAATAAGGTTAACATCTGCCACTGATCTACGCGTTCGTGAACCCACTTGCTCTTCGCCAGCTTTTTGGCCAAGAGGGCTTTCATGCCCATTCCAGGTATAGCGTTATTGGCGCCGTTTGCGACATGCCCAAGAGGTGCTTGTGGTACGACGATGTGGGCGGCTTGGGAGGGATTGTGCATTGGCTGAATGGGAGCAGAGGCCGGAGAGTCTGTAGGCGTAGATGTGGCAGACATTTTGATGATTGGTTTCAAAGTAGAAGCAGAAAGGACTTGAAAGACAAGTGTCGGATAGTTGAAGTCGAAGTCGAATCCCTCTAGCCACTTGGGTCGCGTTCGAAAATCAACTGGACGCGTGACTGCACGTGACTTGCAATCACGTGCTATCACCATTCTCATCCATTAATCCTCGGACTCCCCTCAAAGTCCATCTCCGACCCTCTGTCATAGAAATCTCGCAGGCTGTACCGGTACTAGTGATTCCGAGTTAGCCACATGATTCACCGCCAAGTGTGTTCGTGATTGTGTAGGGCCAATACTTCCTAAATTCAACCAAGTGATAGTCATCTGGCTTCACTGGAGGTGTGGCGTTGCTTTCCACGGCCATTTCAACTACAGCACAGGCTTCTAGGGGCGCTCAAGCCCAAATGGCTATTCTTCGTCTAGGTAGGAAGTCGTAGAACTGCATCCTCCCACGTGCTATATTGCGTGTCACATATCTTCTCCTCGAACCTCTCGTGGATACCGTTTCTATGTGATGTATCTTACAAGCAAGAGAGGAAACCTCTCCTCTCGTACCGTGGTGAGTAATTGGATCATTTGTCCTTGTCGAACCTTACACTCGTGGCTAGCTCAATTTAGTGCTTGTCTCCCTGTCTGCGCGCCACTGAATATAAAATTTCCCAAGGTCTCTTACGTCCTGTTGTTTGGGTTGCCGATGTGCGCACATGCTTCCCTCCCGAGGGGCTTCACATAGTACATCTACAGTCCGAATACTTGGCTAAAAGCTTGGTATTCTGCCTTCTCCAGCATTCTTATTTCCCTCTGAAGGGGACAATGCTACAACATTTCAACGTAATGTGCAGGGCCCATTAGTACACTTCTGCGTTACGGCATGCGTCATCAATATTTCTGTTATCTTCGCGCCCAACGGCCATCAAACAATCAATCGCACGTTTTGACGGCGCATCTCTCCTGGGACCCTAGGTAAAAGATATCTGCCTTCATACTCTGTCAAAAAAACAACTGCTGGCGTGCACGTACTGGTTACACTGCGGAGATAAATTACTCATTGCAATGGTTATGATGCAGTTGCCGAGAGATTCGGGCCGTTCCAGCGGATCACCAGACCCAGGAGATAACCGGTGACCATGTGGGACCTTCGGTGAGAGCAGTGACGCTAGCCCGACGGTTAAGAAGCGAGTTCAGTAGAATGCGAGACCCTTCGACGTGGATGACTCGTGGACCGTGTTCCTGAAGAATGTAGTATTACAATCAGAATAAAGTTACGGTCCGTACATAACGAAACTTTCTGCGCTGGAACGAGTGAGACCCCGTTATACGATATGGTACTAGTACAGGAGTTCCTGCCTTTTCCTGCCTTTGGAGAATCCATTTACCTCCAATCGTATTTATATAGACCTTACATCCTCCCAGTTACCGGCAGGAATAACCCACTTGAGTTTCCGAGACTTACTACTACGACCAAAGGTCCAGCGACGCTCGCTGACCAAGTCCTGTGACGGACAGACAGCTCCGGCTAAACTTGGGGTCACAGTTCCACAATTGCCACAAACTGTTTACATTTTTTGGTCTCTTCATTGTGCTCCGCCTTCTTCGTCTCTCTCTTCCACTTCTCTCGTTTATTTCATATACACTATCTTGTTAATATGGCTGCCAACACTTTGAGGAAGAGAAAAATCGCAGTCCTAGGTTCCCGTTCAGTTGGTATGTTGATCTTTATTCTCGACGTCATCACACTCACCCGCTACTCACGCAACAGGCAAATCTTCTCTTGTCATACAGTTCATCGAGAACCATTTCGTTGATGCATACTATCCAACCATCGAAAGCACCTTTTCGAAAGGTGTAGCTTATAGAGGCATAGAATATGACTGTGACATCATCGACACCGCTGGCCAGGTGTGTATTCATTCTCATCATGGGACTGCGCATCAAGATTAATTTACATTGACAGGACGAGTACTCAATTCTCAATTCTAAACATGCAATTGGTATTCACGGCTACGTCCTCGTCTACTCAGTCACCTCAAGACGATCTTTCGATATGATCAAAATCGTATACGACAAAATCGTTGATTTTTGTGGCAAAAACGACATCCCATGCGTGATCGTTGGCGCTAAAACTGATTTACAGTCGAGGTAGGTCTTCATCCTTCTTTGTAATCGGCCGTCCCACACTTGTGCTTTTTTTTGTCAATGCTCTATTTTCGTGCCTCACAGTCCCAATAGTAGACAGGTGCCTCCAAATGAAGGGGAAGAACTTGCAAAACTCAACAACGCTGCTTGGGTCGAGACTAGCGCGAAGAATAATGTCAACGTCGGTAAGGAATTATCGCGCTTCTCAATAGTTCTCTTCTTTACGCGGCCTTATCACAGGCAAAGTCTTCGAGCTATGTCTTGCGGAGATTGAGAAACGATCACCATCTAGCAAAACGGATCAGCCAGAAGCAAGCAGGTGTCTTATTATGTGATAGACGCGACTCGGCCATCCCTGGTCACCTTGCTGCCATGCTCTCCGGTTACCCAGTCTCCCTTCATACCCTGAGCCACTCGTTTTTTCCTTGCACAAGTATTTCCCTCCGCTCCCTAGGAGTTCTTCATCTTATCCGATTTCTCCTTCGGGTTAGACTGTTTCTATATAATCCGCTACATTGGTCATGTCTCGTCGCGACTTGTACAGTGTGTAAAATAATGGTTTCCCGGGGTCTTTCTGCCTGGTTTTCGACAGTACTAGTAGTGTCTTCCCTGGTGGTTCATAATTCATATTCGTATCTCCACAATGTGTCCATTCCGTGAGACGCTCTGCTCCTATATTCGGTAGGTTAATTCTCATCTTGTTATACGTAAGTGTATATTGATATGAATACAAGTGGCCTTATCATCTACGCCGTGCCATCGCCAAGGAAGCGGGCCTTCGCTTCTCTACCCTTCAACCCAACGGCCTTCACAATCTGGGGATCTCCTGGAACCAGATCGATGGCCTGGTCGCTCCACTCCACGTCCTCGCCTTCAGCATCTAGAATAATTCCTTTTATAGGTTTTTGAGTAGAGAGTTCGACGGATTCGCCGTCGCTGCTGGTTTTGACAGAAAACCCCAGATCTTCGATGGCTGGAAATTTGATGAATTTAAAAGGTTCTGGCCTATAACAGAGTGTCAGGAAACACAAACCCAGAAAACCTCATGTGACCGGGACTCACCAATTGGAATGCCTGCCGAGGACAGTTCCAGATGCGTCGAGGAGACGTGCTGAGACAATGATCGCACGTGGAACTTCGTTCTGCTTTGTGCGCACTGGTTGACCAGGAAGGTCACCCGAGTACAACTCAGTGCTAGAATTGGGAGCGAGCACAATGTCCTTGGAGAACTGCATCGTCCAGGAGGAGTAAAGGTCGAAGCAAGTGACTTCGAGCTTGGCCTTCTTCTCTGATAGAGCGCCGTTCGTACCCCAGACCTCAAGAACTGTTGTAATTGTGAACTGGGCAGCTGATAAATCATTCGCAAATGTCTTCTGTTCCTTACGCGTCATCCCGATCGTGTACTGACGCAGTTCGCGTGAGATAGCGAAATACGCTGGTTTGGGACGCATGAAGTAATCGACAATTGCCCATGACGTGGTCGGCCAGCAGTCATTAATCTGGTTGCTGTTAACTTGAGAACCCGATGTTTGTCCGATAACTCACCTGCCACACGAGAGCACCAGCGGTGTGCTCCCGACCCTTTCCACGCCAGTTTCTCCGCCAGAGACGGTAAGCAGATGCAAGCGTCTCAGCTTGCATGATTTGTGTGTAATACACATAACTGAACAAGATTCAATTAAATCATGCTAACCCCGTGGTGACAGCTACTAACCTGTCCATGTCGAAGGCATGCTTGAAGTTTTCCACGAGGTAAAGCTAGAAAAAAGGTAGTGTGGCTCTAAATGTCATAATAAATGGTATCCTACCTCCAACCGACGTTCGAAGCCATCGGCCTTGTTATGGTTGTTGTTGACGCTGAGGGGACTTTCAGCATGATGTACGGTGAAGTACAATTCGCTTACCGAGATTGAGGATATCGTTCTGATTTGTCACCAGCAAGCCAATAATCAACTGTGCGAATGTTTGGGTATCCCTCCCTGGCGAAGCATGAGAAATCGTGGGTACCAGCAGGGTCAGAACTGCTTACATTCCGAATTCAGATACGAAGCGACCAGCGAGTAAATCCCAATTGTGCCACGGCTCTTGAGACCCATGCCATACATTCCCTGAAGGCTCATTGGAATCACAACATATATCACTGAACTTGTTCACCTACACTGGTGAAGGTCCCCGAGTGTTTTATCTGTGGTCACTGTACCCGGGGCGCTATAAGGAGAACTGCGGTGGTAGTGAATATTGCAGAATTTTTGGACGATGGATGGCAGTGTCCGCTCATATATGTGCCGAGCGGGGAACTTGGTCTTTCGGAAGTCCGAAGTTTCATCAGAGTAATCCACGATATTTATTGACTCTGCAAGCTGGTAATCCTCGTTGTTTCCGGCTGTGAAAAAAGTTAAGAGGGAGAAACACTTCACGAAAGTTTCTACTTACCAAAGATAACGACAGATGGGTGGTGTCTCAATCGCTTGACGTTCTGTTCCGCCTCAAGTTCGACGAGTTTCAGGAAAGAATCATATGCCGGGTACTAGAATACCTTTGAGCCTCAAATAACAGAGCAACAACAGTAACTCACTTGACCGCAGCCAAACATAAAGTCCTGCCAGACAAGAACTGCAATAGGATATGAAAAACGGACTACCGAGTTGAACAAAACCTTACTTCCAAGTTCTAATGGAAGGAAGGTTGTGAGTCAAGTGCGCGAGGGCTAAGATGGTAGTGCTCACCATCGCAAATATCGTAGAAAACATCGTGTTCATAGATGCCCCCTCCCCAGACACGAATCATATTCTGATTACCATCCACGAGAAGTCGAAGCCATGCACGGTACCTTGCCGGAGTAAGGCTGTAGTAAATTTAGTCAAAAAATGCTTTAATAAAGGTAGTGTCATACTAACGTAGTGAGGAAAGAGTCGGCAGGAATCCAGTTAGAGCCTATGGACATGGTTTCACTTTGCATTCTCTCAAGAAAAGGGCATTATTTACCACCACAAAAAATCCTGATGTTGTTGACTTCGAACAAAAAAGTGAGGCCTTCCTGATCAACAAGAGGCTCCTGGACAACTCGAACACGACGGAACGATACTCTCTGAGTTTTCGTGTCCAGAGTGTTTCCTTCCTGAAGCCATGTGTTAGGCCATATGATGTACATAGGGAAGGATCCCTCTCACCGAGTCAGAAATAGTCACCTCGACTGTATACAGAGGTTGCTTTCCAAATCCAACTGGATACCACAATTCGAGCACTCCAGGCGAGAAGCGGAACTCAGCGCGAGCACTCCCAGAACCAACTTTTATATTGCTCTCCGAGAGGATCACAGAATTCTGTGCACTTTTCAGCACCACAGATGCCAACCCACCGGAAATCTTCTCAGACAGCGTCAAGTCAACAGTGACCCCTACGTCCAGAGCCTCCGATACATCACTTCTGACGTCAACATCCGTGAGGTAGACGTTGTATGTGTGAAGGGTAACAGGCTTCCAAGGGCCAATGGTCATCAGGACTGGCCCCCAGTCCCAACCATAACTTCGGTGCACGTTGACAGCCTTTCCATTAAGATCGACAACAATGCTTACTTGTATTGTGCCTTGCGCACATGCAAACGACTGGAATCGCCGTTCCAAAGATGCAACTTCCCATGGACTTGTTCCAATTCCCTCCCCTGAACAGCTGATGTTCAGAAGTAAGTGTTTAAAATATTGAATTAGCTCACCTTCAGGAACGCACTCGAGAAGCTTATAACGAGTTCATTGGCACCCAGTTTCAAGTATTGTTTAACAGGTGCTCTGTATGCGATAAACTGATTTTTCGTGCTGAGTAGCAATCAATATCAGAGGACGAGACAGAGACAGATCAAAGCGTGCTGACTCCAAGATTTTATGACCATTCTATGTCAAAGTATCATGTTAGCACGCGGGTTGCCTTCATGTGGGGTGACAAAATTTATGTAACGTACAAATTCCACACTTGCGAACGTATCAAGACCGTCGAAAACAAGGTCAACGTTGACGGCTGCAAGTTCTCTCGCAGAAACTTCAAAGGTATTCTTGAAAGCCCAGTCGGACTCTCCGACCCCTGTTAGTTACAAACCTCAGTGAGCCCCTGAAACACAATGAAGACCACTGGGGGCGCACATTGAACCTCCCATTCATTGAGACCTAGAAACTGCGGAATCATGATGAGTCGAGTTAGTCGATGTGATGTTTGCCATGATCGGACACACTGGATCTGGAATACGCTCTGCCTTCAAAAGCTCGACGTGTACGGTGGTTGGGAACTGCGATACCGCCAACCATTCGCCGTTCTTCGTGCCACGTCCGCCGCCTACTTGGGTGAAAGACCAATCTTGTGTCAAAGATCTAATGGTGCTCATAGTCAAGGTGGTAGTAACGAAGGAATTAATTCTCTACGATAGAGCAACTATAAATCCTACGACATGGGGACAATCGAGGTCACCTGTATCTTAATCCTGAATAGATCACACTGGTTCACGGCATGGGGCATTCCGATATTTCTCCGGGACGATAGAGATCACGTGACTTCAAAACCTGTTAACGCTCAAGTACCGTACTTTCGACCGCCATCAGGAAAGAAACATGGCAAGTATTGATACAACGATCAAAGATTAAACGACGACGACTTCTACGCACAAAAGAAAGTAGACTACTACGATGTGGTGTGTAGTTAAAGGTATTGGATATTAGCCTGCTCACGATAACATTAATCACAGCAGATATCTGAAATCCTTCGACAACCCTCCTTCTATCTTCTTTGCTTCGATCTCCTGATTCAACCGCATCAAGTGTTGCCTAAATATCCACGACATTATGATGCAAAGCGCACCGCTTCCTATACAGATAGCATACGAGTTCCAATACGAAGGGCCCCATGACTTTGGCCAGACGTAGCTGATTTATCCGAAAGTGCGCATGAGATTTTTGAACAGTAAAAAGACCCGGAAGTTGAATACTCACGAACCAACAATATTTCCTAACGATGAGAATGCGTTGATGAATGCAAGCGCTACGGCCCTCTTGGATGTCGGATGGGGAATGGAGTTGCTAGCCCATGCCCAGTACACGACAAACGCCGTGTAAGACTGAGCCATCAGGAACCTGCCAAACAGTTTCAGTCGGTCAAAGAATAGAATAAGAAAGAAAACATTACAATGAGAGGTATCTAACTGCGGTGTTCATAGTCGCCATGGCCATCATAAACCCCGCGATCCCGACGAGTAAAGGTACCACAATGTGGCCAAAACGTTCGCCTGTTGCATCAGAATGTCTCCACATGATGTCAGTAGGACTCAGACAGGGAGCAGAAGATAGCCTACCTTGACGCCAAAAATGCTACACGTGTTGCAAACAGCCAAGGTGGGGAGCAAAGCAACAGTGACACAGTCGAACTGTAGCCCAGTGTTGCACTCAACGTTGGAAAAAAGGCGTTGAATGATAGCAAGACATTCAGCGCCGCCATCGCAAGTGCAAGCCACCAGACCTTCCAATCTGAGAATGCCTGCTTTAGACCCGATTCCCCACCTTTGGAAAACTCAGTTTCATCATCTTCACCGACATCTTCCTCCATTCGCAATTGAGCAAGAGCCTGTTCTTCCGTTGTGAGCCAGGAACACGTTGTGGCAGTGGTAGGGAAGTCGGGAAGGATGAATATAGCGCATATTGCAACGCAAATTGTCATAGAACCTTCGATATAAAACAACCATCTTACGAGTGTCGCTAAACACCAGGTCGACAAAAGACCAAGACCACCCACCTCCACGCTGCGAAGCCCATAATTCCGTCCATGCCGTCCAGAATGGCTGATGCCAGGAGTGACCCAAATGCATTACTGATCATAATACCTATACCACCAACGTTGGGTGCATCAAAATTTATATGGGAAGGGACTGACCACAGCTTAGTATTGCTGTTCGTTGGCCGAGCTCTCTTCGCTTGTACCTGAGCGATATCAGTGTGAAGAAAAGATGCCTCCTTTCGTTTCAGTTACTCACCATTTAGATAGTAGAAATAAAGCACCAGGAAAGAATGCGGCCTCGACGAATCCCAGGAAAAACCGAGTGCACAAAGCTCCAAGGAAGCTTCAGAATTTCTTCAGTTTGTGTGTAGCCCAAAAGCTAGAAACGCACCCCTTCGTTGTTCCTGTTTTTGAATCAATATCAACCATCTTCATGCTCAGGCATTGAACTGACCCGTTAGAACTGATATGAAACCCCATATGGCCATGCATGTCGGCAGATATATGGAAGGCCTCCCTATCTTGTTCAAGTACATATTCCTTCGTCTTCGTCAACATTGCATTAAGAAGAGTCCTCAAGTCACATACGATGGGACCTGCATTAGTGTGTAGCCGACGTAAAGAATACTTAATATGGTATTGAATTGTTGTCCTTCTAAGTGAAGATCGTCCTCGAAGCCGCGTAATCTAGCTGCACTGTTACGTGACGAGCAGAACTGCAATTTCAGCTATGGTACAAAGATCGGCATAAAATGTGAACCCACGCTGCATTATTGCGATCGATCTGCAGTCGTTAGATTATGGGCCAAAGTCAGTAGGTACTGACTCGGCTCACATAGTTTAAGACATAAATGAGGACGAGGATGGACATCCTGAGGTCGACTTTACGAAGCAGACTTTGTTCCACACGCTGTCTGTCCGGAAACTCGTCGTGAGTGGCATTCGGTGAGGCGATATCACTGTCCAGGCTGCCCTCGCGTGCAGTATCAATACCATCTTCACATGCTTTACTGGAGGGTCAATATTGGCACCGTTTGACAATATTCCTGTTGAACTCACGCAAACGTTCGTATGCAATCCCGCGAGAAGTTCTGCTCGACATACTTGAAATGGTCCTGGATAAAGAGTAAGTAAGAATGGCCTGAGAAATTACAATGCATGACGCTAACTTTGTCCCTGGATGTCCCAGACAACGAGGCATGTACTAATTCAACTTGAAGCAACGTTATAGATATCTCTGGGAGAGGTTCTGACATATTCTCGTAGGATTGACCGTTCTGGACATCCAGGCTATCGTAGCACTCTCATTGAACGAGCCGTTCCGAGCTTAGTAGCTAGTAGGACGCCGAACTCAGTATTTCAAATATGACTTCCAAAATTACATAATCGGATGTAGATACCATATTTAGCTTACACGAGGGTCAACTTTCCAGAAAAATATTATTTCCCAGGGGGTTGCCTTCTTTCTTTGGCAAAACAAGTTCCCGTAACAACGTCATGTGTATGGAGGAGCGGTCCGACGAGGCATCTTCCGTTAATGACTATCACAACTTGGTTTTCTTTGGATTAATCACTTAGGTCTATATATTACACACATGTTTTCAAGTTGTAGCTCCTGCGACGTTCGCTGTGGTTTCTCTTCTCTTCTTTCCTTCATTTTATTGTGGTATGAACCGTACATCTATATATATGCACCGCCCACTGTTTCCCAGCAGCCCCAGTCGAACAGCAAGTACTACAAGAGATATCGAAACCCTTTGGGCAACCCTAGAGCATCCTCTTCGGCCTCAGCAGCTTCATTGCACCGAGAAAGGTGCTTTCTAAATGCCCAGCACATCGCAATAGATATGGTGCTTGTCAGGATACAAATGAGATATGAATTTGCGTATGAAGGTCCCCAACTGGATGGCCAGAAGTACCTGCGATGGTGTGAGTGGGAGTACAGAGTCACGAGCTAGTTGTCAACTCACGATGAACCAATGTTGCCAAACGTCGCCATCGAGTTGATAAATGCGATGGCTGCAGCGCGTTTCGACCGCGATTGTGAAAAGGTATTCAATACCCAAGTCAAAAAGACAACATAGGCAACTGAGGATTGAGTCATAAAGAATCTTCACGAAACCAATTAGCCCGCAAAATTGCAGAACGAAGACTGGAAGGTTCGTACAGTGACAGATATCGAACGGCCGTATTCATGGTAGACATGGCAATCATAAACCCGACGATGCCAACGACTAGCGGACCAGTGATATGCCAGAAGCGATCGCCAGTTACATCGGAGTGCCTTATCTATCGTTAAGTTGACTTTCGATCCTGTCGTGTAAAGACTAACCTGGCCACAAAAAATGAGGTCGCAGTCCCAACAATCCACGGAGGTGCGCAGAACAAGAGGCTGATAGTCGCGTTGTAACCCATGGTAGCAGATAGCGTGGGGAAAAAATTGCCGAATGATAAAGAAGCGATCATGAAACTAAGTGCGACCCCAAGCCACCATACTTTCCAATCCATAAGAGCTTCGGAAAGACCAGAAAAGCCCTCTATAGGCTTGCCTTTGTCCTCATTTCCGGCTGCAGTGTCCTCCTCCATCCGTCGTTTCGCTAGTGTTTGCTCATCAGGCGACAGCCAGACGCTCGGAGTTGAAGGAAAGTCTGGTAAAATCCAGATTGCACACACTGCAACTATGATGGTCAAAGTGCCCTCCACAAGGAAAAGCCACCTGCAGCATCTAAGTCAGCGTTACTTCTGGGGGAGCACAAATCTTGCTTCAGACCTCCAAGCTGTGAACCCTAGTGTACCATCTAGGCCTGCCAAAATCCCTGACGCTATAAGGGCACTGAAAGCATTACTGACTGAGCTCCCGCACGTAAGAAGCGCCGTGCGTAAACCTAGTTCGTTGCGTTTGTACCTAAAGAGATTTCAATATACAAAATTAGGAGGGTATATCACAACTATACCATCGCGAAAGAAGGAATACAGCTCCGGGAAAGAATGCTGCCTCGACAAATCCAAGTAGGAAGCGCAAGATCAGAGCTGCATGATACCTGAAGTAAAGTTAACTCGAGAGTGGACAGCACTGCAAGAGTGATAGATACTGACGTTCGTACCGCACCTTCCACGACCCTCGTTAGGTGATGTTGATCAAAAGAAAAATGTACACACCAGTGAACAAAGTGATGGTACCCCATATTGCCATGCAGCTTGAGAGGTATAACGATGGCCTTTTCATGCGATCTAAGAAAATGTTGCTTGTGAATTCTCGAGGATGCTGCACAGGCATGACAGGGTAGCACATACGAAGGAGCTTGCATCAACATGTACCCCACATAGAGGATGCTAATGAGTGTATTGAACTGATTCCCCTTCATGTTGAGGTCCTCCTCCAAACCACGCAACCTCGCTGCACTTGCGAACGGGCGGTTGAGCTACACTACTCCAAATGATTTCGAAGCTGGGCTACGTACGCTGCATTACTACGGTCCATCTATTATGTAGAAGTTTTAAGCAGTAGCGGGAATACCAAGTGCACCACTCACATAGTTCATAATGTATATCAGAACCAGGAATGCTACTCGAAGGTCCAGCTTACGGAGAAGCTTCCTCTCCACGACAAGTCTGCTCTGCTCATCGATGCATGGGAGTATGGGAGTGTCGTTGCTGTTGCCAGACTCGGAGGCACCGTAGCGCGAATAATTGTCTGCATCGAGCAGGGGACGGTCTGACATTCCTCAGACTTGATCTTCTTTTGATGCGTCGCCAAAAGATTAGCGGGTTAGCACAGATACTAGCGGTCGTGGCGGTACTAGTAAGTAGTAGGGCCAAGTAGGCCAATTTGGCATACCATAATGTACTAGAGCGACGGAGTGATTTTCGCCGTTCCGCCGAATTCAAAGAAGTAACGACCCTTGCTTCGCCTATCAAGGTTTAGTACCACGCCATCGTATGGGTCGATAAGTGATTTGTTGATAGTGCTATTGTTGATAGTGCTATTAAGTAGTAGGCTTTCATTGTGGTCTGAACGGCGGCTGCGAAACGTATCACGGCATCGGCATCCTCGAAACGTACCACGGCTCAATTTCCCTCGACTCCTGGGATTTGCTGATATGATACTCAAAGTACCTCACAAAGCACCAGCACCGATCCTATCCATCTATCGCGATTATGGCAGCAGTAATCACACTATACCCTACAGTGACCCTTCCATCCTACCACAGAATCGTCTCCCCAACCTTGAAGATTCCTACAGATACCCGACGACCAATACCCGTGGGTCTCCTGGCATGTCAACGTGAGCATCTTGGCCTCACACTCAGACATTTCCATCTAAACTGAAGTTCAGGCGACCCGCTCTTGCGCGAACTGGAAACATCGATTATCAGCTGCACGATCTCACAGCCTGCTTCCTTTCCCAGCGTTAAGAAAGGAAAGAAGGCATCGACACCAGCATCGGCCGATCAACCTACACTTGAGGTCATACTGCATGATACTGTCATCTTTCCGGAGGGCGGGGGTCAACCATCAGATACAGGTGTAATCAAGACAGCTGATGGACGTACATGGACGGTGACTCAGGCCAAACGACACGGTGGACATGCAGTTCACTACGTCCGGGTTGATCAAGCTGAAGATGGTCTTGCTTCCCTCACCCCTGGGACCAACATCACTGTTTCTCTCGGAGAGCTCGATTTCGATCGCAGATATGACCATGTACGTACCTGACTTTTTCATCCTAGCAAAATCATCGAACGGAAAACCCAATAGATGTCCATGCACACATCACAGCATCTCCTTTCTGCGGTGCTTGAAAATCGTCTCGATATTCATACCCTTTCTTGGTCGCTCACGGCTGCACCGGCACCCTCTTACGTCGAACTGGCCAGAAGCATGACCACGGAGGAAATCTTGGCCATACAGAGCGAAGCCAACAAACTTGTATTTGAGGGACGGAAAGTCCACGTAGAGGTGCAAGAAATGGATGATAAACCACAACCTGCGGTACCTGTATTAGAAAGTGGTCGTGCCGTAGGCAAAGGCGTCCCGATTGACTACACTGGAGGCATCATGCGAACAGTAATCATTGACGGAGTAGATCGCAACCCGTAGGTTCATCCAATCCTGACGGATTACTTTAGAAGCCTAACATCAACGTTACAGATGCTGCGGCACCCACCTTCCTACCCTTCACAACCTTCAACTTTTCATCATACCCCAAACGGAGGCCCTTTCTAGGTCGGCTACCACGTCTGCTCGCCTGTATTTCCTCGCTGGACCGCGGCTCATCACCTACCTCACATCTACGCACTCCCAACTCACTGCTGCTGCTGCCACGCTCAGCTGTGGCGCTCCGCAAGTCCCAGATCGTATAGGTCAAGTCGTGGATGAGCGGAAAAGAGCTGAGAAGAGAGTCGATGACCTTGAGTTCGAACTTGCAAAACATGTCGCAGGTGACGTTTGGCAAGAAATGAAGTCATCTGAAGCAGCCCTATTTGTCAAACATGTGCACCGGACAGATGATTCTGTCAATCCTCTCGGATTTTTGTCAGCAATAACCACTGCTTTCGCAAATATCATCCCAGCAGAGCAACCGTTCGTGCTGGTATTTTCGTCTTCTCCGTCGTCCCAGACAAGCGCAAGCGCAAGCGTGCTGCTAGTCTTCGGGTCAGACGAGAAATATGTCAAGCTGGCTGGGGACTTGCTCAAAGGCAAACTGAACGTCAAAGGAGGAGGTAAGGGCACGAGATGGAGTGGTAAATTTACTGGCGTTTGGAGAGAAGGCCGCGAGGATGCTGTCGTTTCCGGAGTCCTTCAAGGGGTTTCGATGTAGAATCCATACACGCTCTAGAATATTACAAACAAAATCATGTAAAAGAAATTAATGTGCATCCATAAGTTACCTCCAGAAACCTATTTATCGCGTGGAGCCGGATCATCGCAAGTAGCATTTGCATCTACGCTGTTTTCAGCATCAGATGTGCTACATAATTGTTCTATTGCAAGGATATCAGTGTATTTCGATGGATAGGTCGAATAACACACCGCGATTCTCTTGGAACAGACCGTTTATATCCGGCTCGGCATGCTCTTCCTCATCGTCAGACTCATCACCACCATGCAAGTCAACATAACCCCAAATGTCATCCAGGTCTACTTCCATCTCTTCTACCTCAAGTTCGTCGTCGAACTCATCCATCCCGAAAAAGTCGTCTTCTTCATCTTCATCGTCATCGGGAAAGTATTCGTCATCAGACGATTCTGCGTCCGATTCAGTGTACGGTTTTATATCCAGAAAAGGATATCGACACGTTGGACAACTGCCATGCTGCAGATAGGAGTAGATGTTAGCGGAACGCTCGACTCAGTCATTTACCACTACAAGAAAGCACTCACAAAATTTCGTATCCACTCTGATAAGCTGCATGCGATAGTAGCTCAACAGAAAATAATGAAGATTTGATCGAAGATTATCCACGTACTCCTTCCGACAGAACAAGTGGCCACAGCCCACTACCTTTGTCACACCACCTTCAAATTCTCCTTCTCCTTCCTGAGGTATCTCGCCTGAAAGTATAGCATCAAAGGGAGTGAGACATATGGCACAGGATTCGTCCTTTGGAATGGCTGAATTATGCAACACAGGAAGTTCGTCCAAGGCGTCTTTGACATGTTGGAAGAGCGCAAGATGACGCTCGGAGTAGACTGGAATATCTCCGTTGTCGTCCATTGTATTCTTCTGTCTAAAATGTGGAGTCGTCACGTCTTTGTCGACCTCGAGGAGATGATGCTGGTCCCAATCTGATCCCGTCAACAAACACGCGTTACACGCGACATCATCACGTGATGGTAAGGCACCTAGTATTCGCGGAACTGGCAGTCTGGCTAGCACCGCGTGCTAAGTCCTGAAATATTGAAGTACTTCCCATGCAGATAGGCTCAGATGATCAACAAACCAAGTGATAACTCTCAGGTGGCCTCTCTCTGCCGCCCTTGTGACCAGCTCTCCGTTATCGCTTTTGTCCCTTTTGGCAATGTCCCACCCGTCTGAAGTGCTTTAAACATCAAGCACGGAAGACAATCCACTGGTCCGGCTTCCCGCTACTATTGACATGTCAATAAGCCAATATTCATATTCTGCGTCGCTCCCACCCTCAAAGGGGGGTGTGGATCCCGAAGACATCGACCCTGACGCGGAATTCGGTGGTTCAGCGGCACGCAAAGAACTAGAGCGCAAACTCTTGCGGAAACTTGACCTTCGCATGTCGATCCTGGTACTTATCTATATCCTCAATTATGTGAGTGACTTTGTGTCAAAGCGTCTTTTCTCCATCTCACTTTTGTACGTACTAGGTCGATAGAAATAATGCTGGGTACGTCCCTTTCATGCATTCCTGATGTGTCAGTCACGAAGAAAAAGTGCCGCACGCTCCCGAGGGCTCGTCGCCGACCTTCATCTTACTGATCAGCAATTTGCGACGTTGTTGTCCATTCTCTACGTCGGATACATTATCATGCAGATCCCGTCTAATATGTTTCTTAACTTCACCGGCAAGCCGTCACTTTATCTGCCTGCTTGTATGGCCGTTTGGGGTATGATATCAGCACTGACTGGAATTACGACCAAGTATGACGCATTTTCTGTGACTGAAAAATAATTAACCAGTCACTTTTAATAGTTTTACCGGAGCCGTCATAACGCGTTTCTTTCTAGGCTTCGTAGAAGCAGCCTTTTTCCCTGGTTCCCTATTTTTAATTTCGAAGTGGTTCGTGAGCAATCGATCTTATCAGTGGACAGCCTCACATTTTATATACAGGTACAAGAGAACAGAGATAGGTTTCAGAACCGCAATTCTCTACTGGTAAGGGTGCCAATCTGCGGAAAGATCTTTCCATTACTAGGAACATTGCAGCGGAAACATCATTAGCAATGCCTTTGGGGCACTCCTCGCATCGGGTATTCTTGGTGGCATGAACAATGTCCTCGGACACGCTGCATGGAGGTATTTCAATCAAGTTGTTTTTGTCGAGGGAAAGTCTGAAACTTGCTTTTGAGGTGGCTTTTCTACCTCGAAGGAGCTCTTACTGTCTTTGTCGCAATCTGTGCCATCTTTATTTTGCCAGACTTTCCGTCAACAACGAAGTGGCTTTCTGATGATGAGCGTCGACTTGCATTGAGGCGTATGGAAGAGGATGCAGGTGTCGGTGACCAGAAAGAAACCGAGCAGGGTGGCCTTACTCACGGTCTCTACCTCGCTGTTACCGACTGGACAGTGTGGTGGTTTGCAATGGCAGTGAACGCAATAGTGGTATCATTATCCTTCAATGCGTACTTCCCCACTCTTAGCGCGACACTTGGGTATAACCCAACAGTGTCACTTCTCCTTGTTGCCCCTCCGTTCGTCTTTGCTGTCATTGTCACATTCTGTTTGTGCAGGTAAGCTTTCATAATGCGATCTAGGAACTGATGATGAAGAACTCCCCAGGCACTCTGATTACAAGCAAGAACGCTTCTACCACATTATCGGTTCATGGATTGCCGGTATTATTGGGTTCATTATTGCAATAAGCACCATGAACACGGCAGCCCGATACGTGTCCCTGTAAGCTAGGATCTCGATTTGGGGGCGTGTCGTTGATTGTACCCAGGTTCCTCATGGCGCAGACGTATGCAGGACTCGTTGTGATGCTCGCATGGATGAATAACTCGTTTCCTCGACCGCCATCAAAGCGTGCGGTATGTGTGGCGATCATCAACGGATTTTCGCAACTTGGCAATGTTGCAGGCTCGTGAGTACAACCCACCTATCAACGTGGGATTCATTGATGAAGCCGGTTGCAGGTATATTTGGCCTTTAAGTTGGGGCCCTACCTATCGATACTCCTACGGTATCTGCATTGCAGCTAGCGGTACCGCGATTATAATGGCCTGGATTTTTAAACAGCATCTTATATCATTAAATGAGAAACTGGAGCGTGAAGAGCAGGAGAAAGGGATCAAGGAAAAAGGATTCCGATACCTTCTGTGATTGATCGCGAGGTGATCTACAACTTTTAGGCGACAGACACGAAATGCCATTACCATGACTTGCACTGTGGATATTATGAGCCTTGAGGCCTAAGGAGCAATCAATTTGGAAACGTTGTTGCCTGCAGTCGGATGGCCCACGATATCGGCTATGATATGCTATTAGCGGAAGGGGCTGGTTGTGCAGCAACAAAATCGGTTGTGATTGGATGTGAATAGTTTGACAGACGAATGTTGTTGACAGTGGGAGATCAAAACTTAACGATAAGAACTAAACATTGTTCGGACTGGCAATTAAATAAATCAATATAGGTCACGCGCGCTGGCAGCACCTAAGCTCAGTACTCCCATCATCGCAGTAAACAGTGAACCTCCTTCAGTTAGCCTTTCAACTTCAAGTCTGTTTTTTGTGAGCTAGATTTAACTAGCTCGTTAATTCGAGCCCGTGTAAGCTGCGCAGCTCAGCAATGAACTCTCTAACATATATCTCACGTCAATTCGATGTATTCGCATCACCACGAACTCCCCCGTCGACCCCCGTAGACGATAAGACCTCCTTTCTTCGTAGGGCCTCGTCCATTCGCAGAGGATCACATTCTGGTACTTCCTTCAAGCGTACGAATTCATGGGCAAATAAGTCGCTCCAGCAGCCTCATGGCTCGGACTCACAGAACCCTCCAAGACCGAAGCGCTCATATTCCTCTCCTTCAGGCTTCTTACCCATACCAATTTTGAGGCCATTCTCTCCTTCACCTCCAACAGAGGCTACCATAATACACTCCAAGTCCACGTTCAGAGTAAGAAGCGCTCTCAGGCGGCTGTTCCTTGTTCGAGCCTTTGTTCTCGTTTGGAACACCCTCTGCGCTACATGGGCGCAGGTGACGCCAGGAGAGATCGAAACCAAGGAGAAAGAGGTTCTGGTCGACGAAAAGCCCCTGGGCGAGGCTACTGATGTATTGTTACCTGAAACACAACCGTCACTGCCATCAATTCCGTCCCCATCATCCCCAGATGTTCCATCTCACGTCCTTCAAGTCATCTTTGCCAAACCAGATATCGCCACTTTACCCACACCGCCGCCTTCCCCAGGCCCTTCGCTTCCACCCTATCCACACTCGCCTAGAATCCCTGCGACCACCGTAACAGATACCGCATCAAGATCACCGACACCCATTTTGACCACTACGCATAAGACACCGTTCCATTTACCAAAGACTCTTGTTCTTGATCTCGATGAAACTCTTATACATTCGACGTCCAAACCAATCGGTCATCTCTCTAGTAGCTCTGGGCTTCTCGGTTTCGGACGCAGGAATAAGGGACACACAGTCGAAGTAGTCTTGGGTGGCCGGAGCACCCTTTATCACGTATACAAGAGACCGTTTGTTGACTACTTCCTTCGCAAGGTTAGTTTGCGCACCACTGTCGTCAAGCTATTAGAGCCTGACTAGCGGTTGTCAGGTTTCTGCTTGGTACACACTCGTTGTCTTCACTGCTTCTATGCAAGAGTATGCCGACCCAGTCATTGACTGGTTAGACGCTGGACGTGGCATTCTTGCGCGCCGTTTATTCCGAGAGGTAAGTTTTGTGATTTCTTTACGATATCTGTCTCCTCACCACCGCGTTGTCACACTTGTTCAGTCTTGCACCCAACTTCCTAATGGATCCTATATCAAGGATCTGTCCGTAGTAGAACAGGATCTCGCTCGTGTCTGTCTGATCGATAACTCGCCGGTTAGTTACCGTGGCAATGAAGGTACGCACACTTCCATCTTGACAGATCACAATATAAATGTGCTCTCGTAACAGCAAATGGTATACCCATAGAGGGTTGGACACATGACCCACTTGACGAAGCCCTACTCGATTTGTTGCCCATCCTGGATTCGCTGCGTTTCACGGGGGATGTACGGAGGGTATTAGGCATTCGCGGGTTCTCATAATCTCTCCCTTGGACCATCCTCAACTGACTTTTTACCTCATGGTTTCAAGTTCAATATTGCCGCACCCCATCATTCTGCATGTCACAATTAGCATTTTGCACGCACGTCTTGCTGCATATCGAGCTCATAACTTAATACAGCCAGCTTTGTTACATAACTTAATATACTGCTTATCCTGTACACTATCTCAATTTCACAAGAACACAACCAGAGCCAACAGGGAAATCCTGAACAATCATATGTTGCAAGAGGCTATTATGAGAAGGGGCTTGGATATATGTATAAAGTCAGATGGGTACCCGGTGAACAGATCGACCGGGATGCAGTAGGGGAAAGGGAACTCTAGGCTCTAGCTATCACATTGCTAGTGCGGCCTGCAGTTCCCTCAACTGAGCCTCCTCGTCGTCCTCCACTGCCACAGTAGCTGCGTAAGAGGTTAGCTGATTGGACGTGAAGTTGATTTGAGGCATCTTACGTCGCTCTTCCACCCGACGAGCTCCTGCAGGAATGTGCAAAGGAACATGCTCTGCTCCAGCAAGGCGTTCATCGAGTGTCTCTTGCTCAAGGTCCGCGAGCTCTGCCTTGAGGTCATCCTAATTAAATCATCAGCACAAAGGCAGCCATCAAGTCAGGAGATAGACTCACCTCGTCTGCCTCCGTACCAGTAGGATATGATAGAGCTTCTGCGATTTCAGTAGCAATCTCTCTCTGTTCCGTGATCTTAGACATGGTCGAGTCGACCTTATCCATGGTCCTACGAGAATCAATATCACCGCTATACGTGTGATCAGCAACGTAAGGAGAATACGCACATGTTACCATGGATCGACGCCAGCACGTCTGAAGCCTTCTTCATAGCAGCCATCGTCTCCGCATTCAGATTCGCAGACTCTAGTGTGTTGATTTGTAGTTCTAGCTGCAGTCGTTGACCCGCTAATCGATCCATCTCCGATTCGCTCGCCTTCTTCCGCCGCAGAGCCTGCGTAGCCACTGTGCATTGTGTGTAGAGGATGTGCGTCGACGGTAGAGTGCGAACGTACCAGCCTTGTTTGAAACAGCATTTGCCTTTGCTTTCTTGAGTTCCTCGTCAATCTTCTTCTGTAGGTGCTCCTCCTTCTTCTCTATCATCTGTAGTTGCTGCCTTAGCCCTACGATGGCGTCTCGTGCTGCCTGTTTCGTATCTCGCCTCCCTCCAAAGTAAGACATAATGCCAGCCATCATGGTTTAAGTACAGAAGCAGATCAAAGCAAAAGAGATGCGCGCGGGACAAAGGGTAGAGCTGGCACAAGTGCTATACTATTACTGCCGCTGCGGGCTAGCTCTGACCAGCAAGTACTGATAACCGAATAAGGCAATTCGCCTCCTCATTGCGCTCTTAGTCATCACAAGGAAAAGTATCCAAAATGTTGAATTGTATGGTAGTTGAGTCCAGAAATGTCTAGATATGCAAAGGCTGACGTGTAGCAATTAAATCATCGATGACAGAATACCGCGCCCATGCGTCCAACGTACTAAATCATTGATTCTTCTTGTCTTCCTCGCTGCGGACGCATCATCAGTTTGGATGGAATACATGCGTTTGGAAACCTCACCTTTCGTCATCGCTGCGGTCGTCCGAGGCACCTTGACCGCTGATCACGCGCCATGCGACGCGACAAATCATCCAGAACCAGACGATTTGGATGATCTGGAAGGATTTAGCAGTTACGAACGTTGATAGGACTTCTGACACTCACCTGTAGTGCCACCAGCAAATAGACAAAGGTATTATAAGTCCTCTCAGAGTAATAATATCCCAATTCTGGCACCCAGCCCACAGAGATCAACCGCGGGCCATCGAACCAGGCCGACTTTATGACAATCACGAATAGAACGTGACGTGCCACAAACCATGATAAAAGAAACCAAGTGAAAGTGATATCGCAAAGGGTATATAAACCAATGTACCGAAACATTTTGGCGATCTATTAGGGGATGACTAATTGGGTCTGCATTATTAAAGAGTAGGGAGAGCAACTTACTGGGAGAAAGATATCATTCCAGTCCATCAATACCATGATGAGGCATCCGATACGGGTGAAATTGCAGAAGTAGCTCATGACCATGAGGAAAATGGTGAGGACATGGTGAGTCATCATTTGCACATGATCTTTCCTGCGAGCCTCGGCATTGAGAATGAGTATTTGATGGAGGTAGAAGGCGGTCTGGGTGAGATAGTAAAGCTTCAGAGGTCCAGCAAGGGGACTATGGGGGTAATTCAACCACAACTCCGTCGGTTTTAAGGCTTGAGTAGGAAGGTTTCGGTGAACATACTGGAATTAAGGTTAGACATGACACGTCAGCTGCATAAAACCACGCACAAAGCCAAATAACCATTGGAGTGTGTAGTAGATGGCCGACCAGCCTTGCTCTGCGAACCTCAGAACGCTGCGATGAATTTTGCGAGATTCGCGCGCAGACATTACGCCTTTTGGCTTGGAATCATTATTGGCATGCCCAGCATGTCCATTTCCATTTGTGATGCCATTTTTGTTGCCGTTCTGTTGTACGTGGCAGGAATTAGAACGCTTCCAAGCGCGGGTGAGTTTCCACCTAGCGAAAGGCTCCAATACGAAGATGCGGACTACGTCGCGCAGAACAGCCATGACAGCAATGCAAGTTATTATGAAGCAGCCATCTAGTACGCCAGTCTTGTAGTATGCGGAATGGTGAAATGAGTCGGGGTTGACGGGTGGAGGAGTTGGGTATGAAAGCGAAACGAATGGAACAAGGTAAGATGGTAGCCACTCAACGGCATGATGGGCGTTCATCGGTAGACGCGTCGGAAGAGGTTCAAGTCAGCAGAAGGTCGTCAAAAATTTCATGAACAGGGTGGGCAGCGTGCGATGATGCGTTTTGTGCCTGTTTGTTAAGTCTTACGTTTGATAACGGAAAACGCGACTACAAACTAGCAAAGCTCTTGCGAAGCTAGAGAAATGATCCTAGACCGTGTTAGTGAAGACCTGAAAGACTTGAGAATGAAATCAAACTGAAATGAGGTCTAATATATAAATCATCAAAGTAAGTAAATCGCGTTACCTCAACTCGTGAGAATATAATACCTTTTTAGGATAACAACTATCATCCTCGATGAACGCGACTTCAATGAACAGTCAGGCTCGCAGTAATCATGTCTACTCAACCAATTCCTACTCTCTACATCAACAATCTTAATGATAAAATCAACAAGGATGAAATGCGTACTCAACTATACGCCCTTTTCACCACATTCGGCAAGGTTATCGATGTTATCGCGTCAAAAGGTCCAAAAATGAGGGGTCAGGCATTCCTCGTCTTCACCGATTTGGCATCCGCAACTACCGCCATGAGAGCCTGCGAGGGTATGGTGTTTTATGACAAGCCAATGGTAACCTTAAACTTGACTTTCTATGAGAGAATTAAACCAAATTCACTTATGCAGCGCATCACCTATGCGAAATCTAAATCATATGCTACTTCGCGAAGGGAAGATCCCACCTTCGTCGCTCCAACATCTGTTCATGCAAACCCGGATCTCGCTATGCTTGCAAAAGTTACTGTTTCAACTACTGATAAGCGTCGGCGCGACGAGGAATTGGCAGATGGGCAACCAAAGTCCAAACGCGAAAAGTCAGAGGACGACAGTGATGGTGAAGAAATGGAGATTGATGAAGATGAGGAACCCGCTCCACAACTCAAACCTCTAGGTACGTCTTAATATGAACAATTTTCATATGATTTCAATCGTCATTCTTCCCAAAGACACCATTCCCCCGCCTACACAACATCCATCTGCAAGATTGTTTTGTACAAATCTTCCTCAAGAGGTCACAGATAGTGTACTCTCTGTATTATTTCAACAGTGGGCCTCATTCCCTTTTTATCCAAGTCATTCACGAATATTGCAAATAGGTACAAGGGTTTTCAATCAACACACGTCGCCCAGTCACCAACTCCAAATGCTGCTGGCGCAAGCGTGAAGATAGCACAAGTTTTCTTCGACTCCCCCGAGCTCGCATCAACCGCAAAAGATGCGCTAGATGGCTTCACACTAAAAAAGGGCTGGAAGATGTCTGTAGCCTATATTTAATACAGTTGTAGGTCGTACCCGTGAAAATTTGTACTAATTTTTAATATTCTCATGCACCTGCTCATGCTGCAAGGTACAAGTGATCATTTGAAAGACCGTTTTCAGAACGACTCTACTTCCACTTATTTCTGCAAGGCTTGGAGAATGGCCTCGCCGATGGGATGAGCTGAAGCCGGATTTTGCCCTGTGATTAGGTTACCAGCGACGACGACCTTGGGCTGGAATAAAAGTGGATTAGATAACATACGGGCAAAGTCAAGCATAATACTGACCCCCCAAGGTTCTGCTGCTTTCTCGTATTTACCCCCAAGACTGGAGATCTTGTCTTCCAACAAGAACGGTATATCCTGTATTCGAAACACGTCTGCAAAAGTACCAAACGCTGGCTAAGTGATACTCGCCTTCACTTTGTCGACCTGCTCCTCCTCGACATTTGAAAAGCCAGTGAAAGCTTTGCCAGCAAAGATGGATTTGCCAGAATCGTCGGTGGCGCCAACAAGGGCACTGCAACAAAGTGTCAGTAACATTTGTTGTAGAACTCGTTATACTATAGCTGACGCTGGTCCGTGGCAAACAGCGGCGACCAATTTCCCAGTACGGTAGAACTATAAGATCAGATAATCGCTACAGGCCTATCATACAAGAAAGTTGACAGACGTACTTGAGATGCAAGCTTGATATTGACAGGATCCACTGCCAGATCCAAGACAGGACCATGGCCCCCTACATAGAAAATCGCATCGTAATCATCGGGATTAACATCTGAGAGCTTTTTAGTGGCCGAGAGCTTCTTCTGGACCTCGGAATTTTTGAGGAATTTGCCTATGTCGTCCGGGAACGTCTGAAGGTAAGATTTTAGCGAGTACTCATCGATGACCTGGGTTCTAACTGAACACCCACCTGGACGCTGTATTCATCCACAGGTGGATTAGGACCCGCAGGAGAGGCAAAATCGATAGTGAAATGAGGCGCGAGAAGGTAGTAAGGATGAGCGGCTTCAGGAAGGTACCATCCCTGATCAAACGTGGTTAGGGGGCCGATACCAAAAACAAGTGCAAGGCTCTGCTGACCGTGCTGGCACCTGTCAAAGTTTGATTTGCAGATGTGAAAACAAAAAGGATGCGTTTTGTCATGACGTTCAGTGAGTGAGATAGTGGATGTGTGATTTACGGCCGTTGTGACCTTTATATATCTGTGAAATTTCTCCCCGGGCTCCAGTTCAACTTCCGAGTGGAGCGGGGCCCCTCTAGCGGAGCAGGATAACCTTCGCGTGAATTGAAAATTAATATTGAATCGTTAGGCAACTCGTTCGAATCTGCATCAACCTGGGACATGACGCACATGCTATAACTAGCACTTGATAACAGGCTGGGAGCACGGGCCGAGGCTATAAGATAAGATACAAGTATTACGTAAGTATCACCACCGCGAACCTTTAATTTCAAGCGGCGAACCACAGGCATCTTCGGCACCTTTGGCACTTGGGCCCGGGGTTATAGCATTCGAACGCAGCGTGATACCGTAGATCGCAGTCATCGGCGACATGTCTTCATTCTTCGGACTGTCAGTAGTCCTTCCAACAGCAAGACCATGAACTAACGCGTCGGCTTATCCAGTGGCAAGACCCGCACGTTCAAACCTCGAAAGGACGTCCCGGAGGGCACCAAACAATATCAACTGCGAAAGTATGCAGAAGCAACCTTGGTAAGGTACACTGATCTGTACTAAATGCCAGGATGACATCGAACTTTCACATGTAATCCAGGGTTCTGGCAACTTGAGGTTGGCTGTTCGGTTACCTGAAGGTGAAGATACAAATGAATGGCTTGCTGTCCATGGTGCGGACCATCTACACTCGTCTACCACGCGTCATCGTATTTACATGAGCAGCTGTTGATTTCTTCAATCACTTGAATATGTTGTACGGTACGGTTACCGAGTTCTGTACGCCGCAGGAGGTATGGCGTTGCTGATTACTTGCTGCTTGATCTGAAACGCCGGCTTTACTAGTGTCCCATAATGTCCGCTGGTCCGCGGTGAGCCTCTGCCTGTAACATATACATAACTTTAAACTTACTGTAATTCGGTAGCTACGAGTACCTTTGGGAAGATGGTGTTAAATATAAGAGACCCACGAAGCTGCCCGCTCCCGAATACGTAGATGCATTGATGAACTGGGCTCAGAACATCCTCGACGATGAAACCGTATTCCCCAATAAGATTGGTGTGTACTGCACGATACATCCATTCTGCGGCGGTAGTTGACGAAACTTAGGCGTACCATTCCCTCGAAATTTTCGCGAAACTGTGCGCACGATCGTACGCCGATTGTTTCGTGTATATGCGCATATATACAGCAACCACTTTGACCAAATTTGTGCGCTTGGCATCGAAGGTATCATCTCGTTTTACTTTCGACTTTGATTATGATGGCTTGACCAAATTCTGTAGCTCATCTGAACACCAGTTACCGCCATTTCTTTCTATTCATAAATGAGGTGTGTCCACAGTCATCTTAACAACTGCCTAATCACTTAATTATAAACTGGCTAGTTTGACCTTGTGGATAAGAAAGAATTAGCACCCCTGGACGAGCTTAATGACGCCATCCTTGCCGAGGACAAGGCCCGATAACCGAATCCTGTGTTTAACCGTTCACTGTTGTATACCTATCTCACTGCCTTGACGCCAATCTGTCATCAAGTTCTGAATCATGATGCTATTACCCATCGGCTATATGCTATGCGTGTGTGGACAGTACAAAGGTGTGAAATCGTAAGCGTTAACAGACTAGGATACTATTTACGGAAGGAGTAGCTGCTAATGAGTACTGGGTACAGGTCGTGTATGACGGACTCGGTGGCAGTGTTCACCGAAGTGAATATTTCCAACTGATGTTACAAAAAGTGAGCAATGTTACACGATGAATGCAGTGAAAAAAAGAAAGGGATGAGTGATACAGTCGATTGAAAGAATGAGAGCTGAAGAAGCACATGCGCGCTTTTCCTGGGGTATGTTGGTCCAGAGTGTGAGATATTTCTTCCGAATGATGTTTTACGAGTTAGATAGTCCTCTGCAGTTCCGATATAAGCAGAAAGTTTGAAGGGCTGAAATGGTGGGCGTACCTTGACTGCCGACCATTGTATAATCAATGTCTTCAGCCGGTCTCGAAGTGCCTTTCTACAGTGCTCGCATGACAGCTGATCACCTAGAGGTCCCAAGGCAGACTCAATGGCGTTTGTGGACAAGTCTGTATTTGACTAAAATTAAAACAGTGCTGCTGAACACCTATGAAACATACCTGGCCTAGCATCCCAAGCGAGATATGCAGATGCAAGAGCCCAAGCTCTTGTGAGCCTTTTTTGCTCGGTGAAGTCACAGTCATTAGTGGCGGCATGTGGATGTGGTGGTGGTAGGAGGAGACGTTTCAAAGCATCTGCGCGGCCAAAGTGGAGAAAAAATAATCGCTTCAAATATATTGCGCCAATTCTGTCCGCCATCTCATCCGTCAAGGATGCGAGAGAGAAGGAGAGCAAATGAGATGAAGTTGGGACAGCGAGGTCATAGAGGTCGTGTGAAGCAGCCAACGTATAGAGTTCCAGGGGGCAAAGTGGTGCATACGAAAGAAGCAGGGCGTGCAGGGCAGAAGAAGAGCTAACATGGCGCTTGAGGGAAACGCCATAATCTGTTAGCGCTGACAATGCAGTTGCAAGGGACTCGAATGAAGGAGAATAGTGGGAACATGGCATGTCGTATATGGCGTGAAGTACGATATTGAGAACGGTAGAAGATTCCGGGACGGCCAAGACTGGACCTAGTTGGCCGGTAGTCGCTTTGGACGACAGTGGTAGCAAACTGCCAAAGTTGTTTTCAGAAACTCGAAGCAGCGCGCGCGTGTGGACGTAAAAGAATATAGAGTCGGATGAGAGCAGCACGACATCTGGTGGATGTGAGTGGATGTGTGCTCCGGGAAAGAATGTTGTGGACACAGAAACAAGGGTGTCTTCCTCTGCTGGTGGGTCAACCGGTGATGAGGTGAAGGAGTCCTTTGTAAGTCATGGTCAATATTATCTGGCTGACATGATGGTTCTAGTCTAAACGACGTACGGGGGGTGTTGGTACCTGCACAGGTACTGCCGAACGAGTACGTTCTGCGACGGGCCTTTCAGGCACATCAGAAATTTCCATCTCCAAAGGCTCTGAGACGAACTGCAAGAGGAAGTCCCAGTCTGTGTTCTCCACACAAGTACTCATGACTGCCTTGATTGATGATCAAATGATTCGAAAGAGGATGATTAAAATAAAAATAGAGGTTGACGAGCAACAAAAGGTGTTTTGACTGTGGAGGGAGATTATTAGTACAACACACGCGGGCGATGACGAGCGGATATAACGTATAAAAGAGAAAGGGGGACAGCAGTTCGGGAAATCTGCTAAACCAAATATGCACACTTCGCTGAGTTTGATATTAGATAATACCTTCCAAAGCTAGGCCAAGACCAGCCGAGATCCTCGCCGCTCTTATATACTCTACAAAAGGCCAACTTGGCCTACGGTCAGGTCCCCGCCTGCCAGTGACTCGCACTGCATGACTCGGGTCTGCGTTGGTGCTATGGATCTGAAGAAAATGTAGCTCTCCCCATCGGAATTAAAGAGGAACGACTGTCTTCTCTATTGGTCTGACTTAAACATAGAGGTTACTATCATGCGGGGACCTGGCGTTAGTGATCCATGATCATGGTCTAGAAGAGGCCTGGCTTCCCCACAAGGCCCCGCTCGGGAATTGCCAGTGTCGGATACAACGTAGTCTGGAAAGGCCCCAGATTTAAAGTATGAAGGGTCGTTTTGCAAATTCAATTTCAGCGGCATCGCGGCTCAACTTCCTGACATTCTATTCCGCAGTATTCGAACCGTTTAGCACGGAATCGATAGGAGCGAACTATCATAATATTCGGCTGTTTCCGATCCCTGCATCTTTCCAGAAGAACCCAGATCATTACGGGCCCAACCAAGCATCAACTCCCAAACTTTGACCCGCTGTCAGCTACCAGCCCATCATCATCGGGGGGAAAATACATAAATCATCATGCCTCGGCTTTTCTCCTACACTTCAGTTTATGTATTTCTTCTCGTTGGCCAAAATTTGAATCGTGTAATTCCTAGATGCTCATGTAAGAAACAGGAGGTGTGCTATCTTTAACATGCGCACCATATTCGCTAGCCTTTTCGCTGTGGATACGGCATTCAATTTTTCTAAAACCATGTTTTCTGGCATGGTCATAGCCTCTAATTGCACCCCTGATGAAGTTATGAGCCAACTCTATCACTGCATACCAAGGGTCGAATAACGTACCAATCCGTGCTTCTATTCGTGATACACGCTCTTCATCCTTTTCGGTCACAAAACTAATAGCAACACCACCTTTACCAGCACGTGCAGTTCTTCCGACTCGGTGAGTGTATTCTTCAGGCTCATTCGGTAGGTCCCAGTTGATGACCATTGCCACGTCCTCAATGTCCAAACCACGGGCGCCAACATCTGTCGATACAAGAACTGGGATAAAAGATGACCGAAAAAGTGACAATGACGTCAACCGTTCCCGTTGTGTCAATCTTGAATGCAGCGCGGTGCTGCGAATAGACAATGTCTGAAGTAGATGGGTAATATAAGCAGCAGTCCGAGGCTTCGTGCAGAATATGATGGTAGGTGGTGGTTGTATGGGTATATCCTCATCTGGACCGGGTTTTTGCGATGTTCTCGTTTTTCCTCTGGATTTTCCCGGTTTTATTGGCTCTGGGGTTACCCTCCGGAGTGATGCGATACTTTCTGGAGGATTACAAAGTAAATGATAGAGATACGGCTCGCGCACGTGCGAAGGAACCAGAACGTAATGTTGCTTTAGCGTCGCGACTGTTTCGACACTGTATTGAAAAAAAAAAGATCAGAACCACGTCCTGCCGTCCAACACGATGTACACCTTACGTTGATAACGTTCTATGCACAAAAGGCTTCACCTTTCCAGATCTCGGCGGGGCTTCAATCAAGGACTCAATTGCTTCTGTCAGGGTAGCAGTAAAAAGACAGGTTTGCCGATCGCTTGGCAGAGTCTCAAATAAAAATTTGAGTTCGGGGGAAAAAGTCGATGTAAGGAGACGATCCGCTTCATCTAATACCTGACTCAGTTCGACATGAGTGCCAGCAGAAACTCGCATAAAATTTTCACTGACAAGGAACTTTACACGAGACAAATTCCATTCGCCGTTGCTACTCCGCAAGTGGTCAACCATACGCCCGGGCGTGGCTACTACAACATGGGGAAGGCCACCCAGTTCTAAAGCTTGTGTCATCATATCCATGCCACCGACAACGACAGACGTTCGGACGCCTATTGCAGCACCAAGCACTGCAAATTGTTCGGATATCTGGAATGCCAGTTCCCTAGTAGGATGTCATAATGCGACGCAACATCAATAAATGAGTAAGCGGACCTCGTAGGTGTCAGTACTAGCGCGAATATGCCATATGGATCCTCAGATAACTTCTGCAGGATTGGGATTGCAAATGCTATAGTCTTCCCAGAACCTGTCTTTGCATTTCCTATGCAATCTCTTCCTAGAAGCAGATGTCTGATTGGTTCGACGTCTATACTAATTGTTGCAAGACAAACCTTCGAGAAGGGGAGGAATGCAGGCAGCTTGGATCTCTGTTGGGGCTCGTATAGACATACGAGCAAGGGCAGCACTGAGAGGAGGCGCCACACCCATATCACCAAATGATCCTGTGGGGTGCATTATGACCAGCTGAGGATTTTGGGGGGGACAAGCGAGTCTAGCAGCTGGCGCTGAAGCCTGACAGAGAATAAGATGACGGTCACGTGCTTACTAATTAATTAGCTTTCGGTATATTTAGTACCAACCACCGGCGTACGGCGTACAAAACGGGCGCGGCAACACCAGCCTGAGGGTCCAGCAGCCCAGCTGAGTTTGTTCTCATAATAGTCGTGGACAAAATTTGGAGTGGAGTGAGAGGAATAGACACTTCACATGGAAGCAACCGGTGCTACCCTGTGCCACCAACCCAGGGACGGAAAGTGATAACGAAACAGAAAGTAGGTCCTGGAGGGTGGGACAGTGGGTGATCCCATCGTTGCTATACTAACGGTAGAACAAACGACGATCATGACGAGTCAAGACCCCGGTTGGATCGAATCGAGCGTCAGAAAAGTTCTATTGATACATTGAACGTGGCATACTACGAATACAGCGATGAATGTTAAGGCTACAAAGAAGGGACGTGACGATGATGGCTATATGAGTGCTTGACAATAAATGGGAGGGGAAAAAAATGAGTGTTTGCAAACCCTCTAAATATTTGAGTTCTTGTCCATGTTAAGCATCCACGAGGTGTTGCTCCATTCATCCCTTTCGTGGTCAAGTGGCATTGAGAAATCACACATAAAGTCGGAGAACATTGGATCGGAGGTGCATGATGGAGCCCTGCTGAAAGCGTCCGAACACGAAAAGGATTGGCCTGACGACTGATATCCGTCCATCGATCCGTGAAGTAGTGGAGACAGACCATTTACGTCATAATCCATTGAATTGTGGGGAAGACGCAGTTGTTCCATTCCAAGGAATATGTCATCTTGGGACATAGAAGCATCAGACTCGGATATGTCGCCGTTCCGTTGGAAGGTTGCTGCAGTTGGCGTCTAATTGTCGAAATGAAGATCAGATGAAATAAATATAGAGGAGCATCAGAACGTACGGCGTCAAGATCTAAACCGGACAGCATTTCAGCTAGTCCTGATCTTGGCGTAGTAGGCTGCAATGGCTGTGATGAACTCAATTCCAAGCCAAGCGCATTCGTGCACTGAGACTGAGGAAGGGACAGAGTGGCGTTCGGCTGCTCGTTAACACACATTGCCTCTGGTAAAGAAAAGGTTGGAAGGAAAGGTGGAAAATGTAAAGGGGAGAGCCCAGTAGGGGATGAGAAAGCCGATGGAAACTGCTTTTTTAATGCACCGAGGAGAGCATCACGCGTAACACCCTGAGGGCGGACCCTGGACGAGCGAACACGTCGCACTGGGCCTATGGATGACTCCGCACATACTTGTTCAGTAGGCTTCGAGTAGTAAGCATCGCTTTGAAAAGTCTTGGCCGACTTAGCGCTCTTGCGGTTGGGCTTGAATTTGTAGCCAGGATATTTCGCACAATGTGCAGCTTGGACTTCCGCTGCCTTCTTATGCCACACAGCTCTGTCTTCTTTGCTCATAGCTCTCCAAAGCTGCCCTGCGATGCGGCTGAGATTCTGCTGACGCTTCTCAGGGTCAGCATTTCCCCGGCTCTTGAGCATGTGTGAACGGTAGAGCATGAATGCGTTCGGTGGGCGAGGAATATGTTCCTTTGACGAAGAGCGAACCCCACCATGTGTCGAAGCAGCCAATGAGAACACGTCGCAATTAGAAAATAGCTGAGGAATGGAGAGGGGGGAGTTGAATAAATTATTTCCTTGCTCCAGGCACGGAGGTGCTGATTGGGAACGACACAAATCATCCAAAGGAAGGGAGATATCACTGAAAATGGGGGACTGGGAAAATACGAAGTGCTGTGGATAGTTCAAAGGACCAGGGCCCAGATGGACAGGATAAGAGTTGATCATGTGCCTGCTGTTGGAAACTGGCAAAGTAAAGTCAGCTCGGCCCGGCCTGGCGACTACCCAAGGAAAGACTGACCGTCATAATCCATTGTATTAAAAAAACTTGCTTTTGGACTGTAAAAGGGATCTCAACACCAGTTGAGAGTAATGAACATTGTGAGGTCAAGGATTATGACCACTCTTATATGCGTACGTTCAGCGCAATAAAGGGAGCTGGAGATAGTCCCACTACGTGGATCTTCGTCAGGCTTCGTGAGCTCACCTGAAGGGCGGCAAAAGTATACAAAGGGAAGAGCAAAAGAACATTGGGGTCAATCAGTTTGAAAGAAGGCGCGAGGCTGATATCACGTGACCGACACAGAGCAATCGGAATCGCGCGAGAGCACGTTGTAAAACACGTTGCCCAGCGAGCCATGTCTTCGGAGTTATACTCCTCCCGCAAAGTTCTATATGGCACGAGGCACGACGCTACAAAAGCGTGGCAAGATAAGAGTGGCGTGCGAGCAACGATGGTCCGCTCTGCGGGAAATGACAACGACGACACTTAGTACCAGAAATACCGCAGCATGTGTCGCCGATCTCCTCCCGTGAACATCGACAACATCCGTTTCTGTGTACTGCTTCTATCAATATCATTAATTTGAGTTCCGGGTACAGACTTACAGGCCAACCAATTATCGTCGGCGTTATCGCATGGTGCATCAAATGAGATAAGGTCACAAGTCATGCTTGCGATGTCGATTGATGGATAATGAAACGCGCTGCCCAGCCTTATGATTATATCTCTAGTTTCATTAAAATTATAAGCAATGTAAACGCAGCCACATTCCTGCAGCAGGCTGTAAGCAAAAGGTGCATGACAGAGATAGTAACACCTACATGCGATTTCTAGGGAATAGCAATCCATTGCGAGCTCCCAGCTGCTTTCTTGACCCGGTTCATGATTGCCAGGCCCTCATTTTCTTCTGGAACTTCTTCCACTAAGATCAAGTCCACCCCCTCCCTTTCCAACGTCAACAGTCCATCAAATAGCCGTCTTGCAATAATTGCTGGCTCTGAAACCAGCCCAAAAGGAAATTCATGCCACTGAATGGTCGTATCGCTGATGAGATATTTCATCAAAATAGAATCCGAAGGCATCAATAACCCCACGCGGAGAGCGTTAGGAGAATGTGGCATCGAACGCTTGAGATCCTCCAGAAAAGCGGATGGGCTAAGAGGTTCTATTCCAAGGGGAACATCGGACATGCACATCAGCGTCACTGGCACTGAGGGGGAATAATGGCGATATTTCATGCCAGGTGTAGTAGGTGCCTGTTCCAATGCGTCGTCACGAAAATCACGACGATGGACGAGGATCTGGGGTATTGGTGTATCGGTATCGGAGAAGCCATTGATAAGCACTCGTTGAATGTCTTCCACTGTAATTCCGCCAGGTCGCAGGATGCGGATATTTCCGTCTTCGTGTAGACCATCTACAACCGTACTTTCTAGACCAACTTCACATGGGCCACCGTCTAGAATGATTGTAATTTTGCCATTCAAGTCATTCAACACATGCTCTGCACGAGTGGGACTAGGTTTTCCGGAGGAGTTGGCGCTTGGAGCTGCGAGCGGTGCATCGGTAACAGCAATGAGTGCTCGTGCTACCGGATGTGATGGCATCCTGATTGCGACAGTTGGCTGGCCAGCGGTAATGATGTCGGGTATCAGGCTATGGTCGCAGGGGAAAAGTAGCGTGAGGGGTCCAGGCCAAAAATGCTCTATGAGCAACTCGTAAGAAGGCGAGAGCGTATAATTTTGTGGAAGCAAGGTTTGTAGCATACGCCGCGAGGACACATGTACGATGAGAGGATTGTCAGCCGGCCGGCCTTTTGTGGAGAATATCTTAAGGGCTGCTGTCGCGTTTAGAGCGATAGCACCTAGCCCATAAACGGTTTCAGTAGGAAAAGCGACTGGGGAGAGATCTTTGAGGCAGGATGCTGCGGTATGCAAGGCTGTGAGGGTTTCAGGTGAGCTGACCACTACCTGGTCGTCTAAAGAAAAGACGATGGATGTAGAATCGCATGCGAACACCTGTGTCACCGCCGCCATCGTGCCTTGTGGTTGCGAAGACCTTTTCCGCGAAAAGTTGAGGTACCTTTTCAAAACATTCATTAGTAGGATTGTCGAAACCCAGACGGTGGGCCAGACCGAGTCAGTTGCAATGCTGATGAGTCCGGGATCCGATCGGGTAATCAACTTTAGTATATTAAATACAACTTTTAAGTTAGTTTCACTGGTGACTGCGCGCCATAGTATAGACATCTAAAATGACCTGGTATCCTCGGGCATCATGATATACTACGCCTGATATCCCTTTTATCGAGTCACTACCCTTGATTGACCGGTTACATTCGAATGCATCTAGTAACTCTGTCACTACGTGTCCCGAGAATCAGGTACATGGATCTTGGGCATGTTCAGTCCAACTCGTCGTGCGGTCGCTTCGATCCGTTCCTCCGCTGTTAGGTCGATTAATGGGTTATATCTCTCCAACAAAGCCTAGCATAAGTCAGTTGATGTGTAATACCTTGCGTGAAACCAAAATGCTTGCCTTATATTCTCGCTGAGATCGCAAGAAAGTCAAGGCATTCTGCATATCGTAATGAAAATGTTGCGTATCCTCGGGTCGTCCACTCTCTGCGAACAGGGCTCGGAAGTTTGAAGCAATGTCTTTGTTCCGAGCTAACCGAGGTTTGACAGTCTGAGGGTCACTGAAAGTCAATACTAGCAACACAAATGAAAAGACTGGCAATGTACCGCTTTGGCTATCTCTCGGACTACCTTTCGATAGACGTGTGTATGATGTGCAACCATTGGGTACAAGCAAACGTTCGCTTCAAGCGTTCACAAATTGACATCAAATCTTATTTCCTTTTTTGGACCATCAATCAATCCACTATCATTTTTACAATTCATCCACAAGTTCAAGTTCTCTGCAGATTTCATTGTACATTGATTCAAGCCACTGACACAAGCTCCCGTCCATAATGCTGTGGAAATTAACTTGTTTAGACTCTCTTCCACTGCTCGATATTTTAAAAGGCTGCTCAATCTGATATTTATCCGCCAGCTCAACTCACAAACTTCGAGACCCTTCATTCACGATTAACTGATCATCATGGTTTACCACTGCCATAGCATAAACTCTGACGACTCTCCTACTCACAACTTAGAAACCAAATCTATCCCCAAGGTTAGTGACGTAGCGTGGTTTCCTCCTAACCATGTCACTCAAGTTTCTGCCGTAGTCAAAAAAAGTAACGAGCTCGCGGAAAAATGACGCCAAACCGACACGTACCAATCCTGCACGAGCTCAAAAAAAGAACCAACGTGTTTCCCATGCTATCAAGAGGCATGTCAAACAGCGACGACGTGATCCTATGCATGTGTTTGTTGGCAATGTAAGGCACCCTGAAAATCATTACGATATGGAACCTGACCTCTATGCAAGCTTCCTAAAACAGTCGACGAAGACAGTATCGAAGAGTACTTCAGTCGCTGTGGCGAAATTCTCTCTGTCGAGATTCGCTGCAGCGGTGGTCTGGCAATGACGACTGGTCGCCCGGATCCAGCCTATATTGCCCAACATTCTGTTAGGCAGTACGCCATGATCACGTTGATTGATGCATCAGCTGCCAATAAAGCTTTGAATCTCAATGGGTCTCGTCTTCAAATAGGTGATGAATCCACGGAGCTTGTGGTATGTCACTTGAATCTTAATGTCAGAATGCAACTCAAAACTGTAATTTAGGTCACTCGCAGCCCCGCTGATCTTCCAGAAGTGATAGAAAAGGTGCAGCAGCGTCTTGAAGCATACCGAGCTCGCAACGGCTTTACTGATGCGAGGCGTGCTCGACAAAGCGCAATGAGGTATGACAACCGTTGTTGACTTATGTGTTCATTGCTGATACGACCGTTGACCTACATAGGGCTCTGGATCTCCAACCCACCATTTTATTAGAAACTCGCAGAGATAAACATCCGCGCGGGAAGATCTTTGGTTTTTCTTTCCCTTTGCCCCTCTTTTGACTCTCCCTTGTACCTTTGTTTCAATAATGTCCCCATTCTTTATTTATGCCGTATACCCAACATGTCCATACACAACGTGTACTATGGTGGGCGGTGAGATGCCCTGGATGTAAGGCTTCTGGAAGCATTGACACATTGCATAGTACTTAGTAAATGAACAAGCTTAAGCTTCAATTACCACGCCTTCGGCCGGATTTAAATTTGTGAGCTTTATAAAGCTTTGGGCCTTTGGCAACGCCTCTGTGCCTTCAATCGAGTACCTGCTACTGCGTCAACAGGCCAGTCGCAGGTATTTTTCTTGACATTCTCATTTACACTGCCTGTATGGAATCGGTTTGAAAAGTCATTTCTTCCGATCCTAAGGTGAGATCAACTTAATGCTTCTAGTGCCAAACTGAAAGCCTTATTACGCTCTAAGTGCTGCCCTTCGTTTGTTCACCGTTCGTTGGAGCTAGTCACTGCCATGGCGAGAGGCGCAACTCTGAACCCCACTTCGACGCCCTTCTTCCCTGGCAATATGCGAAACAATGAAGAGGATGGGGCCACTGGGTTCGTATTTGGGGTTCCCACACTTCGGGAACAGGATGGAGCGTCTGTGTCCTCTCAATCAGCCTGTTCCGCTGATCGCAGGTCTTTGAAGTCGTCCCCAAGTCCACCCCGATTACTGGAGCACACTGGAGCGCCCGATAGTCTCCCAGACGCCCGCTTCCAGCTTTTGCCCCCACACGGGGATAGGCCTCCATATCTCCATCAGGTTGAGTCTGAGAGGCAGCATGTGTTTCGTGCGCGAGACATGAGTAAGGTTGGCAGCTTAGAGTCTCTACCAGAAGCAGATGATACCCCCAATCCAAATACCCATGACGAAAGCATGTACACCCTGGGCGATTCGTCTCCATTTATCTCGGCTCTTGTGCAACAATCTCGGAATCGCAATGTAACACCTCCGGTCAACATTATGAACAACTCATTACGCTCTTCATCATTCAACATCAGTGGACCATTCCCCTCATCGTCTCCGGTCTCATCTTTGGACTCCGGCAGTCAACTTGCCTCCAGTACCGATTTTCATCATAATCTGGAGGCACAACTCAAAGCTTCTCCAATCATACGTGACCTATTAGACCGGCTTCAGCGTTGCGAATATAACACGCGCGAAATTCAGCGCGACATCAGCGACATACATCGCAAAGTCAACATTCTCATTGAGAGGACCCTTAGCAGTGCCACCTCTTTCAATAGCGCTCAGCCTGAATTCAAGGATCCTTTCGCACCTGCTTCTGGCATGTCGACACCCGCAGTCAATATCGCGCGGGCCTCATTTAGTGCAAACATTGCACCAAATCAATCACCTCCTGCGGATGATATTACACAGATATCTCAACGCCTGAACACGTTGACCACTTCCGTTGGGCAATTGCTGGCTCTTCAAACACAGCAGCATATTCAAAATGCTACCACAGGCCTTCTTCCTGCCCAGATGGGACGATCTACCCCACAGATGCAGGACATGGCCTCGAACCAAGCCTTTCCCCATGGCATGGGGTCTAACCCTGCTGCCCTTGGTCATGGTATACCGAACAGACCAGATATGCGACCGTCACCACGCGCACCTAATCCCCCAATGCGCACTTGGTCTGCGGGAACGCTTGATCTTCCCATGCGGGCCGAGACTCACGGCAATTTGGGACGACTCGAACCTCCTCGGGATAAACGTCGTTCTGTAACTGGGGGCATCATACGGCGTGAATCTGTAGGCGTGCGTAGTTCAGTCTCCCTAGCGACACCAAATCAACTAACCTGTTTGATTGCTAGATGATTGATGCACAGGGCAATGAGCTATCTGGTAGCTCAGGCCGTGACAGCGGTCCCATGGTTTCCAAGTGGGAACAGTTGAATCTTGCGCCAGATTTACTTCGTTCTCTCAGCAAATTTGGGTTAGTGGTAATCCATCGGAATCAGTTCTTCTGTTAAACTTGACGTTCATAGCATTGGCCCTCCTAACAAAATTCAGCAACGCGCACTTCCATTTCTTCTGCGAGGTGCAGACATCATTGCGCAAGCTCCACCCACTCAAGAGCGGATTGCGGCATATGTGATACCCGCTATTCAGGTAGCTGTGATAAATACCGCTGGACGCCCCCTTACCAGGGGACCTCTAGTAATCATGATATCTACGACGGTCGACCAAGCTACCCAGGCTCAGCGTATGATTCGTGATCTCGGAGGTCCGATTGGCATTAGATCTGCGCTAGGCGTTGGCACATCCACTTCGCCTAGTGACCTCAGCCAGGAGCTACGCCTTCTGCAGCAGAACATGCCCCACATCATTTGTGGGACTCCACAGAAGCTGCATGCCCTTTTCACTGCCTCTGGAGGTCTCGTCGGATCTGAAGTCCGCTTCCTTGTTCTTGACGAGGTTGATCAGCTGATTGCCCGCAATTTACACGAGTTTGTCTTCAACATAGTGAAGCTTCTTCCTCCGCCAAGGTCTCGACCTGTTGGAAATGTCACGCCAAATTCTGCTTCTGCCCCTCCTCAACAATCGTTCAATTCCTTTGATGCAAACAGCCACCCCGCCTTGTCGACTTCTAATACAGGACGCAGGTTCTCTGCAATTTCTCCGCCCCCTTCGAATGAGCATACTACCGGCTCATCGAACATTATTGAACGACAGACTGCACTGTTTTCCAATACCGTGCCGCAGGATGTGCTCAATCTAGCTACGGCTATCCAACTCAAGGAGCCTGTGCGCGTTCTAGTCCGCCGTGATGGAAATGTCACCAGCACCGAGTCCGCTCAAGGGTCTCGTGGTCTTAGGCAATTTTACCTTTATCTTGCTTTCACTGCTGGTGTTCGAACAGATACAAGTAATCCTGCTGCACCGGGTGGTGGACACGGCATCATTGGTTCGGGCCGCGGGGCATCTAGTGCTGAAAGTGCTCAAGCTCGCGAGTGGAAACTTGACGCGTTGGCAGATATATTTGATGACGTCGAGGTCAGCCAGGCGATTGTGCATGTTGGTGGCATGACATCTTTGGAATCAGTTGTCCACAAGCTTGCCAGCCGCGGGCTTGAAGCTGTACCTCTTGTTAGTACCAGAAGCATTCTCTCTCTCTCGATGCTCAAACGGTTTTCTTCTAGCACGGTGACATGAACGCAGGCACAAAGTTGGCAGCGCTGAACAAGTTCAAAAGTTCAGCTTCAGTTATGATGAGAGAGCCTGTGACGAAAGTGTTGGTTGTGAATGATGTGCAGGTGAAGACCCCAGAAGTGTCTCACGTCCCTCTGATCATCAACTATGGTAAGTAACTGGCCATGCTGTGGTCCGAATTGATGTTCCAACTCTTTTGTTAGACCTTCCTAAAGCTGTAGAGGAGTACGCACATCGGTAGGCCAACCCATTACCTGTGTCAAACACGCGCTCATCCTTATTTCATCTCTATTACAGCGTTGCTCCAGCCATTGCTTCCAATTATGCACGAGCTGGTGTTGTAGTGAACTTTGTCACTGCGACTGGGGGTGATGTTGAAATGCTTCGCTCTATTGAATGTTTTTACAAGTACGCACTTTTTTTTAATGAAAAAAGCCCAGTACTGACGATTGACGATTTTCTTCCAATCCAGAATTAAATGCGTGCGTTTTCCTGTTGAAATCACACCACAAACTGTATCTAACTTACTTTCCACAGCCTGAAGTCCCACTGAGCCTTCGCGATGTCATCTAAACACGCACTTGGCGTTCATGTATCTCTATTTTCTCGGGCCTTGCTTCAGCCACTTTCCGATGTGTTCTTATACTTGCTAACGTATCACTTACCCAGGCAGGTGCCCAGCCATGGCACAAATCTGTTTTATACCCATATATTTGGCACCCCTTTAGCGATATCAACTCAGATGTTTCCGTACTGACACTGTTTCCACCACTACTTGGTATCCAGTCTTCTCGACACTGACCACTGTATAGCAGTCTTTCCTTCCTGTCTTCACTACGTTTGCCTCGTGAATCGGCTTACTGTGTTTTATGTCAATTCTCTTTATGTCATTTTGTTACTGTGGAGTTTAGTGTCTACCAACGTACTTTAGTCTACTTCAAACTGGACAATCAGTACTTTCAGTGTACCATCATCGCTGCAGGACGCCAGCTGCTTCCTCGATGGGTTGTCAGTTGCTCTCCACGCCAAACGATTGATTTGATCAACGTGTGCCAAACTTTGAACTCATGAGCGAATCTCTTGCAAGTTACGATAAAGACTTACTTTGAGTTGATTATCAACACTAAGGTCCACTGATCTGGTGTGGACATCAAGCTTGAATAGACCTTTATCTCTCCTGTCTCTAAACCAACCGCAAGCCAGCGTCTAGAGAGAGTTGTGATTGAGACGAGATACAGAAGGGTTTTACTTACTCTGGCGCATCGGCACCGGCAGAACAAAATGCGACAGCGGTCGCTGCTTCCTCAAATTTCATTGTCGTAATTGCTCCCCATCGAGCAGAGTCTGAGTCTTGCTTCCATATCTTTACCTGATGGACGGTCGATCAAGAATCATTCTTCGAAATCAGAAACACTTACAGTCTTATCACGAGATGCGGTGGCAAAAAGGTCCCCTTCACAGCTCCATGCGCAATCCCAGATGATTCTTCCATGCGATTTATCTGCAGCAATGGGCATATAACCTAGTAAGCAGCAGGATGGTCAGTCGTCATTTTGTTATATGAAGGCATATAACCTCGTACCATTTTCTTTCTTCTCAAATAGCCTCCACGTTCGATCCCGACTTACGGTGAGGATGTATCTATCGTCTGGCGGGCTGAATGCTATACGGGTGACTGTCAGGCTATGGCCTTCGAGAGGGACACCGAAAGGCTGGTAGCCGGCTGTGGTGGACACGCGAATAACGGCATGCTGCGGGGAAGTTGCACGACAGGCAGTTGCAAGAAGGTCGAGTGAATTAGAAGCTGAGATTGTGATCGACTAGGTCGATGGAATTGCGTCAATCGCATTTCATACCAGAATCACAGATTGGCTGACCTCATACCCATGCCCAAAAACTTTTTCCACTTCAGGCCAGAGGGTGATGGAAGCTAGCTCTCCTTCAAAAGGACGCCTGCAAGGTCTGCTACTATCCAATTCTGAAGGTGCTTGAATAGAAAACAGTCTGTCAAACAGCAAATATCACGCATATCATATGACACACCATCACTAACAGCCTTGTTCGAGAGTCCGAGAGGAGGCACACTAGCCGTTGCAGGTCTATCCCCCTTTGTTTTCTCAGAAGCTCTGAAATATAACAAGGAGTGGTCCTTACCTCGCTCTGGGCCAGATCCTTTACTCCAAGTACTCGGACCTCCTCGACGAAATTCCGTGGAGCTTCGAATACTCGTGCGACCTTCTCATCGGCAACGCTTGCAAAGGTCCACGGGCCGAGCCATGCTACGCCCATTAAGTCATAGCCATGTACCTGAGGGCGTGACAGCTCATGCCAAATGCTCTGTTCGGAGGTAGAGGATGTAATAGCGCCATGAATGCGCGTCGTCTGGTCCAGACTAAAGGTGTGCAGTTAGTATCTAGAATATAGCGTTGATAGTAAACGACCCTTACCCCACAGATACCAGATAGTCTCCTTTGGGGCTCCAGTCAAGGCCCTTTATTGCACCACTGTGTCCGCTGATCGCACCAACTTCTTCCCACTCCTCGCCAGCTGTGCCTCCGTGACTATCACTTGTAATGCGGCGCCACCGTCGCCAGCCTCCACTCCAACCCCATGCCATGGCTTCGGCACCATCATTTGACCAAAGCCCTCCAGTAAAGCCACCGAGACGCTGACCTCCCACATCACCGAAGCGTTGTATATTAATCCAAATAGATGAGGTTGACGATGAATATGCAGTTGAGACGATCGAGCTAGGAGCCCATATGATGAGAGAGGAGTCTGTTGATGTAGAGAGCAATGACGTATTCGAAGGAGACCAAGAAAGCGACGTAACTCCTGCCTCGTGGCCGATCAGGAGAGCATCGAATGTGACAGAGTACTGTTGCGTCCTACCCATCATAAACCCGGTCATAAGCTCGATCCAACAATTTTCACTACAGATTCAACGCACCCGGAATTCGATTTGACAGTAAGAATATGCCGTTTAAGTGAAATTTGTCTGCCACCCTCCTCTGCGTCTGCACCCAAGTCCCCTAATGAAGCCTCGAATGCGTCCAGGAGATCGTCACTGAGATTGTCTCCCGATTTTTCTGTATGAATTTGTGACTGGGCCTGCATCTTAGTGAAGGACTCCACATTCCAAAGTCGGATGGTTCCATCCTGTGAGCCTGAAGCGAGAACGATGGGATCATTTGGCGTGGATGGAACTCGGAACGCCAGCGCACGTATCCAGTCTTCATGTCCTGATAGGGTGACTGAACGAATAAACTTAAAGGAATGAGCACTTGATACCTCGCTGAAATATGTGAAACCCACTGGTCCATCAGAACGTGTCCAGATATGCACTTTACGATCGGTTCCGCCAATGGCAAGTATTATCGCTTCGGTAAAGTAAGTACCTCGTCGTCGAGATATTTGAGTCTCTCACCTTCAGACGATGGTAGAGATGCGATTGCTATTGATAAAGGATACCATCCTTGAAGCGATATGGTTTGAAACTCCTTCACCTCATCTGTTACAATTAGCCTGATTCACTGCGCAAATGAAATACGAAATTTACTATCAACGTCACCATGTTGCACTTCCCATATTTTGACGGAAGAGTCTGAACTTCCAGTAAGTAAGAATTTGTCGAATTTGCGAAGTACAGAGATGGCTTGTTGGTGTGCTCGCACGATCGCGGTAGTCCTCCACTACGAACATTGTGGGGACGTTTGCACACAAGGCGGATTAACATACCTCTGTCCCAAATAATCTCCAGTAGCGAATGGTCCCCTTGTCGTCCGTACTAGCAAATGCGTCGGACGCCACAAAACGAACACAGGTCACTAAGCCATCATGACCAGGCAGCGTCTGGAGGACGCCTCCGCCATCAGGGTCCTCCGATGAGATGTTAGGCGCGTTATGAAAGTGATGGCAATATACTCACCTGAGTGTTCCACAACGCAATTAATTTACCTGATCCATAGGCAATCAGGGAAGAGGTGGAGGCATCTGCAACATGGTTGAAGCGATTGGTAGATGCTGAAATATATGCCGTGCTGATGGATGGCTTGGACATCGCCGCAGATCGCAGGCTATGGCAAAGTCTAAAACACGAGTTAGTGAATATTTTTTCAGAATGCGTAGAATGGCCATACACTGATCTCTGACTGCGCTAGTGTTGATACGCGTTCTGCAGTTACGTTGAGCTGTCCCTAACGTTTGGTGATCGTTGACTCTGACACGGACGGTACAAGGCTCGAGGTTGAAGTCAAGTCACACATTTGGGTCCGGCATACTTGCTCACTTTGTCACATTCATCTATGTCCTCTTCATGCGCATGGCATACATAAGTGTGTTGCACCAATAATTGTCACTCTGTTGCACGACAGCACTTACAAACCAGTCTGGTACAGTTTGCTCACAAGAAGGAACCGGCTGTACATCTCCCGAGTCTATTATATCTGCCCAGTTGCTGTCCCGATGCACCTTCCCATATCGCATATCCCTAAAATTTTCATTTAAAACCCATTCACATGCCAATCCTCGGCATTGGTGTCGATATTTTGCACCTTCCTCGTCTCATCAGTCTATTGAGTCGAAGGGGATCCGAAGCATTTGCCACGAGAATTTTAAGCTCCCAGGAATTACGAACATTCCAGTTGCTCGCAGAACAGCATGGAGAAGATGAGACCAAAAGGATTGCACAGTTTTTGGGTGTGCGGTAAGTCTTTTCCTTATCTTACATCTTGCCAGACATTCATGCAACCTGTCATGGCGTCTAGATGGGCGGTGAAAGAAGCTGCGTACAAAGCATTGTATCCCATCCGCCCTACCTGGAAGGAGGTAACATACTTGTCATTCAATGGAACCACTGGCGTAAAACCAACACTTGTTCACCATCCCGTACGCGATGATGTCGGACCAGCGAATAAATTGCATGTTTCAGTGAGCCACGACGGAGATTATGTCTACGCACAGGTTATCGCAGAGTCGACGTGATTTGACGCCTATTATCCTTCAAGAGTGGTGTGTCTAGTTCGAGATGATACAAAGAATCCAATCTATGATCCTAATTATACTAGGCTGTTCAGATCATGTACCTCGTCAGGAGGCTGCTCGGGCCACCAATCTGCCCACAAAGGCTCCACCTTCCACGATTGTTCCCCCTTTTCCTCAGCAACCAACGCTATATCGGGACGCAAATGTTCTAATCGCACCAAGGCCAAGCCAAGGCTTGATCCTATACCTGGAGCGGCTATCGTGGAAAGGAGCGTGGATGACCCGCGCAAGCGGGGTGTTTTAACCGCGGCGCTGTCTGTAGTCGATAGAAGGGACGGTTTAATCGACATGTATGGTGGCAATGACGTCGGAGAGGAAATGTGAATTGGGAGTATGCGTTTCCGCACTGCGCCCGTGTGATATGTGCGCACTGTCAACTCTTGACCGACATAGCATCCCTTCCGGAAATCCACTGCGCGTGTCAGTACAAGTATCAGATGAAACAAAAAAAAGAACATACGTCCACCCATCGCGTCTAAGTTTGATTCAATAGGAAATGCATGCATGGGTTGAATATCCACGCTACCCTCGGGGACACCGTGCATGATGCGATGGAGCAAATACGCATCCTTACCAGCCAATTCATGTGTAGACGCATCGGCAGCTGCACAATATCAATTTCAGCTCAATGCAAGAAACACCCCAAAGACAAACTCACGTGTTTCGCCTTTGCGAACGAGCATCCGTTTACCCATCCCTGGAGCACGTCGATCAAGTATGGTACCGTTCTCAGTTCCCCATGGCCATTCGTTAGTCCGCCAGACTGGCTCGACAGCGCCGCTCCGTGCCCAATTCCACTCCCTGGTTTCTTTTGTTCTTTCTGACCCCCATGCGGCCCAAACATCCCACTCCTCCGACACGTCCCGTATGCGCACCTTTGAGCGAAGGAGGTAGCGTTTGAGAAGGCTCATGAGGGTAGGTGCCTCGGATGGAGTAGGGTCATATTCTATGAGATATGTCGGCCCAGTAGATGAAAGTGATGGTGTCGGGGAGTTATATAGGAAGGTGTCATACAAGACGCGTCCCTACGACCAGAAACTGCATGGTTACATTACACACTGCCAGACACTCGAAGCTGGGTCGCACCTGAGCGTGTAAGAACGCCCCATATGTCTGCTTGCCCTGCAAACTACACGCTAGTAGCCCATTGAGGAACTCAGTTGCTTGTGAACCGGAAACAGAAAGAACTGCGCGATTAGATACAGGCGCTAGTGTCGGAATTGTTCTTAAAAGCGCACGGAGTGATGGTGGTATAGGCATCAAGAGAGCATGAGAAGTTTACACATGATTGCAACCTGCTCTCCTGAAGCATCTAGTCATCCAACCTGACCTGAGCTCTCATCACAACACTTAAACGCTGCACGACAGCAAGTCGGGTTTAGGTTTATAGCGGAAATTCACTTCGAGTGCTCTATTACATCGGTCATGTCCTCCTCCTGTAACGCTATCCTCAAAGCACTCAAGGAATGCCTTCTCAATTCCGACTGTGTCCAAAAGCAAGGACATCTTCCTTCGGAGTGTCTCAAGCAACATAGTAATGAATTGCCGGAGCAATGTCAGCTACTCAGGAAGTCCACTTTCGAATGCAAACGCAATATGGTAAGTGACTACTAGACACATGAACATGCTCTGATATTGCAAAAGTTGGATATGAGGACTCGGTTTCGAGGTAACACGGTGGGAATGGATGCTGAGAAGCTGAGACAGCAGAAGACCCCTGCACCTCCTGCAGAATCGTGATGTGATGGATGGCTTCCAAGTTATATCACGATGGCGACTCGGTCACTCGGATACTCGCGAATCATTGTCTAGAACCTCGTTCCGAGTGCGTACTATCTTCTTCCTTATCATTATATCCCCCTCAACGAATAATTTTCCTAGTGTATCCACTGGGGGTCAATAGGAGTTGTGTCGATCACACTTGTCGTCGTAGCACTGAGCTACCGTCTTTCCGATGGAATCAAAGAAAAGCATTCACTACTGCGAGCCATGCTGCTTATACATTCGCCAGTCTTTCTAAGCATATTAGAAATTCATCGAAGCATATTCGTAAGCCCGGTGCTTAGCAAGCCTAAATCGCGCAAGTGGTTAATTTTGGACCTGATGCATGCCAGCTGAACATGACGCGTGACGAATCATTATTTAATGGTATAAGGTAGTTTGGGTTAAATACACAGTGATTCTTCCCTCCACTAGACTCCTTCCAAGTAACATTCGATATGTCGAAGCCTTTAGTTCTCTACACTGCAGCTACCCCCAATGGCCACAAAGTGTCTATCATGCTCGAAGAGCTCAAGGCGGCCTACGGGAACATTGACTATGAGTAGGTCTTCCGTCATGTCCCCCGGCTGTTATTCATAGGCCTTCACAGTGTCGAGAAGATCAACCTGACCGCGAATGTCCAAAAAGAGCCATGGTTCATCGCAATGAACCCAAACGGACGTATCCCTGTTCTCATTGACCGCTCCAATACCACTGTTGCCCACCCGAATGGATTCCCCGTCTTCGAGAGTGCAGCGATTTTGTTGTACCTCGTGCAGAAGTACGACAAGGAAGGGAAGTTCAAGTTTGAGAGTGGCAGCGATGAGGAGAGCCAGATGTTGCAGTGGATCTTCTTTGCTGTACGTGTTTAGATTCTCTAGGTGAGGTAGCTGGAGATGCACGCTCACAACCGTACAAACCAGCACGGAGGAGTCGGTCCTATGCAAGGTCAATGTAAGTTGTGGTCAGTCATATAGTTTTCTCGCATAACAGCCGAATGTTACAGCGCACCACTTCCGACACTATGCTCCTGAAGATGTGCCTTACGGCAAGAAACGTGTGTACTTGTTCGACCTCATTTAGTTTCTACAACTCTAACGTCGTGCGTCAGGCTATGGGGATGAGGTCGTTCGTCTTTATGGTGTGCTCGATATCGGTCTTCAAGGCCGTGACTACCTCGTGGGTCCAGGAGCTGGGAAGCTCAGTGTTGCTGATGTGAACGTCATGCCATGGTTCGCATTTTTATCCGGATGAATATTTTGCTTTGATAATGATAATGATTTGCGAAATAGGGTGAGGTTTCACGAGCGTGCAGGTGTCGAGACCTTAGATGCTTTCCCGAACCTGAAGGTAGTGCAGTCATCATCATTTGGTGGTGGAATATACTAAATCGTTTGTTTCAAGGCTTGGCTCGATCGGCTTCTGGAGAGAGAAACTGTGAAAGCTGGAATAGCTGTCCCTTAGAGTACTCTTGAACCTGTCTCGCTCTAGCCAAACCGTCAATTCTCCCCTGTACAGTATTTGCGCACTTGGACCAAATTTAGTCTTTCGTCGTCGTCCTGGCTCAGTTGAAAAATTCTTCATTAACATTAACATGGTACTTACTTCCACCGTTATGGGTCATCCGAACACGTATTGAAATGCTCAAGTAACACAAAGTCCGAGGTAGATAACCACTCGAAACCAAGTAATTCGATGCTCTGTTTAAGTTCATGCTCGACAAAAGCACGGTGCTGTCCACCTTCATGCGGCATCGTAATCCTCGTCACTTGTAAGGATAGCAGTACCACCTAGTTTGCCCCCATGGTCGTATCGGACACAAGGAGCTTCTCCTGAGTGATCGTATCGAGATACGGGAAACCAGGTCCAAGTGACTCAAAAAATAGACAAGAACACGGCGCCTTGCCATCCATAAGTTGTCGGTTCCATCTAGTTCTATTCCAAGCCTTGAAGCCCACCACTTGATGAGAGTTGAAGGCAGCGGTCGCGGATGAGGCTGTCGTCGAGCGGACCCGATCAAACAAACAGTTCGGAACCCAAAGATGGTGTTTGCAAGAATCGTACGAGCTCTCCTGGAAGGACCCCAGCTGAACCAAGGCAGACTAGTCACTAAAAGGGTCTTCACTTTCTTTTCTATAGCGGTTCGTACAGGTAGACTCGAGTTCAAAATATGAAACAAGGGGACACTGTGGATAGGAACAACCTAGGAAGTTTATACTGATAATGATGATTTGGCTATGTGTGCGGGCATGGAACGGAATGGAGCTGTGGGCAGTAAACTTGTGCTGAAAGAAATCCATAAGACAGGGAATGACTCGGAGAATTTGGCCGGTGAGCTGGGGGGCATTGGTGCAACAGTCAACCTCGTTGTCGAGTGCTTTCACGACAGCGGATGCACGTAGAAAGTCATTATATATCTGGAGAGAGTGGAGTTGTGACTGGCTCTATACCTTCAAGTTCGGGAAAGCAGAGACCGCCTCAAGTTCAAGTAATATGTAGGTCTCCCGCTGTGACACGTGACGGTAACGTCTCTGCTCTCTATACTTACTTTGTTCTGAACACCCACTGTAACTAACTTATATAAATCTACGGCTTTCTGTCAACCAAATGCAAGGATGCTGAAGGTCATCCCCCGAATATACCGTTACCGATGGCTACCATCCTCAATACCAGAGTTCAATGGAACTTCCTGTACCACTATATCACAGAGGCACTATAGCTCTCAGACCGGGCAACCCATCACTAGCCCTGTAGATTCGTCGTCACAGTCAATCTCAGCATCTGGCCCAGGCTCAATATCCTTTTCTCATCCGAAAGACCCAAGATCTGGACACGGATATTCCGACCTTAATCCTGCCCCACCGTCATCTTCGCCTCCACCCGAGGACGCTTTGTCTCTTCCTACGACCCTTTCAGGTCCACCTGCATGCGCTTACCAACCAAATCCTCAACAGTCATATGCAGTCCCTCCATTCCACACACATGCCTTCGTAGCCGCGCTCGAGAAGTCCTTCCCCACGCCCACAGCGCGAAGTCTGATGAGGGCTACGCGTGCTTTGCTCGTGGACAGAATAGATCGCGTAAGGCGGGAAGGCCTCACGGTTAAAGATTTGGATAATGTGCGCCGAACCCGTCCGGAAATTGACATGCTTACTGACTTGGATGCTGAACAGCAAGCATATTTATTCCGTGCAGCGCTTTCTGAGCTTCGCGCAGAGCAAACCGCAAGATCTCGTAATGAAAGCGCGACAATACGCTCTGCCACAGCTGCGTTGCGCCGAGAAGTCGATCGTTTGGATGTCAAGATGAAAGAAGACCTTGGTACCTTGAAACATGAGTGTGTCATATTCGTCGAATCAGACGGTCGTATTTCTCACACGATTACTAGCATACAAATGGAGCTTGACACTCGCAAGAATGAGTCAAAGGCACAGCTGAAACAACAGACAATCGCAATTGAGGTTCGGATGATATTCATCTCCGTTGCACAATTTGGTAATTTTGTGAAATAGGAAGTCCTGAATAAGGCGATCATAACGCTCAGTGACCTCCGCGCAAACATGGAAGAGGTAAAATGGAATAACATGCGTCAAGCTGTTGGTACGTTTTGCTCATTTGTTTACGTCAAATCACCGATTCTTAGCAACGGTATAGCTGCACTGGGCGCTTTTGTTCTATCAATTGTTATCGGCATGGAACTGTATACATTCAGACAACCGAAGCCGCCGCCCCCGGCTGTGTTGAAGGAAAGATCACATCCAAACGGTGAGGCGGTGTCTCAGGTGTCATAGCACACAGCTCCAAGGCGCAGGCTTTACCGCATCACTCCTAGGCCTTATCGCTCACACGGACGTGCAGATAAGATAAGTCGCTATCATACATCCACATTCATCTATACCGTCTACAGCTTGAACATCTACATAGAGAAAGGAACAGCCGCATAGATTGTTGTACATATAAAGATACTAATTTTATGCTGCTCATAATCGTAACACCTATTATTTGTTACCTGCCACTCTCGTTTTAGACTGACATCCTGTACCCCAAGTAGCTCTAGAGACATTCCAAATCAAAGAACATGATCATTTGACTTGTAGCTTCTCAAGTTTGTCCGAAAGCTCGACAGTGCTCTGATTTGTTGATGTTGGATTTGAATTTGAATTTGGTGCGGAGGCTCGGTTTGCCTTGTCTTCAGCGTGCGATCCCGTTGTTGCCACATCGTTCGTGCTGGTCTTCGAGCTTCCCTCCTTCAACTTCTCGGTAGTTGTTTTCACGTCAGCTGACGCTTCATCTTCATCTTCCCCCTCCTCATCCTCCCAATTATCCTTAATAATAGCCGCCTTCTCCACGCTTTTCTTAGCTCGAGCATTGGCGCGCTTTTTCGCGTTCTTATTTGGAGGTGGCGTAGCGGTCTTGCCTTTCGGTGATGTAGCAGAAGAGGGCGCAACCCAGCCTAGTATGTGGCCCTTTGGAAGGGCCGTGGAATCCATCGCCTGCTGGCGTGATCCACGGAATCGAGAGACATCTTCCTGGGGTGTGAATCCAGGTCTAATCTTAAGCTGCTTGCGCACACTGGTGATGCAGTAGAGATCTGATCATAAATGATTTGAAGATGCTGGGCTCAAGCAGACGTACGTTCCATCTGATCTCTTTGATTCTGGTATAACACGTTCAAGGGTGCATGGATCGACGGCTATGCCAGCTGCGGACTGTTCAGGGAATAATGGCGGGCGTGCCATGTTGTAGAATTAGTTGTATGTGTAGTACTGGAACTTGCAGTTACTTGGTTTCCGACAGAGGGGGAGAGTCTGAGTTTGAAATTGTTCCTTGTACCTCTTTTACTATGCGCTACGCTGTTCTAGTCACCGGTCCTGCTGGTGCGGGCAAGTCTACTTTCTCGACTGCTTTTGCTACCCATCTTCGTGTCTCAAAACGCACGGCCCATATCGTAAATCTCGATCCTGCTGCAACCGGCGATGCATTTGAGTATCAACCTGCCATTGACATTCGAGAGCTTGTGACCCTAGACGACGTCATGGGCGAGATGAATATGGGTCCTAATGGCGGTCTTGTGTTTTGCTTTGAGTGAGTGAGTGATCACGCGTGGTAGTCCCTCAAAGAAATCAAGCTCATAGTCTCATTCCGTATTTAAAGGTACTTGTTAGAAAATATGGATTGGCTTGAGGAAGAACTCGGAGGGTTTGACGACGACTACTTAATCATCGATTGTCCAGGTATGATTCTACTCATATGACCGCGCATATTTTCATTGCCTACAGGTCAAATCGAGCTGTACACACACCATCCGTTCCTCCCGCAACTTGTGCGGAACTTGCAGCGAATGAGCATACGGACTTGTGCTGTGTATCTCTTGGAATCTCAGTTCATGGAAGATCGATATAAATTCTTCAGGTCTGTCTCAGTTCATGGTTTCTTTTTATCCAATCGTTGAAATTAGTCCAGCGGCGTATTGTCCGCAATGTCCGCGATGGTCAATCTTGAAGTACCCTGGATAAACATCATGTCTAAAATGGATCTTGTCTCCGGATCATCCTCAGACACGTTTGAGCCAAGAAATGGGAAACGTGGAAAGCGCGACATCGCTCGGTATCTTGATCCAGATCCGATGTTACTTGTTGCTGCGAGGGACGGGAGAGATCAGCAACGCGGCAACAGCAGATTTCACGACCTAAACCGGGCCATCGTACAGCTAGTATGTTGCAGCTTGGGGCTTTGTTCCAGACTGACTGCCGCGTAGATCGAGGACCATCCTTTAGTGTCGTTCTTGCCGCTGGATCTAACGTCGACGGACTCACTTGAGACAGTCGTCAGTCATATTGATTTTACTATGCAATATGGTGAAGACGAAGAACCGAAAGAGGTAGATCACGTCCTTTGTCCAGCGTACTCCAAACTAACGGCGGTATATCAGCCACATGATCTAGACGAAGGGGACTTTGCTGATATGGAATAGGAGTGTACAGTGTTATTGCATCCTGTGTTTATACACGACATTTTGAGACAACTGCACTCCGAATTTTTGGAGAGATGGTGATCAAACCTGACGTATCGATATACTAGGAGTTTGACTGGGTAGGTTGAACAAATCTAATTTCTATAGTACCAGAGCTTACAATGGTATCGCACATCTATCATTGGCATTTCACTCGATGAGAATTTACCACGGCGTTGACCGACAATGGCACCGTATTGATTGGACTATCATAAGTACCCAAGGAAACTTTTTTGATGACTCGCCTTTTTTTTTTTTGACAGCGTCAATCTTCATCTCCGGTGGGATTTTAGCACGCGCCAGACTGCCACTGAAAAAAAACTTTCCCGTTGACAAGGTCTTGTGTGCTTAGGGAGGCGTGGAATTTTGATCGACAAGTTTGACATCATGAAGCTAGCCGCACTTGGTCTTATCGGCCCATACCCAACAAATACTAGGCATTACTGTGCGCCACTTCTTCGAAGATGCCCAGAAATTCTTGCACAGGACACAATAAATGGCATCGGTCAGCGCAATCAGCTTACACGCCGTGCGATTGGAACGGGCGACGTAATCACAAGTTAGGGTTACGCTGATTGATAATGTGATAACACCGACTTGTCTCCACATTTTGCTATGTGTGCGACCAACTTTGTAAGTTCGACAGCTTCCTGTATATCTAGGCGGTCCTTGACATAGTACTACGGAATATCATGAGGCCGTGCATTGCCTTTCTTGTGTGGATCAAGGAGTGAGTACCATATATTGCTGATTTATGAACAGCCGCCATCAACTTAGTATTACTTGTTTTAGGTGACAAATCCTTTGCCAGATGATGTTTGATATTGTACAAGGCCAGGGACCCTGGGTCTCTAGTGCTTGTCCTGCGACATCGCATAATTACCATATTGTCGTACTATCGCGAGCGTAAAACGCATCGCAATGCAAGCCCAGCTGGTCTGACTCAGTATACCGTTGGGGCCTGACTCCAACGGGGCAGTGCAGAATTCAAAATTGGTACCGCAGCTGCCCGTGACGCAACAGTCCGGGTCATAATTAACCACACCCATATAAGATCGCAACGTGTTCCATCTCCACATTGCACCACAGTCAAGCACCCCTACTTTAACCCTTATCTACTCTCGCACCGCGCCTACCTTTTATCTTCCCTACCACACCAACGCAATCACCGCATCGTTGTCCACCCCCTCATACTCACAACTAGCCAACAAATCATTATCTGACGATGAATCAATACGCCTTTCCATCCTCCCATTCGCCCTACAGTACCCATCAGACTGTTGCCTACCCCACTTCTCCACACTCGCAACACGGTCATGGGAGTTACAACTACGGGACTCCCCTGAGGCGAGCATCTACTGGGCATACCTACGCATCTAGCCCACAATACGGGTACCCCCCTGTAGTCCAGGCGCCGCAGACTACTCAATACTTGTCTGTGCCTAACTCTCACCACCGCAGCAGGAGTCAGAGCAGGCATAGTCATAGCAGACCCAGAGCCAACAGCCACAGTCATCACGGGCATGGGCACGGGCATGGGCACGGATACAGTACAACTGCTACCTACCCAGTCACATACGCAACATCTGCTCCCGTATACAGTGTCAGTCTAAATCGTGCTTTGTTTCAGTCTAACAGCTAATGACGTATATATTGCTATTTTTAGCAACCTAGCTCGGGACATCATCGCTCTCATTCCACGTCACACAGACACCGTTCGCACTCGCGCCCTGCTCATTCTTACGCAGGCGGTGGTGATTATCACAGAGGTCGATCAGTATCAATCGGTGACCGCTTTCGGAATTTCCTTGGAATGGAGCCCTCATCGAACTCTTACTACAATTCCTACGGAAATCAAGGGCACGGGCACCACAACTCTCAGGCTTACGGTGGTATGAGAGATGAAAGAAGACCGAGGAAACACAGTGGCTATGTGGACGAACACGGGAGAGAAGTGGATAGTCGTGGACGGATGATCCACCGTTATTAATTCAGGCAGCTGTTCTTACTAAATGTAGTTTATGTACCCGAAGGGCAGGACCCAGTGTCATCTGACTGTATCTTGTTTGAACTATGATTTATACATCACTAGCTTTTGTGTACAGTTAGACCGAGTTCATGAATGCTAATTGTCCATATACATGCACTATAGTAACAACGATCATAAGGTAGCTAGTAGAATGTGCAATAGAAATGTCAAACAACGATAGACATGCCAAGCAAAGATTACAGAACAGCTGATAATGTACCGTTAACGAAAGCACTAAAATTCCTTGTATGAGAAGCTGACGACATGCTCTGAAATGAAACGATAATCCATTAGGATGCAGCAGACGCCTTCTCCGCTGCCTTTGACCACATGTCCAACTGATCGAGCAGCTTGGATACAGACTGCATAATTTGCAATCGAGCGCGAATTTGATTAGGGACATCTTGTGTGCCTTCCCAGAGGACGGCAAGCGACACTTCAATCTACATAGAGTATAAACGATGCCCACGCTGAGATGAAACCGAAGAGCCTGACCTTTTCCGCAAGTTCTCGAAGGGACTCCTTGAGAGCCTTCCCGATAGTCTCAGCCGCAGTTGACAGCCGACCCATCAGGACCTCAGCTCCGCCATCGAATGCATCGTGCTTATGCCCATCAACGTAGTTGTGGAATATAGCCTGCATTCAATCAGAAGAGGTTTTGGAGTGATGCCTTGTGACAAACCTTTTGTCGCGCGACGCTTCCAGTGCCTCGCTCTTGCGAAGCGAGATTGTAGCCATCCGTCAGTTCATTTTGAACATGAGGAGCGAGACAACGTGATATCTCCTTCTGCTCCTTTCCTAGCGCTTCCTTCACAACCCCCATGGTTTGTACTAATGCATGACGCGCCTCCTCTTGCGAAACAGAGCTTTGTGCATGTACGTGGTCTTTTAGTCCTGCCGCTGCGCTGGCCTCTACATCGGTGATTAGCTTATTGATGCATGTCATGATGGCATCCGATAGTGAGGCGAATAGATCAGATTCGAAGAGTGTCGACCAAGAAGAAGCAATGTTTCGAGTGAATGGCGTGACAAGTTCGACATTCAGATCTCGACGCCAGGACCCGTGACGACGAAGGGCTAATATTGAGTATAGTCAGCGAGAACTCGCATGCGAACTAGGACACCCACTGGCTCGATAAGTCGCCCAGTGCATGGACGCGGCAAACTCGTCAACGTGTTGAACCGCATCCTCAGCAGCCTATCGACGCAACATCAGATGGGGTAGTTACCATAATGTAGTACTTACATTGGCTGCTCCCACTCGACATTTATCTTCAAGGCCATCACGGAACAAGTCTTGCAAATCCGAGACGCTTTTTTCAACATGTGTACCGAATTCCTGCGAGGAATAAGAAATATGAGCTGTATAGAAACACATGTCAACGCACTTTGACAAGCCGAGGAGTCACTCCTATGGGTTCGCCGCGAGCATCCACCTTCAGGGATGACTGATTGTTATTGTTCATCGAGAAGAGTCTGGCATCCATGAGTGCCCTGGGCATTGTACCTCGATATGGTTGGAAGTGGACGCTCATAGGATCAGGTGAACTATGCCAATGAGGCATGTCTTCATCTTCATCTTCATCGTCATACATCCCACCCTGTGGTGTCGACTCCCATTTTTCACGAAGAGATTCACGGTCTGCAGTAGTCACATCACCAATACCATCGACATAAACCCGCACTGAGTTCGCAAATGTCTTCAAGTGAGTGTGAAACTGCTTTGCAGCGCGTGACCGGCTACTGATGGTCAATTTGTGGCACCATTGCCGTAGGGAAGGAATCCCAGTATCTTCGAGGTTGGAGAAACATGATGGGTCCCCGTCACCCTTGACTTGTCCCGTGATGCGGACGTAGTCACGAGATGAGCAGGTGAACACAGGAAGATCGATGTCATCATAATCTGAGTAAAACATATTTTTAGTGAGTATTTTCAGGACATGATGGGAGCTCACTGCGTAAATTATGAGTCGGATCAAAAGAATTTGGGTTTCGCTCCTCGGCAGCGGCGTCTGTGTTTTGTGAATTAGCCGATTCTTTAAAGGTGAGAACTCAACCCACCGTCAAGATCTTTCAAGCCAACGCGAAAATCTTCTTTTAAAACATCGCGGGAGAACTGTTTGACGCCGGGTGAGAAATGTGGTGGGGAACTTAACAGTGAGACAAACCTCCGAACGCTTTAGAGAACAGAATGCGTTCTTGTCACGCTGCGCTTTCGTCGTCTTCTTTTTAAGGTTGCTGAGGGCATCTACGGCATCCTTGCGTGCCTTGCGTGTATTGTTGAGTTGTTCGCGTCCAACTTTAATAGCTTCTTTGGCGTCGCTAATCTTCTCCTGGAGAACCTCGACCGTGACATCCTCTTCTGACTCGTCCGGTGTATCCTCCTCCCCATCTGAGTCGCCCTCTTCCTCTTCATCGTCATCGTCATCTTCATCTTCATCGTATGACCCTTCATCGTCATCGTCCACATGAATGTTGTCATTGAGATAATCATCAATATCATCCATCTCAAAATCGTCGTCGTCGTCGTCGTCCCCAAAATGCTTGTGGCGCTTAGGTGACCCAGATTTCCCCCTGCGAGTATTCTTTCGCTTCTTGCCCGCGTTCTGGGCCTTCTTGTGTGCCGTTGTGGTCAACCGTGGTGTAAATGTCTCGCCGTTCTCCAGTGCCGTTTTGTGTTGCTCATACTCTGCTAGAGAAGCTCGAACGTCCTTGAGCTGCTTGTCGATAGCTGTGAAATTTAGCTGAGTACATTGTCGCATGAACGAAACGAAATTCGCATGCCTACCTTTCATCGAAGACTCCGCGATAGTCTTCTTCTTTTTGAAGTCAGCAGTCTCTTCTTTATATTGCTCAATGCGGCCCTCGATCTCCTCTAGCTCGGGGTCGTCCTCAATACCCAAGGCAGGGATAACCTCAGAACAAGATATATCATCACACTTGCTAGCTGTGCCACACAGTTTGAGTGAGAATCAGTCCAAACAAAAGAGCTGCAACAAACCAATGAACGTGATCGTGTGGGCATCATAGCTGACCAAATCAATAAGACACTCGCGACCGAAGTCAAGGACAGATCACTCACTTGCCGTCTGATGAACGAAAAGGAACCGTCGTAGACAGTAAGCTACCTGAGAGTGCTGGATGGGAAGAACTTACCCACTGAAAATAATTGTTAGTCTATCACCAAGGGTTGAAGATAAAGAACGTACTCATCAGTTGCAGTTTGAAAGCTTCACCAAGAAGATCTAATTAAAAAGCATTAAAATCACGACACAGGTGCTGACTCGATACAAATACCTCTGGCGGTCTTGTCATCCACTGCACGGGTGATAGGTGCCAGAATCCAGATGCAATTGCATTTCTTCATGTAGTCCTTTGCGATACTATTCCTTGCTGCGTTAGCGTCGGCAACACCAGGCAAATCAACTAGAATGGCGCCCGTGGAAAGAGCCTGGGCGTTACACCGCACATTGACTTGACGAATGAGGGGCCATAGAGCTGGGCCGTGATCTTTCTTCTTGGTCTCTTTGTTCTTGTCCTTGGTGAGGATACTCATGAGCGAGTTATCATGAGCTTTAGTCTTATCCTTCTTGCCACCTCGTTTCTGGTCCTTAGAATCGATATATTTTGCAATCTCCTGGGCGAATATCGTCGAATTCTTCGCCGATATTTTCTTCGTAGTGCCCAAGACGTTAGCAATATCTATGCGAAGCGTTAGCATAATTTGGCATCTGCGTTGAGAACATTTACTTTTATCGCGAGCCAAAATTTGGTCAACCGTCAGGTGAATGAGTTGCTCTTGGGAAATGGATGGATAGACAGCGTGAACCTGACAATGAATCAGACCCCGACATACCAAAGAGCTCTGATTGTCCGTACCTTGTGCCAAGCAACACCCGAATCACTCCGTAGGTCAGTAGTACGTTTCAGATTACCATCCTCGTCCACAAGATCATCGAGTAGAACAGCGAGTTCTGCTCTCCACTCAGCTTCGGAAAGGAATGAGACATCCGCATTGATAGTAGGCGCGGCATGATATGCGATTTCCGTGACCACAGCTGTGCATGCTACAAGTGGGTTGAGCAACCATGATTCCCAACAGCGAAGGGTCTCGCTTCACCTCTCATACCACTTGTTGGGACAATATTATCTAAACCGAGTTTAGTATAAAGAGACATAAACGCTAATTTAGCTTACCGTCCAAGATCGCATTTAGTATCGAAGACTTTCCGGCCCCAGTCGCTAAAGAAGACTTCGGTGGACATGCATATTGGGACTCATAATTACGCACCTCCACAGACGGCTATCATTGTTGTAGGAGCACCTTGACTAAGGAGACTGCGACAGAGTTGTCATTGCTATCTTCAGGCAAGGCTAATTACGTACTTATCAATCTCACGCAGCCAAACATCCTTTCGAAGCTTGCTGCCAAGCTCGAGTTTGTTGATTCCGGCCTTTAGAGTCTTTACCATACCAAGACCTGCTTGAAGAGCAGCTTCAGGGGTGTATGGAATATTGTCGGCAGAGTCGTATAGCTCATATAACTTTGGCTCGTGCACCCTTTGTTCGTGTGGCAGCACTGGTTCCCGTTTGAATTTTTTGACATCAGGAGCTGAAGAAAGATTATGTTGACTGTCGAGGGTAATGTTGCTTGGGGCTGTAGTGCCCCTATCTGACAGCTGGAAATTTTCGACGACGTCAATTCGCATTCGTGGGTATTCTAATGCCTCTCACAACAGGTTTTGACTCAATTGGTTCGGCCTTGACGGTTGGGGCGGGGGTCAATTTTTTCGAATTGTGACGCGTAGACTCAGAAGACGGAACTGCATGCAGTTCTTCTGGTTCTGGTTTGATAAAAATTCCACGTGCGGACTGGAATCGCGACGAAGAGGGGCTAAATGGCAAAACCAAAGGATAGAACAATCCTGGACTCACCGACGCGCTTCCCATCATTCTATTTTCTTTCGAGCCCATCTTTTGATCAGCTACGCGATAACGAAGACCACGCTCTCTTTTGGG